GCATCTGTGACTCGGCTTTGCGGCACGAGTTACCGCGAAATAGGCGCCGCAAGGTACAACGTCTAAGGATACCCTGCTGGTGGGTTCTTAGATTTTACGATTCTGCTTTCCGTGGCAATGCACGGCAAGCGCTAATCGATACTTCCATAATTACAGTCGAACACGAAAGGACGATAAAAAGAAAATTCTAAAGCTAACACGTCAAAGCTTAAGATTTCCAAATTTCATAAATTTAAGCTTGGAACTTAAAAGTTTGTAGCTTCTAAAATTTTACAATTTGTAAATTCATCGTTTGGAAATCTTAGTACACATAAAATCGCATTTAAAAATTAAAGAATAGAAGAAAGAATACTGACATATAAAGATCAATCGTTCGATGATAAATATTCTTATCAACACGTCACCAGTGTTTCCGGCTATGCAGTAATCGCAAGAAATACAACAGTAATCATCGCGACAGAAATAACGCTTACTGTCGATTGTTTATCCGCGAACGGATCCCGCATAAACGAAAGAAACCGACCAAACGAAAGCACGCTGAAAAAGGTCATAGGATCAACGGAACCCGAAACGTGTCCGGCTAAATTATTATACGCGTCGTCATGTAGGTCAGTGAATCGCAGCTCGAAATGATCGTGCACTAGTTATGCTATGAACACTATCTACGTATTGTAGCTACATGAAAAAAAAAATAGAAATAGCTCAGAAATTGTTCGTCTTCGTCCACTTGGAGCTATTAACGTGTGAACACAGTTGGTTGATTCAAAAAAACTCGCCTGTTTTTTTTCTTTCATAAATTTTCTTCTTTGATACGTTTCGTTATCTTTACGACTTCCGATACCATCTGATACACATCTGAAACACATAGATTTACATAGCAGAATGAACCAGTGACGCCATGATAAAAGTGTTTATCATCGAATGTATCCACTTCAAAGAATACACGATATTATAGTATATTAGGTGACAATGAGATTCCTACGTGAGCTACGCGTCGGGTACAGTTCTGTCCTTACATTATCCATGCAATTTATCCGTTTTGCAACTTATACAATTGCTTTAAACTGTCCTTTTATACGCGACGCTTGTAAGGTGTACACTTTTGCGATTTAAAATGATTCGATCGAACTATCGATTGTCGCGAGACGCGCAATGCTATGTCATCGAGTTGTCAATTCGACACTTGCGAGCCGAAATTTTTACGTACAACGCAATAAAAGTAATTTATTGCCTTTCTAAAATATACGATTATAATAGTAACGATAATATCTGATACCGATAAAGTTATAAGACTTACGTAAGTCTGTATGAATAATGACGGGTTGCTATGGTGTATGAAACAGGTGCGAAGATCCAATTTTATTCGACGATCAGCCGTGTCCAAGATGTTCCAAGTTTACACGTCCTCAACACACACTATTTCTTACACTGCCCGGATATTAGGATAAAAAACACAAATAGCACCGAAATACAACATGCATCATTGTTCGCGAGAAACGAGAAACGGTCTTACCACAACGGAGTTTGCCGGGCGACTGTGATGGACTGTGGTGAGTTGCGTCCACGATCGGCCTTCTTCGACAAACTTCGGGCACTTTCGAACGGTGCGGCGAACTTCGCGCCTCTTCGTGCGCCCTGTGTCCCACGCATACGATTGGTCAATATATGGCGGCTGATTTAAATGAGTATATCTTCGCCGCATGCCTAAAAATATAATTAAGTTAGAATTAAGAAACAGATAAGACCCTAATGACTAATGTAATTTATAAAAACTGTGTTAAATGAATCTATAGTTAAACAAATCTGCAATTACTGTGTGGTTGATCTTTCCTTGTGCTCATAGCTTTTTCACTTAATTAAAAAGTTTAAAAACAAATAAATTACTTCGCATAATGATTCCTACAATAAGTTTATCTTTATGTATGCTGACTAATGTTTATTGAATGCGTATATTGCCAGTACTGGTTTACTGTTTACGTGGGCGTTAGTGGAACGTGCATAGAAAGTTGCCAAAGAAAAAATGCAGTATGTAGGTAAATTGTGGATAAACCTCACCTTGAGCTAGACAAAGATTATTTTTTATTTTACTTTTTCCCACGTGAATCTGTAATTACTTTATAGCAATATATTATCTGTAACGATTGAATACTAAACTTTGAAAAAGTGCAATTATGTATATTTTCCTTCTTAATTGAAGCACACCTTCGTGCTGTATTTTTCATAGATGGCAATATAGTTTTTCAATGCATGTGAGTTAAGGCAGATACATTATTCAACAGTCGTGCAGATTAACCGCGTCTGCAAGCTAAATTAATTCCACACTGGGGTCTTAATTTAGAATATTCCTTCAACGCGTTATTTGCGATGGCCGTTTCTTCTGCAATTATAGCACTAGCATCGATAGTGCAGAAGTCAAGGAGCAAGCTAATCTTTTTCAGTCATCGGTTATCGCGTCAATAAACAAGAAACAGAAAAAAAAGTAAAATATAATAGCGCAAATAAATACGATATCGTATTCCGTCGAACAGCACTCGGCTGTATTTCTATCGATGACGAGTTCTACATAATGAGACTGTATTAATATAATAATAACAATAAGAAGATGAAGAGATCCTTTTCTCGCATAACGAAATCTTTACTATGTTGGCTACTTTAATAAATATATAACTAATTTCGGTGATCCGTTAAACTTGCAAGAACGATTCGTCATAATTATTTTTAATCGACGATTCATCGTAAATTAAAACATATATAATAAAGATTCGCGTCTTGAACGATATTCCTTATTCTATCGCACTTTCAGCTATACCTGGAGCATTACAATTTTATCCTCCACTTTATCTCAATTGAATTCTCCGCCGATCGTATCGCATCAAACTGATAAGATACCTGTTATCAAGCTACGTTTGCTTTCAATGTAATGTTTACAGTGATCCGATCGCTGATAAATAGCCGCAAAAAGTGAGCGTTGCGTAAGCTGAGGATGTCTTACAATTCCTGCAATAGAATGTAAATTAATAAACAAATTCTATAAAAAGTTGAAATATTTGATCGTAAAGTTACCTGTTTTTCTGCTTCGTCTAAAAATGTTTCGAATTTAAGGATACGATAGGTGATAAATAAAATAATCGTACCTTATATCTACATGCTGATGTAGACCTTGAGGCGACAGCTTCAAAGGGTGCAGGATGGAACCGTGAATCTGTTGAAATCATTCGGACTTTATTACGGTATAATTCGAGCATTGTACGTGAGAATAATAAAGATTCCTTTCAACGGCATCCGACCAAATGAAACCGTCGATTGAAAGTAATTATCAAATGATCCCGATGCGGAATGATATAGAAAGTTCATTGTACAGAAATCTTTTATCGTCTAACAAGCCAATCGACCTAATAACGTGTCTCGAATAAACACTTTATTTGTGCGCAAAATAGTTTGCATTTATTTTTTCTGTCGCGTGAAACATTGTTGCAATAATAAAATATCAAATACATTGTCAAAACAGATTGCACGGCGACCCATCGTTGAAATCGAATTATGATATGTATCAAGAACTATCTTAATAGAACAATTCGTGAGGTGACCTATTTACATTGTCTTGACTCGAGTGCTTGCAGCTGCATTAAACTGCAATTTCTACTGTCGTTTAATACTTCAGCATGGCGTTACAGCGAATTTCAAAAATAAAACCGAGCCGCGGAGCTACGTTGAACCGTTAGATCAGCAACTGTTTACTGTCAATTAAAATTTAACATATTGTTGCTCATTAAAAAGACTGACGAGACAATAATTATCAAGTAACACGGGTAAAATAGAATTAATCTAATACGAAATAACCAAACAATTAGAGGAGAAAAATTAAAATTACAAAATGCTCTCATTACTTATGCGGTACGATATTAATCGGACTGTAATCCGCGAAAGACTTTTTAAATGCTGTATTCGATTACTACGTAGCATGGAATGAAATTTCTAAAGGCGTGGAATGGATTTTCTTTAATGCTTCCTTCTTCGATAACGGATGTTCGAAAGAGTAAGAGATTATTTCTTGCAGGAGTGCAATTAAACGCTTCCCTTACCAGTTTTTGCGATTTTTCCTGGAAAAACAATAACTCTTTGCAATGTCTTCAAAAAAAAAAAAAAAAAAAAAACAATAGAAATATAAAAAGCTGTATGCACTCTCGTACCTGACTGCAATATTCTTGCATTACAAAATTGTAGAAATCTGCTTTAAATTTGAAATGTTATTCTAAGGTTGAGCATCATACTAAATTCCAATCCTTTTATCTAAAAATAAATGAAATTATAATTCTAGAAACATTATATGCTCTTATTTAGCTTTCAACATAATTCCATACTCGTACATTATACGCTCATAAATAATGCCGAACACGTGGGTAAATTCTAATGGATCCGTGAAACGCAACAATAATATTGGTCGTGGTGCAGTAATTGTTATGTAACACCGGCTGAAATTGAGACCCGGTTGGTGTGTGCATGGATACGTGACTCTCTCGACACGTACGAATGACTAGCTATGCAAATTTAACTGCAGGAAGATCCGTTTGTTAAACGTCCCGAAGGCCTCGCGTTAACCTACGCAAATTTTTTAAGTTCCGCAGCTGGGTCTCCTAAAAAAATGCAGCTTTAACACGGCATCGATTACAGTTTAATCTAATATTGATGCAATACTTAAACAATAAAAATTAACCTAGTTTCTTATCATACCACATATATATATATATAAATACACTTACCACTTCATGTGATCAAGCATGTGAAACTCTCTCTCCTATACTGTATAATTCTGCAATAACAATATGATACTCAAATCACAAATGATTTTAAGACATAAATGTTATACATTACCAGAAATTTTAAATTGGAATTTATTTATATACTTGAATAAAGTAAAATAATCTTTTATGCAATTAATTTTGAACTTAAAATTGGGTTCAGATTTGTCCTGTAGATGCCACTATTGTTCAGCTATGAAGGAATTCAAATAAGACAAAATGGCAACCATTATAGACCAAATATGGAAGCTGAACATATGAGTGTGTAACTGAGTAGTTCACATATAACCCATAACGTTATTCTAATAATTTTGAATTTAGAGCTTGATATTTGTTAATTTCACAAAGATGGAGAATTGGTTAAATAAGAATTTATCTGATATCCTAGATTTTCCAGTGACGAATGAGTTAACAAAGTAAGAACCTGCAAAAACAATTTATGTATTTCTATACAACCAAGCAAGTAAATTAAAGTGTATTTGTTTTTTAGATTAATCATAGAAATGCAGAATGAAAGAGACCTGGATGAGTATTTGAAATCCCTTTTAGATTATAGCAATCCAAAGCATAGACAGTTTATTGCAGAGGTGAAGAAACGGCATGGTATATAGGAATAGTAAATTCATCTTTCCATACCTTATCAGGGTATTTAACACGCTTTTTTTTAGCATCGAATAAGGGTCAAACTGGATATAAAAAAGTAAGCGACACAGATGATAGAAAAAAGAAACAAAATAAAAAGAAGAGGGGAAAATCAAAAACTGAAGAAGAGCAAGAAAGTAAACAGGTATATTAGCATTTTATTTTATGCCTATGCCCTAAAATAATATATCATTACTAAATATTGTTTAGGCACAAGAAATTGTTAAAGTGGAAAAGGCAGAGAAACAAAAAACTAAATTTGTTAATTTATATACACAAGAAGGGAATGATAGAGTAATTCTATTAAAAGGTATTTTGTGTGTATAAAAACAACACAAAATGTTATTATAATATTGTAAAAGTAATATAGATATATTTTTTTAGGCAGACATAAATGTGATTGTGAAGCAAGAAGGCATGCATTGATTAATAATTGTCAGAACTGTGGTAGAATAGTTTGCACACAAGAAGGAGCTGGTTCATGTTTCTTTTGTGGAGAACTTGTATGTTCTCCAAAGGATCAGAGCATTCTTTCTAGCAACACCAAACAGGGTGATAATTTATATAACAAATTAATGAGTAAAAAGCCTAATAAGAGTTTAGAAGAATCAATAAAACAAAGGGACAAACTTCTTGAATATGATCAAAGTGGGTATGTATAGAATAGTTCTACTTTACTTTAAAACAAAATTATTATCAATCAGTTGAAGTTAATTAATTTACAGATTACAATGTACAAAAGTAATTGATGATGAATGTGACTATTATCAATCAAATAATATTTGGTTGGATTCCAAGCAACGTGAAAAATTAAAAAAGTCGGAAGAAGAAATGCATGCAAAAAGGCATACGTCACGTTTAAATAAGAAGGTAGCATTTGATTTCATGGCCAGAGAAGTAGTTGAAGAAGATGCAGTTGATAATTACAATGAATTTGATGAAGAACAAATTCAAGCTATTTCTGATTCATTCGGTGATGTTAATAGTTCTAATATCTGTCCAAATATAGAGTTCGATTGTCCAATGGTAAAGATACTGTTAATAATACCTTAAACATATTGGTACAATTGATTAACAGAAATGTAATTAAATATTATGTATTACTATTTACAGTACATTGAGTTGGATGAACCTGAACCACGAGCACCAAAAAGAAACATTCCTTCTAGGATTAGAGATATTGTTCAGGATAAAGAATTTCTGGAAATGTCGGATTCTGGTTTGTGTTTGAGCATGCATCAGCCATACGCATCCTTGTTAGTAGCTGGAATAAAAACGTAAGATTTAATTCAATAAAATTTTTAGATTATATCAGTAGATAATATATTTCTTAATTCTATGTTATTATTATAGTCATGAAGGTCGAACATGGTACACATCCCATAGGGGAAGATTATGGATTGCTTCAACATCTAAACAATCAACTATGGAAGACATTTCAAACATAGAACAATGTTATCGTGTTTTAAAAGATGGTTAGTATAAATTAAATATGTCATTACAGACATACATATTTTATTTTTTACTAATCGTACTAATATTTTTTCAGAAAGAATCATCTTTCCTGAGAGTTACCCAACCAGCAGTTTACTGGGTTGTGTAACAGTTGTTGATGTTTTACCTCAAGAAGAATACAGAAAATCTTATCCTGAGGGAGAGAATGATAGTCCCTATGTTTTTATTTGTGAAAATCCTTGCGTACTACCAATTAAATTTCCGATACAAGGAAAGCATAAAATTTGTAAGTATTATAAATTTGTAGTTTCAAAAGTAAGTAATTTTACTGATTTCTTTTTTTTAATTTTGTATAGATAAATTGGACGAGAAAATTCATCATGCTGCTCTTAAGTTGTTAGAAAAACATACAAAAAGTATAAATAATCAATAAAATATACTTAAATACATGTGAAGTAATACATATTTTTTTATAGCGTATATTAAATATTATTTATTAATTTGTACATAATAGGATATATTACAATATAAGTATAATATACTCTATATTACAGTAGCCCTTAGAACAAGGATGAGTATCAGGACACAGCAAGATACACCCATTCTTGCCTTAGAAGATGCCTATTCATTTCACACTATTCTCTTTACCATTTTACGTGCGATTAATGAAAAAATATTAGCAGTTTTCTTTTATTTCATTTTAAAATATCAGACTTTTATAAATAGTAAAAGTAGATTTTGATAAAGTCATTTTTACATCAAAACAGTCTGTACACTTCAAGTACAAAGAGTACATTTTCAATCCAAATATATCGTTATAAAGTTTATTGTTCTTAGTAATTTTGAGATTAACATTAGTGTTTTAAAAGTCAAAATAAAGAATTTCTTTCACGAACCTACGGTTTTTCATAAATGTCTACGATTAAAAATTGTAATGAGCAAATTACAAATAAATGTTTAAAATCCTATAACACCTATGATATTATTTACAGTATACTCAAAATTCCAAGTACGTATATATTTGTCCTTTTTTAACGATTTTAAAGGAGTAAAAATATCAAAACCAAACTTTCACTTATAAATTAATTCAAAGCTAAATAAAGCTATAATCTATTACATGCAATAAAGGGATATTCATTTATCGTAAATATATCGGTAATGAAGACATCATAATATGTTTAAATTGTTTAAGATTGAAATCAGATTTGAAAATGGTATATGTATGGATATTAATTGATGAATTGATGTATTAGGAATGTATAAATAAATACCAAACTATGTATTTTATATAGACTTCAATGTACGATTAATGACCATCTGTTGTAATATTTAAACTGAATATTCAAGACATATTAACAGAACATAAAGACTCGGATCAGATCTTTATTGATTAAAATACTGTGCAATCTACCTAGTACTGTGTAATTTACATTTGTTTTCTATAGGTATGCAAGTACCAATTCTACAGTCATATTGTCTGGTCAACAAAAAATGATTAAAACAATAAATACAAGTGAATTGTATTAGTTTTTCTTTGCACTCATTTAACATTCATCAAATTTTAATTGAGCCATCTTTATAAAAATGATTAACTTCATGGCCAACATTCCATAGACTAGTACTCAAAACATGAAAAGGGTTGTTAATATTTTTCTTCCTTTTCAATTTAGATAATGCAACAACGTATAATTTCTTGACAATTAAAACAATTAATTTTTGTATATCAACGTTAATAAAAATCAATAAACAAAAAACAATAATTTATAATTTGACTTTAAAAAAAAAAAAATAACTTTAATATATTTAACATATATCTGTATTTATACGTGTATGCATATTATAACAATACCAATTTATATCTCTTTTTTGTCTAAACAACACTTCAGTATATGTAACATACAATTATTTTTCTATGTTTTCTTTTTTTATTCCTTTTATGGACACCAGTATATATGCTGTATAATAAATAATTTGTATATTATTTTTAGTATTACAAATTATTTAGGCTATCAAGTATCGATGATGATTCTTTAGTTGCTCAACTTTTAGATAAACATGTGCAGATATTTTCTAACTGTATATTTTCAAATTAAATATGCAGTTAAACATTTATCAACAATGAGAATTCAGCAACAGTTTCAATATCCCTTCAACCTCAATCATTTTTCCAATTTTAATTAGAATCGAGACACAGCTGTTATCCGCATATGTTTATTATTATCTTGTTCAAACAAGTAATAGGCCACCATATAATACTAATATATCCATATCACAAATCTACTTGAACAGTTTTAAATAAATAATTGTACATTTCCATTATATGTGTATTTTGAAAAATTTTAAATTCGATTAATATAGTAATACTTTAAAAATCCTTTTTCTAAATAAAGTGATTGAAAAAAAAATTGTGTTACCATTTATATTGGCTGTTGCAAGCTAATGTAGGTACACAATAACACTTTTTTTTTTCAAATACTTTAAATATTAATATTAGAATAGTATCCAGGCAACGTGCTTACCATTTCTATTCAATTTGGATACAATGAAAAACGATGTATATAATTTTTCTCAATTAGTTTATCTAAATGTAGGTAGGTGAATCTTTTAAGCTGGTACCACAGGCATCACAGATCGAGACATTCTTTTCATTTACCAATGTACATTTTGGACATTCCTTTCCACCACTCGCTAATGGCTTATCCTCGTTTCCTTTGTGCCTAGATTTTCCACACATTTCACAAATCTCTTTCGACTGAGAATTAAGATAAGTGCAAGTAGCACAATTCCATCCCACAGATGCACCTTTCGTTTCACGTTCTTTATCCGGGCGAGGAAGTTCCATATTTTTCAACGTATCTGCAATTTTTACAATTTGATCCGATGACCTATGCGAACGTTGAAGCGGAAGCGTCTGACTGCCATGTTTTTTCTCTTTATTATGAGAAGATAAATGATTTTCGGAGAACGTATCGTGATATCTGTTCGAGTCCATTAAGTCAAAAGAAGAAGACTTCTTTTTAAAAGGTAAAGTATCGTGATGATGCCGGCCATTTGTTACAGGTGAATCTACCTCATTCACATCAATTCTACCGCTTTTATTCTTTTCAAACCGATGCGTACTATATTTCTCATCACTGTCATTCTGTTTATGTGGTTTTTGTTTATTTACTCGTAAATCATACTCTCGTTTGTGTAAAACATCTTCTCGATCACCAAGATCCTTGGAATATCCTAAACTTTCCAAATTTCTATATACAAAATCCCAGGAATCGTAACTGTTTTTCTCACTGGCCGATTTAGTGAACTTCTTGTCTATTCTTCCATAGTCATAATGATCTCCGTCACTTGACTGTCTTTTGTAAAAAACTACATCATCCAAATCTGATATTCGGTGAGAAGATTTACGATTATGTAACTTATCATAATTAGCAACCGATACAGGCATATCAAGCTCGATTAATCTACATGTCGGCACCCTTGTGTATGCAGGCATTGTAGTATAATAAGGATTAACTCCGCTTAAATATTTGTTACCCTGCGGTAAACACCCATAGGCACTACATCGATTGACAAAACCGTGATCCATCGGCTGAAAGTATCTGTAATTTCCAGGTATCGTATTTGTGTCTTCTATGTACCGATAATCTGACTGACATGCAGGCATTGGCATATTATAATTGGGAGGCATTATGTGATAGGGAACCGACGGTGACGCTGCATCTATGCATGTGGCTTGTGGGTAATGATAGTCCCTATAATTTTCTGCCTTTGGTCGATTTTGATGCATCTTTTCGAGGAAACGATAATTTAACGCCCTAATCGCCTGCTCCGGTGTACCAACATGATTTTCTCGAAATTCTAAAACTTCTAACCACGAGATGGTACAATTCTGTGAAACATTCTCCCATATTTGCTTTAAAATCTGTATTGAAAATAATTTTTTCATTCGAATATGTTTTATAAAGATTTATATAAAGATCATGTTACCTAATATTACCTGACATTCAACAAAAGCAACAATTGCATCTCTGCTCACACTAGATACTTTATCAGGATCAATAGGACCTTCTAATGTGAGTACTCCTAACCCTGTATGCTTGTATCCCATCTGTTCAAACATTAACTCTGCTCCTATTAAATTTGCTTCTACCTCGTGTTTATAATATCCACTATAAGTCTACAGAAAGAATAAAACAATTTAGTATTCTACAGTATTACAGAATTACATATGAATAATTTTAAGTATATTAACCCTTAAAATTCTATATTCTTTTCTCCAAGGTTGAGCCAAAAGATTAGCTGCATATAAAGAAATAGCACTCCATGCAGTTGCAGCTCTATATCCACTAAAATCCTGCAATGTAGCTGCTGATCTATGCAATATATCTGCAGTTTCTTGAAATACATATTTATTTTCATTTGGAACAAGGCAAAGGTATTCTTTGATAAAACCTGGAACATGTATAATTGAATTTATTAAAATAATTGAAAGTTTAATTTCCTTGCTGGACATTACTTAATTTACCTTCAAGTTTGTGACGTTGTTGTAGTTTTAAAGGACTGTCATCTGTTTGTAAATAAACCAAATGACTTTGTTCTAATTTTGTACTAATTTCTTGTAATCTATCTTTATCTTTCATTATTAAGTCATTCGCCATTTTTGTCACTGCAAAAACATGTTTTACAACACTATTCTTTTTGTATTGTATATACTGTCATTTACTTACACTAACATTTAAATTCTTTTACATAAATAAAGAAACAAATGTTAACATAAATAATGTATGATATTAAAGATCTAATTGAGAAGAAATAATATAAGAATAATATCAATGTAAAATAAAAACAGGGTAAGAGATATTGGAGAATAGAGATCTTTCACACCTATTACAAAACCTTTTAGAAATGCAGTTTTAGATTAAATTCTTGATTCAAACTATGGCTAGCTCCAACCTAAAAATAAATCCTATATTTAGAAGCACTGCTACAGTGTTTACTCTGGGAGCTACCATAATATATCCTCTATTTGGAAGATGCCCCATCTCAAGTAAAAACGTCCATCGACTTTTTTATTCTGTTTTAAAAACATGTTACATCACTCCATAAACAATAAATATTTTTCTTCACAACCGTTTTCTTGGTTATGTTCGTGTTATATCATGACCATGAGATAAACACATACTAGAGATCCAAGTGGCGATGGAAATGAATTTTTTAAAATGTGTATAATATAATAAAAGCATGGTCGATATCCATGTCGAGCGACTGTCGTCAACTTTTAACAAACGTCAAACTTGTGTATAATTCATGTCATTGTTTACATCAAACTCTTGTCAGGTTATTTTATGTTTAATATAGTTAAAAAACGTTAGAATCACAAGATGATGACAGATATAGAGGAGGCAGAAGTGATAAAAATTCAGCCACAAATTGAACAGCATGAGAGGTAAGCTTTCCTGTTTGTTTAGATGTTTACAATATCACTCAGTGGCAGCTGTATGTTTTGCATTTAACAACCCTTTTCCTAAAAATAATAATAAATATTTTTGTGTTTTATAGCGATGAAATTAAAGTGGACTTTTCAGAAGCTGCTAAGAAGTTAGCTCAAGGTCTATTAAATATTTATCAATTGCCGTTGGAACAAGTTCAGAAAGAACTTACTGAAGTCACGTAAGAAGAAATAAAAAGTATTAGTGTTGCTTATATTTCTCATTTTTTTTTATATTATTTTTGTTTAGGAATAAACAAGAAACTTTACTCAGTCAAATGCAAACTGAGAATAAAAAACTTCAAGAAACTTTTGATGATGTTAAATTGAATGAAATGGTAAGAAAACTTGCTCCAGTAAAGAATGTTCTCTATCATTAGATGATAAATTTTCTATAATAAACTTTTAGTATAAATTGATAATGTAAAGCAAAGTATAGAAATGCAAGCAAATATATATTGCAGTTTCAAACTATTAAACTTTATCAAGGGAAGTTAACTTTAATGAAAAAAGAAATGGCTTCTGTTCATGAGAGGACATGTAAATTGAAAGTAAGTATTTATAATTTATAATATAATTCATATACATTTTTAGTATGGTGTTATTTTTCTTACAGAAACGAGCATTGAGGTTGCAACAAATAAAACAGAAAGAGGCCTTGAGTAGAGAACACCAACGAGAACAAGAAGTTCGTCGTGAACAAGAATTAATTGGTAAGCCTACGATAAGCTAAGAAAAACATCGTGTAATCAGAACGATCAATATCATCAATGATATTTAGCTGTACAGAGAGACAATGTAATTTATATGTTCACTTACAGTAAAATTTACATCTAAACTCAGTCAACTGAACATAGCATCTTATGTATTGTATGTTATCAAACTAACTGTTACCAAACAATTTCCCAGTGTCCATTAGAGTTACATCCTTTACCCTCTTTACATAAATGATTAAATGTTGTTTCAGTAGGAAAACCAATTATCTCCCTATCTTCTTGTATCCTAAATGTAAATGTTGATTCATATGTTCCTATAAAGTATCTACAAAAAGGTGTAAATAGTACATTGATTTTATCTATAATAAAAAAGTAAGATATTGTTATTAATTGTTACCTAGCATAAGAACATATTATTTGATCAATAATTGCAACTCCACCATCCTTAAATTTATTTAGTACATAATCCGATGGAATAAATTTTAAAACCGTGTAATCAGATAAATATCCTTCAAGTTCTTTAAATTCTGCAAAGATTAATTCAATGAGTACATTTACTGAAATTTTCTACATAAAAATTTACCTTGTTGTGTAGCATCTGTAGCAACAAACAGATGGTTTAATCCTAGTTTGTTTATCTTTGTTTTCAATTGCATAGCAGCAGATTTTATTGTTGGTACCGTTGAAGAACGACCAACTAGAAAGTCGCGTCTTCTCAAATGAACTGATAAATATGGTCCTCCAATTGCATTTCTTCTACTCTAGAATTAAAAAATTCCATCTGAAGATTTTTATTTTCCAACACTTCTAACTAAATACCTTTTCCTTAGTCCAGTCACTTGGTAGTTCTGTGTTATCATATTCATTTGTTGAATTAAAGAAAGTTTTTCTATATTCATTTGCAATATTATATAACTCAGAATTATATCTCATACTTCTTCTAGCTCTCCAATATTCCTTTGTACCATAGAAATCATGCAATGCAATTTCCATGTGATCAAACATTACAGACCTGTAAGAATAATTATATTAATGAATTATATAAAACATTGTACATAAAATAATGAATAACATCAGAAACATAATGTACCTTCTCACCTATAAATATTAGGCTTAATATTTTGCTTAAGATTTGATACCATACCATGAAACTTAATACATTCAACAGCTTTGGAAGTTATATTATTATAGCCCCAAAAATATCCATTATATTCATTGGATATTAATTTATGATACCATAAAGATTCATCAGTACATTCTACTATTTCATTTTTGTCTTCAAATTTTCCTGTTTTGAACATATCTTCATCATTTTGTAGAATATATGTAACATCAAGATGTGTTATCTTATTTTCTGAGGGATACTCTAAAAATATAAACTTCTATTAATTTTATCAGTAAAAATGAATGGATAAAATCTTATACCTTGTAAAAATTGGTACATTTCAATAACTGGTATGTATCTTTGTAAACTAACAATATCAAAAAATAAGCTCCAGGGCAATTGTGTTTGAATTCCTATATGTTTACTTCGCCAATGATATAAATTACCTATAAACAAAAGAATATTATCTATAATAAATAATAATATACATTAAAAAACTACTAATAAATTACAATCTCACCCCATGGTGGTAAAACTAATTGCCACTTAAATTCTTTCTCTTGCCTAAGTAAATTTTTTATGAAAACTGCAATGCGAATATAAACATCTCTTCTTAGATTGAATCCTTCTGGGGGATTAACGTCATAAAGGATGTAACTGAAAAACAATATTATATGTTATTATTTATAAAAATATCTTTAATTTTATGCATTAAGAAAAAAAGTTTAAAATAATTTCGAACCGATTTTTTGAATAGTGTGATTGAATGTTACATTTATTATCAGTCTCTCCATATTCGTTAGCTTTATCACAAAATCCATTTTCAAGGGTACTTAATGTGAAATTAATAAAACATAATATAAGATATAACTCCTTGAAGGACATGAAATTTAACATTTTTAGGTTATATATCACACCTGTTCCAGAGAGGGAATATCTCAGATTTCAGATGATGATATTAAATAATGTAGAAACTGTTTTGTATAACATTTTACACTTATATAAATCTGTTGGAAAAATATATGTATGACAAATAAATTTATGCTTCTGAGATTATTCAAGGTCTTTCCATTTATGAATAATTGTTTTCTTCCCAGAAATTGAAGTATTTCCATTCATTGATGACAAAATCTGTTCCTTAAATAGTAAGATTAAGGATAGTAAAAAACAACAATAATAACAGCAACATTGTACAGATTGATTTTTGTTATACACGAATTACAGACTCAGATTTCCCTTATTTGAAAATGGTTGATGGGTAGATTACAATTAGCTAATTCAATTAATAATAGTTATAATAATGATAATAATAATTATTATTTATCGTCTTATACAATATTTATAATTTATAGTTCAGTTAACATAGTTTGTACCCTCCTTATATCAAGTAGGGCTGTTATGTTACATTTACTGTGACTCGTTTCTCATATCCTTCAATTTATCCTATTAAAGTATACACTTGGCATATAAAAATTACAAGGACAATTTATAGTGGTAATGATAGTAGCTGTAGTTGTAATAATATTTATGATAGTGGTATCACTAACAGTAGTGTAGTAATAGTAATAGTCATAATTGTAGTACTAGCAGCAGTAATGGTAGCAATAATAATGTTATCATTATAGTTATTTATTTGATAACTGCTTTGTCATTATCTTTTTTATGAATTTAATTTTTCACACGTATACTTGATGAAATCTTAGATCCAATTCTTGGTTTCTTTAAGGTTTCAGGGTCTCTAAAAATTTTGTGCCTCGTTGTAATTTTTAAATATATACTGTTTGATAGTTTCTTCTCACATTTTATTAGCAATGACGTTAACTGGTAGTAGAATTCTTCTTCAGCAAACAGTGGTACATACTATAATACTGAATTGTCATTATATAATAAATATAACACAAAATTCATTTATATTATACTAATTTCCCTCTTGCTTTGCATCTCTATACGAATTCTCTATTGTTAACATCACAGCTAAAACGATGTTTTATGTCAACATAAGACAATATTTTACACTTAATACAAAAAACGTGAAGTAGTACATGATATTAATAGCTTTCAAACAAAATGAGTACAAACAGCACAGTGCACTCATTTCAGTGTACTATATAGTGTTTGTATAATATTTATATACATATGTATATATACACATTTGTTATGAGTACATATACATATTTGTCTATATTTATATCTAAACATAATTGAATTTAAAACTTATTATTACCAAAAATGAAATGAAACTTAAAATAAGATTTACATTGGTGTTCTATTTTATTCACTAAAAAATTACAAATATTAAATGAATAAATAATTATATGAATCGACTTGTAGATGCTAGAAATAACACTTTTTACATTTTCCAAGTACAAAACTATCTTGAATACAAGAAACATAATTTAAGTAGATGTGAAAATCTTATGTTAAACGAATAAGTACAAATTGCATTAAAAATTCATCTTTAAAAACAATATAAAATTGAACTAAATATCCTTGTAATTTCTGTACTGGATAGTGTATGAAGTTTTTTAAAATTTGTTTTTTTTGTGCACTGTGTATTGTAATATATACATACTAGATATACATATATATTACAGACACACGCACACACATATATATAAAAATATACATATGTGAGTGCATACATATTTTTATACTACTTCACATTTAAAGAGTTGACAATTGTTTACTTAATAGCACAATCGCAGTTTTTATGCTGGCACAGTTAACTGACACTCTAGATAAAGTTGTCAGATATGAACAAAAAGAAGTACAAATATTGATAATTTAGACATTTGTTGTATAGAATCATCGCATACAAAATAATTTATTTAATATCATTTCCTGCTACATAAAATTTCTTTAATTAAATTACATATTACATTTTATTCTGTAGGTGACGATCCTGACAAAAAATGCCACTTAAATTGAATTAAATTTCTGTTTTTATTTCATGTAAAGTGTGCCCAATGACTCGTACGTCATTTTTATTTTATAATTTCGAATAATTTTCTTTGCTTCTGAATAAATTTATCCTATATAGTTTTTACATAGCCATCAAAGTTTCATATTATACAATGCAATGACTACTCTAAATTGATAATTGTAGCCTTCATATTTCCAAATTACTATTGCAACTTAAATTTAAACAAATTGTAAGAGAATTCATTGCAAACTTTATTCAGAAGTAAAGTAATTCAATGTCTGATAGTTATTTCAATTTTCATCCAAAGTATATGACGCTTGCAGGATACTTAACTGCATTGGGCGTGTAATGAAATGTTTGTAAATTACAGAATTGTTAATAAATAATTCATATATACATAGAGAATGATATATACAGATACACACTCTCACACACACGTGCGCTGGCGCATACATATGTACAGTATTAGCATTAACACTCACAAACATATGTCGTACAAAAATCCAGAATAATGTCGAACTTGTTCTTCCGTCAGTTCGGTCGAATTGAGCATAAAAAGAAAAAGTTTACAAAGAAAAAAAATACATTATAAAGTAACACATACCACGTATTGTTACATCACAATATTACACATGATTACGTGTATGCTTTTATCATATATATCTTAACATGTATTTTTTTCCAAGGCAAACGATAAAACAAAAATGAAAATTGTACACAGAAACAATTATATTTTTATGTAATTCTATCTACTATAAACACTTTTTACAATTGTATGATATGTTTAAACTGATAATAAAGAAACATAAACGCTTTATATGTCTTTCTTTTCGATACTGTTACAATGCTATATTTATATGAAACTATTATATTCATTTAAATAAAATTCTTCAAGCATTGCTGAAGACAATATTTAATATATTGAACAATTTTAGTGGTTCTATCAGCATATATAGACAAAAGAAGATTGGAATACAATTTTCCAAACACAAAGGTGGAGAATGTTTAAAGGAAATCGAAGGCAAGACGAAATCTAAGTTTAAGCAATAATTCCTTACTTTTTGGTAAAAATATTACGAATATAATAGTTATTAGCCTTGCTTATTAAAGCTCTATTCGATACCGAGCAGTCGGAGGCTGGATTCAGGCGAAACTTTATTTCTTTTATATCTATGTATATATTTATAGTTAAATACATAGAAGGCGGCAAAGCTGCTACATACCGAGTCATGATTTACATATATGCCATTATGAATGTGTCTGCGTTTTTTGGAAGGTTTGCTTTCTTTCCTTTTCCTTGGAATGTCCATAGACACTATTAACTAGCATACATTAAAAATAAGTTCAGTCATTTACATATACTGCAGACACTTCCGAAAGGGAGAGACGGCCATTCTGTTTCACAAATTGCCTTGACTTTGTATATCTATTCATTTGTACAAATTGGTTCTGTACAATCGTTCGTGTAGCTTTATATTAGGGCGAAAAGGGTACATATTGTAACGCTATATTCTGAAAATACTTCAAACCGAAGTTTCTTCACAATATATTTAGAAAATTGTTTTTCGTTATCGTTAAAAAACTAAATCTGTGTGTAGTTTCACATTACTGTTTCTCTATTATTCAATGATCCGTTCTTTAACAATTGCAAGTCAATCTTACACATTTTGGATGATTTGTTTTTCAACCCAATGTCAATCAGAAATTCCGATTTAATGCGCCATGAAGAATTAATTATAAATTACAAATCATGGAACAAGTTAACAATGTATTTATGCAAAAGATAAAGTAACCGGTACCACCGTATCTCAGTATTGAGGTAGCGTAACGTTGCTTTGGCTTAGCGAGTCTTTCTGATTACCTAGAAATATTTCAACTGATCGGTGGTACTTGCTAAATAATAAAGGAAAAAAAAAAAAAAAAAAGAAAAGAAAGTATTATACGCCGAAGGATGAAACTGTACATTATGATCTTTACATGTAGGATGATATTTTGATCTTTCTACTGCATATATATCTCGAGTGCCAACGTTAAATTACACATGTATGACTGTTAAATCATCGTGCTGTATTGCGACGTCTTTGGTAGAAACTATTTGGTACGTTTGCGCCCATTCGGAAGGTCATTGCAGAGCCGCGGAGTTACAACGAATGAACAGCTTGCAGGGGGTACTTCACAGGGAAACAAACATCAACAACAATGATTCATCAAGTATCAACAACGTTAACAACATCCCATTATAACTTATCATCATTATTGTGATCGTCTCTATCATGACCAGTTTTTGTCAATACAGTCACTGTCATAAGTCTCAGTCTTTCGCCACACCTTCAGTTTGATAACATTTGTAATGGATAATTATAATTATCATCGCAATCATTGTCTTCAGCAACATCATCACTATTGTTTTAGCAAATATTTATGGCCATTATCAGTGTATTTGTTTTTTCTTTTGCTGTTCTCGTTATGGCCATTTTTTTTCTTTCTTATCCCGTGACATTTCTTTACATTTATAACAGTTTTTTTGTCACCACCGATCGAGTCCAACGATAATAAATTTCTGCAAGTTTTAAATAAAATTAGACACTAAGAGATACTTATAAATGAACTATCAACAAAAAATTTCTTTGAACAAAATGCTAGAGAGCAGAATGAAAAAAAAAAAAAAACAATTACCTTGTAACAATGAGAAAATCAATGATACATAATAAAGATATAATTATACGTATATAATTATGACTGATCGATAGTTCAGTTAATTAAAATTACAAAGTTTCTTAATTTTATAACATCTACTAACTTCATACACGTACTTATACATTGCGCGATTATTTTGGTATAAAATGTCTGTTCTTAGTCCACGGTAAATAAAAAGCGAGCTTTTTAAACACGTCCCATGCAACTGCTTTCCTGTTTCATAGTTTCTTAGTTATGATAGTTGCTTGCTTCAGTGTAATTTTTGAATATATTACGTGTTTATATGTGATCTACAAACATTTAAAATTCATCGAAATAACAGAGGAGAACAAGTATCCCGGTACTCCTTCTGTACAAAGTAATATGTATATATATATATATAATATGTATATGTATATGTATGGCTTATTAGGTCACCATCTTATAGATCCAGAAATATAGAACGCAGTCTTTTCCTTGTACATAAATAGTTTCCTCGAGAGCAATGGCACTAATATAATTTGGGGATTTTTATTTTGTGCGGTAAGTGGTATCAAAATAGATGCTGCTTTAACTATTTGTTACAGAGTATAAGTACATAATATAGTATAAGAAATATGCGATCACGCGTTGAAAAATTTTTTTTTTACAAACTACCATGATATTATTAGTTCGAAACTACAAATCGCTACCCTTAAAAAAATCAAGATAAATTAGACAGAATTATTGTCGTAATTACCTATAACTGATATTTCTTTTGGCTTTCGAGGAAAAATATATATATATCTCATGATTTTCCCGACCGCTCACTACATTTCAGTATCTATATGAGAGCAATTCATCAAGAATTATTATTATTTTCTTTTTTTTTTTTTTGTTCTCAGTGAAATAAGTAACATGCGATTTATGAAACGCGTGACGCAAAAATCGATAAAACGCTTTAAATTTTCTTATTGAACATACGATATAATCATCCTTTTTTAACAGTTTTATGTTCAATCACTCTTTCATACTACCGCATGTTACACTCTTAACAGTATAAAGTTACCCTTAGAATGATACTTAAAGCTCTTACAACACACTTGCGTACAGAGAGTAGTAATATCTGGGGTTTCAGACTAGACATGGTGTGGTTGAAGATGAGGCAGCCTACTAGACGAGTTGGATCAGGATTTCATACTATTCGATTCATCGAGTCGCCTCTCTGTTCCTACTGTTAATAAATTAGCAAATTCCATTTCTAACAGTTGTCGAGCCTGTTGAAGTACAAAACATAATTAGCAAATTAATAACTAACAATCACCGATTAATCAAAATCGGTACATACTTGTGTGTTTTGGGTCGGAATTTGCAAAGCTAAAGCAAAACTATTTGCATCGAAACTTTCATCGAGGGCTACAAGAGCTCCGTGTACCCCAGATTCCAAGAGGTTGTTCCCGTATTCCTAAATGCACAAAATTACATACTGTGTCATAGTTTTTCAATAAAATGTAAAAACAATTTGAGCGGTAGAATTACTTTCAGGCCGATAGATTGCACCCATCTTATAACGCGATCGTTACTCCATACAAGAACATCGACGTTGGCACCTTCCGCCATTCGTCTTCTTTCTTCTAATTGTTGCCTATCATAATTTAATCGCTTCAAACACGAAATGCCATACTGCAAACTTGTTCTATAGAAAGACATGAAATTCAGTTCAACCAAACGGAAATTAATCATTCAACCCTTGAATCTTTTTTCAACGAGTTTTACCTGTGGAAACTATCAACCATTCTAAGTTGACCACGAAGGTCTTTTTTTGTAAGGTGATCCAACATTCTAGCATCGACAAGGCACTCCATGAAAGTGGATCGGTATTGAGGCAATCCAAGACTTGGAAGCCAAACATTACCAATCCATTCGTGGTTCATATCTCCAAATGCTAAAGTTGTGCGAGAGGTTTTTGGTGCTGATGGACTTGTCAGTGACACCATTTCTTGGATAGCTAATCGTAATTTCAATCGATGTAAAGGATTACTGTGACAGACATTAATAAATTAATTATAAAACATGTACGTGATACTGTGCAATGTATCATGATTAAAGTCAATTTCTTTACGTACCTTATACCGATTTCGCGTTGGATTTCGGTATCGCTAAGAGCACTCATGATGGCACCGCTTTTCACATTGGCCCGGCAGGCTGCTACGTACCAGGTAGGCATACCGACCCATAATTCAAGCCAAGCCACCACAGTTGGCCCGTTCCACAAAGCAAACGGGGTTCCAGCTCGCATCGCTTCCGCCAAAAGCTCGTGCCTCGATGAATCTAGCATACTTCCAAACATACTAGGACTAAACAAAAATTTCCGTATCTTCTGACTATCTTAATTAATATAAACACACCTCTATGATGTGTATATTATCTGGCAATCAAGATACCTTTTCTTTTTTCTACGATCAAAATCACTTTTGCTGCCCATAGTTCCAGCCACAGAAACGCTATCTCCATAATCAGGATCCGCAGGTGTACTTGCTCCTCCCATACCAGGTATATCTCCAGGCATTGGCGTGTCTTTTCCCTTTATCTAAAAAGAACAAAGTGTTTTATTTTTATTTCTCCAACATAGTTTCATATATGTCAGCTGTTCACCTTTTCCTTCTTGCTGAAAAATCTTCCAAGGCTGCTCTTAATCCCCTTCTTCTTTTGAGCTGCAGCCACCGCTGCTGCTGTAGCTGGACTCATGGTTGACTGCATGTGCAAATGCGAGCTAGACAGTTGTCCAATCGCCAATCCGACACCAGGCAAGTTGTTCTTGTGCAAACTGTCCTGGCTGCTATGGCGTGAGGACAATGGGGAAGGGGGAGTCCCAGAATTGAGTGCGCCGTTGTTATGTTGCCCATGCCTGCTGCATGGAGCGCTAATCTAGTTTCTCTAATCTCTACTCTAAACAATGCATTCTGGCCCACGCACTATTTGCCATTGATTTTATTCTATGTTCTATGGAACTTCATTTTCTTGCATAGCAAAGCATTTGATTCAAAGTGTCAAAGTTATTTTAAGATTTTTTAAAGCGTACATCCATCAATTATTATCAGCCATACTTATTAAACTGACTAATATTTGGTGCTTGTTAAAATATGATCAGGGAACTTACTGAGCCAAGTGAATTGCATTACTTTATAAGTATTAGCAATGATATGAGTCAAGTGCTTATGAATGATTATTTATAGGTATAAGCACAAATGCTATTTAATTTTTAAGAATGTGTACGAAACGGTTTATTCTCTTTATTCAATGAATTGAAAACTATTCGTTATGTTAAAGCATTCAAATTGCAACTGTTTATCATTTGCTACAAAATTGTTTCAACTATGAATAACTGTAAGGTTCTTTGCAAGCATAAGCCTGAAACTGTTTTATTTTATTCTACTATATGACAATTACTACTAGCGCGCGTAACTTGTAAATTAAAGAAAAACAGCAATATCAGCGGTTTCAGAAGTCCATAGAAAATATCAATTGAACGATATCTATTTTATAAACATGACACGGTACATGACTGAATGAAATAAGATATTTTTCTAGGGACATCTAAAAGAATAAAATTTGTAAAAAGATAAATGTTGTAATACCTACTCAGTATTACAGGCAAGGCATAAAAACCTGGAAATATAGCTAATCACTGCTTTTGAGATGGGATTGCCATATTAAGTACTCTTTAGGGACAAAGATATAGAAAGACTAATTTTTTATTAATAAACTCTGTGAAAACAATTGCAGTTGTTTGGTTCGATACAAGATTAATCGCTTTTTACAGATTGTATAATATGATCGAATCTATCTATATCTTTGTAATCAATTTTATAAAGAAACAACCTTGTCCGCGTAGGAGATTGAAACGCGACGTTAACTCGATGCAATTCTCTTGGCTGTTTAAATTCCCTCGTCTGTCTTAGAGAGCGATGTCTGTCGTGAACTTGGCAGGCTTGAATGTACGATGGGTGGAAGAAGCTATTATCAGTTTCTTCCAGGGATTGATTTCTATCAGATCTATCAGATGGTTCGTCCGTACCACTGTGCTCGAAAATTGGGGCTGTAGGCATGTATATGGATACCTTGCATACTACTAATTTATTGTAAGTATATCTTTTTAATGATAATTTAATATCATTTCAGGAAATCCTTTTTTTCCAAGAAAAAGGTATAAAAAGGATCTGTGTTACCATCAGTGTCACTTAAGTCGACTTCAAGATTGTTCATTTCATGCCCACATGGCCCGTTCAAATATGTCGTGCACAGAGGCATATGTTGCGGATTACATGCAGTACTACAATCTTTAATTAACCTGTGAGCAGGAAAACCACTGCTGGGAAATCCGGCTTGTCCAGTGCGTCTGGCAGCATAAACAACGCACAATACTAACTACTTACAAAATAATTACATGAACTTTGGTAACCAGATCTCTATATATCCAAGAACTTTCTTTAACACCTTCAATAATTTAACGAACAACTCTTTGTTTCTTAGCCAAACGAAAAAAGGATAATAAATTAAAGTTGTTAAGGTCCTCGTTGCTAGAGATGTGGTTGTTAAAGTATTGTATAACATAGTACTATCAATTTTTTAATAGAGCTTGTGTGGTTCAGATATCAGATCCACAAAGGAATTTGAAGTTTGACAGTATTGATAAATTGAAAATTAAAGACATACCTTCTCAGTTCTTCTTGACTATGAGCAAGTGCTTGTACTACTCGTTCCAGCCTGATTGATCGAGCAGTTAACGGTGAGGCTGCATCGCTGCCACCGCTTCCTGCACCACCGGTGCTATCCCTTTCGCTCACCGAATGCAGTTCTTCACCTGATAACTGTAACTGTGGCATGCATAAAATTGCATAAACATTTCCCTTGGTTTAGGAACTCGCGTGATTATAACCATGATCACTAACCTGACTTGCAGGAAGGGATTCAGAAAGTTGACCCGGGCTAGCTAAGGAAGCAGCATATTGATGGAGATGCGCTGGAGACATTGATGCCGGTGCCTTTGAAATGATAATTATTTTTTATAAAAATATTTCAGCAATACTGAAAATTACAAAAAAACACTTACAGTATGATATTTATGTAAGTAATCCCTATTAGGACTATGATGAGATTTAGGTGTGGATCTTCCGCTCAATGGTGGCGACGCTCGTTCCAAACTTCTACCTCTCGCTAATAAATTCATATGTTCAAGACTGCCAACTCGTGATTCCAATTCTTCTGCACGAGCTTCCGTACTTTGTTTTTCTTCCTTCATAGAAATTAAACGTCGATGTTAAGTCGCGTTTTCTCATCGAATTAATAATACTTAAGTTACCTGAATCAACCTAATTTCATTATTAATTGCATCTAATTGTTCTTGTAGCATCAACGCTAACGTTTGAGCATCTGTATGCCCTGTAGGGCTAATTACATCAGCCGCACAACTGAAAAGACTTTCATTATCTCCGTCACCCTCTGCGTCACTGGAAACGTCAAACGCTTGTTGCACATTGGCTAGAACATGCGCTTGCTGTAATTTTTCCCATTCTTGTTCCGCTAAAGTGCGAGCTACGTAATTCTGAAAAACGAAGCAACGTTGTAGGTATATTTATCTACTGCAGATGGTTATGTATGGGAAGTTCTTTTCACCTTTGCTGGATCTTCTTCCATCGCTGGACGTTTAGCCGTTCTCCTTGGTAACGAATGGGTGTCGAAGCTACTGTGACTTGCACTTCTAGAAAAGGAACCTGGATCCACTGCATTGGGAGACAAACTTCTAGTCAAAGCGTCCGTTTGTTGTATATTAAATGCGATTTCTTGCTGAAGCATCTGCCTTTTTACATTATCAATTTCAAGACGTGCTTTTCCTAATTCTTTAACTATTTCAGCCTTTTCATTTTGGAGATCTTCAGCGATCTTTCTTGTCTTTTCAAGCTCCTGCGTAAGAGCATTCTTTTCTTCTAATGCGTGCATTCTCTCTTTCAAATGCACTTGTAATCTTTCGTTAGATTCTGAAACAATATATCTAGACATAAATATAACAAGGTTGTTGATAGAAATGAATTCATGGAAGATGAATATAAATTACCGGACAAAAGTTTATCAACTGTTGTACTAAGCCGTGTATTATGTTCTTCGTTCATTTTAAGTCGTTGATTAACACGCATCACTTCAGCGTTCTTTTCCTCTAGTTGTGTTTCCAATCTTTGTATCCTATCCTCTGCACTACCGTGCCTTTCTTGAGCCTGCTTATTAAACATTTCATGTAATTAAAATTAACTGCTTAAATGAAACATTGATTTGTAATTACTTTTCGTTTGTTAATAAGAATATGACTAATTTAATTAGCTCTTATTTTAAACAGGGTAAAAGGAAAATCTAATTTGAAATTGTAACAAATGTAATTGAAGAATGTACACATGCCTACACATATAGTTGTAGAAATATGTGACAAGAAAATGAAATTATAAATGACTAACAAGCTAAAAATAATTACATCGATCATAGTGTTTAATACTCTTGATGTTAAACAGAAAATAAACACTCGTTTTCAATTTTACCTGTGTGTAAATAATTATTAACATCGTCACATTGGGTGAAAATTTTAAATTGTATTTGTTGTTTGTGTAGCATATAATCAGATATTGCATAAATAATAATAAAGTACATAGGTAGGAAGAATAAATTGCTGCAACTTTAATACACGAACTAAAGTATACAGCGAAAATTGTAAGAAAGAAATTTCGGAGGGTCAAGCATTCTATACATATTCCGGGAGGTATCAAAGTGCAGAGGAATAAGAAAAGAATAAATTGATGATACAACGATTTAATTCCCCTGCGTACCTGGTTGGGCCTCCTCACCTGCGTCAGAGCCTCCATCCTCTGCTTTAATTGCTCTTCCATTTCTGGCAACTTAGCGTATTGAGCTAATTTCTGTTCTGCAAGTTCTAATTTTTCTTGTATTGCTGATATTTTTTCTTCTTGGAGCTAAAAATAACATTTAACAATGGAATCGAATATAAACATTAAACCTATGTTCATTAAATATTAATCAGAGACGTTGATTATAATCGACGGTAATTACCTTTAATTGAGCCTTCTTGTGTTGCAGCTCCTGTTCCAACTTTTCGTTGAGATCGTGTAAACTAGTGGATTCGCGTTGAGCATTAAGGTATCGTTTTTCAAGAGTTGCTATCCTTTCTTCCTGGTCCTCTTTTTGGGCAACATTTTCACGTAAATCTCTTTGCAGTTTCACGTTCGTTTCTTGCGTTTTCAGAAGATCTTTCTGAGCCTTGGATAAGCTTTCTTCCAATTCAGCTACTCGTCCACTTAACTCAGCTACCCGCCGTTGCCACGTGCTCAATTCTGAGCTCTAAAATAATCATTTTAATATATTATTTAAACATCAACACGTGTTTGCTGTATCGTTTGTGAATGTGAAAAGAGTAGAGAAAATTGTGTTCCTTAAATTGAAAGTAATACAACTATACAGTCTGTAACAAGACAGAATCATTTATCGTAGCTTTGAATCTGTAATGTATGTTTCACTACATTTAGCTGAGATTTATGTCTTTTAATTGTATAGAATGTTTCGTGTCGACATAAAAACGTTTTATTAATGATCAAGCAATTTATACAAAAAATTTGTTTCAAAAAACTTGATCTTTCTTCACTAAATCATGCGAATACAGAAAATTGAATATGTATTTGTCGTTAGATTCATTCCACAACATGCCATGGATGCCAATAAAAGTGGCACAGTCAACGAGGGAATAAAAGTCCATATTGTGTAAGATAGTGTTATAAAAAGGATATATCATCTATATTAAAGTCTTTGGAGAATCTTATTTAAAAATTACAGTATAAGAATGGGTGCAAATTGAAAGGTTGTTCTGCAGCTATTAATTATAATCTATAACACCTAATCTAAAATTCATTACTTTTCAGTTAAGTTAAATCAAAGCTACCCTTTCAGTCAAGTTAGTCTTGTATACGCTAATTTAACATCATGCATTATATATGGGAAACAACTGGAGGTCTCTAATCTCTCTCCAAAAATGATATATAATACCAAAAAACTGTTCTCCTACTTATCGTTAGTGTAAGTCTGTAAATCGCTTGAAAACACATGCAAAAAGGGAACAATTAACAACATGTTAGTTTTACAGAAAACACGTGTGACTAACAATAAGAAGAAACACTTTTAGCAGGTACAGATGATTAATCACAGATATTTATCTGTCTGAATCATTTTATACCAATAAGATGATACGTACACTGAAAGTAGTTTGCAGTTTCGTGGTTACAGTTTCATACCTGCTTGTCGAGAGTGGCTTGCAAATCAATTAATCGCGCAGCTGAATCCTGGTCCGACGGATCGAGAGTTCCATTGCTCAGTCTACTCCCGATTTCTGTCGACCTCTCCGTACCTAGCTTTTGTATCGACTGCTGTTGCTGCTGCTGTTGCTGAGGTTCTTGTTGCTGCTGTTGTTCCAGCTGGCCTGCTGCCTGCTCAGTCTCATTCTGCCCGATCACAACACTACATTCAGAACGCCTCGCTCGCATTGCCTGTCCTGCATCGCCGCGCAATTCCCAACAACTACATCTATCCAAGCTACGCGACTAAAGCCACTACCGTGCACGCTATAGCGGATGCATTTTTATGGATGCAACGATCGAGATGAGTGAGAAAAACGGATGATGGTCGTCGTCGGTTTATCGGTACAGATTTTTAACTCTATAGTTTTCTATGATTTCTACGAAGTTGACGTCAACTTATTCAAATTTATACCAAAATAGGCTTCTCTAAAGCTTCTCGATAATGTTAGATAAAACGATTAGCTATTTCTATTTTAGGATTATGATACATGAATCCTCGATGATTAAATGCTTTCAAGGTGATATCGATACAATGTGTCCTTTTGAGAGGATTGAAATCTGTGACCGATAACGTCGAAATCGATCAATATCTACAACGCCGACGTTATATAGAAGCTTATCACAAAAAAAAAAAAAAAAAAGGAGAGATAGAAGAACCAGGAGGGCTAGATGACGTAGAAAACGAACTTTATCGGTCCAGATAGAACGGCGGCTAATGTGAAATATGCTGAATTATTTAAAAAACCATGGACATGCATAGTGAAAAGATCGCCATAAATGCAATTCACGACGCTGAAACATGTTGAACACCCTTCGTATATGCACGATGATTGTGAATGTGAAGTATGAGGGCCAGTGTATGTGAGTGCATTTGCATGGGTATGCAGTATCGTAGAGGCGTTTCGTCGCTACCTTGTTTTGCTGCTGGCCATCCTCTGTCTGCCCATTTTCTTTGGGTCTATCCTCCATAGCTTTAGGCGCATGACCACTTAATTTATATTGCTGGAGCTGTAATTGAATCCATTTACACGATTAATATTGTATTTACAACTGTTTCTAGAAGATAGACCAATCTATATGATTATTCCTTAGAAACATAAAACGGTACCTCTTCTTTAATAATGGCTAACTCTTCTTCCAAGCTAGTATTCCTTTCCAATGCAACTCTCAATCGTTCTCGTACCTAAAATGAAAAATGTTATCTCTTAGCAAATGTTATTAACATTCTAAATACTTGATAGTATTTGTACCATTGATGTTCAACCGATAGGATAGAATCTAACACATCTAAAGACTGTTATATCATAAAATATTCTTTCGTTTGGTATTGTTCTCTCCCACCGGTTATGCAACTAGTTTGGGGGTTAAATAGGAATCGTTTTCATCCTCCCCCAAGGTTGCCAACGCGTCAATGTCGTGAAACAAAGGCTCAGAAGTTCTTACTTTCTCGTCTAAAGCCTTGTGGTGCTCGAACAGACTTTTCAGAGCTTTGAGCACTTCAACTTCGGACGATACTCCAGATTGCGCGGCCGCTTGCCTCTTCACCACAGTCATCCTAAGCGATCGCTCGTGCCGTGAGACCAGACATTCCAGATGTTCGAGCAGAAGCTGTGGAAAGGCAATAGAATCGTCTTGGTGAGCAATATCGTGGGCCACAAGTAGCTACGCTTCAAACTATAAAATGCATTTAAGTCCCGTTCTACGTACACGAGTATTATTCCTCTCTGCTTTCAGCTCCGATATTTCTTCCTCTCTTTCTAAAATACTCTCGCGTGCTGCTGCGAGCTCCTTCGTCAGCTGGGAAAATTCCTGAAATCAGAAAACGAATATATTAAAATCGATCCGTCGGATTAAAGAAAATATTAAGAAGATTATGCTCTATGAATTGCTTGAAATCGTCGAAAGGAACGAATTCGCAGGATTCGTTGATGGTTCTCGAAAAACCGATCGTCACAGGTGTCCACGCTTGGTCTCTGCGAGGAAACCCGACATGTAAACCGCACTTTCACCTTTTTCATTCAGCCGCATTTTACACACTTCTTCGAACGCGTTACTTCCGCTCGACATTCCAGCAGAATGCTAAATCTTTATTTATAAATGCTGGGTACGATCGATAACGGCTTCCCTGTACAAGCAACATCGACGCCAGTTCTATACAGTTTAAAAGGGGGGCAAACAGCTTCAGCTAAATTTAAACGACTCTCGTTTGTCCTTGCTCCTGTCCCTGATTTTCACAATCTTTTCATCTACTTCAATGGCAGTAAAGGGATTTCTTTTATATCAAAACGATGGACGATAAGGCCTTAAAGCGAACGTTGGACATTGTCTTCGAGTAGAGTGATATCGATGGATTCGAAAAGAGCTCATTATCCAGGCAAGGGTTGATTAATTACAAACCGATCGAGAGATCCTATTAAACCATTAGCTCTGCGTTGAACGAAATTACCGGGGAATACAGTCCTATGGAAACTGGCTACACGAAGAAGGAGGATCCTAATTTGCATATCAAGTTTCAGAATTTCAATGTATATCGTCGTGCCCTGGGAATCATTCCTGAATATCTGTAATCAGATGAGAAAACGTATTACCTGAACGATATCAACTACCATCTTGAGATATAAAATTTTGAAGAAGGAAGATCAAGAGAGATCTTGGAAAGCTCGAGTTTCATCAAAGAGAATTCTATCCAAATAGTTGTTAAAGCAAAGTGGATGGAAAGTAACACAGTCTTCCAAGTTTTTAATTTTTAAACAGATCATTTGAGGCATAATTAGCGATTAATGATCCGTGAAACGAGCATAGGTATATTACACAGATAATAACTGAAGGATAAACCGGATTATCATTGAACCTTCCAGATCCTGGTGAAGGTATTTGTAATATTAACAAAGATGATATTATGTAGTGAATTATTAATTGATCATTGTGTATCAGTCAACGTTAAATGATTAGTAATGAGAAACTAATCCCCTCGACCAGATGGATAATCTAGTTACGAGAGTGTTCCCACGAATAAAGAGCAGCAACAAAAGGCACGTTAGAGGCCAGTATTGTTCGGTTTAAACCAAATTAACGACGCTTTCCGTTCATTTCGTTTAAGCACCAAGTCGTCTGTAGGTTTCCATTCCCCTGAAGCTTATTGAATTTCGTACCCCAAGGTCTTCGACGATCATCTGGAACATTATTATGTAAGATTTCGCATTTCTTTGTTTCTAGCATTCTTCTAGAGCTTAGAGAGTATTTTTTATTCACCTTCACATTACAGGTAAGTTACTTTTGTTAATAAGATTGTACTTTTCTTTTCTTACTGAAATGTTTCAAACAAAAATTCTAAACAGGCTGTGTTCTTGCAACGATGTCTGGTGGTTAATTATTGTCTCGTACAGAAATAGCACACATGAAAAAATTCATTTCAATACCATATGTTCGCCTTTTTGCTATTTCAATTCATTTCATTCTATACCTTTGTATCCACTGTACTGCACGTTATCACTTGAAAAGTGGTAACTTTGCAAAGTACATTACAGAAAATAGATCTAATGAAATGCATGGTCGTCAAAGTGTTAATCTGGTAAACACAAATCTAGCAGAGATTTCATTCCTTCAGCTACTTGTTGCTCGAACAAATTATCATCAAATTCCAGCTTGCCTCGAGTTCTTAATCGTACTATTCGTTACGACCTCGTTAGTAAATATATCAATTATTTACACTGGCATTTGACACCTGGACAATTTCGCGGGCGATAATTATCAGTGACACGATTTACATCTCTCGCAAGTATTGCATAACAATTTATTATAATATGATCCTGGTATAACCGGCAATTAACACAACGTTAAATATTTATTCTCGTGTGATACTATTTATACACGTTATTTGGAAACGTGTTTTATTGAATAATAAACGATCCAATTTCCAATCACTGGTACATCTAAAAATCATAAAGTAATTTTTCATCCGTTTTCTTACGAACAGTCTGCAGTTAATGGCTGTACAATCTCCTTTTTTGTATAGTCATTATTAGTGTTGCTATCTCATTAAACTATGTTGCGTGTTTATTTCTTTCACAAGGATTTCAACTTAATGGTCCGAGTGTCCAATTTACGATAGAAATTGGCGTTCTTCCCTGGCGAAAACGTAAATTTCAATATCTCAATTCGCGCAACGCCGGAGGTCATGCACTTCTAACGAACTGCAGCTGCATAACTCTCACAGTCCGTTGCACCGTAAGCGCAAACTGCATGTCAGCACGCGAGTTTAAATCCCATCTTACGTACGCAAATCGATATCGCGTGAAACTAATCAACAATCCAGCCAAGGTGTTTAGATGACATCGTAACTGCGTCATGGAATCAATCAATACACGTGTCGACCTCGAACAATCGTTTCCTTCTGATTTTTCATTTCCGTTGGCTTGCATTTTTTTATTCACAGTCTCGAGACTAATTTAATCCTTTCTCTGCGTCAAACGTTTCGTTTCTCGAGTGTCTCTGTGCATTGAAATTTTGAAATATTCTCAGTGTTTTTATACCTGCACTGAAGTAGTTTCAGGGAAACCTGCAAATGACGTCGAAATGTTTCACTTGGAGAAGAAACAGCACTTCAAACAAGTCGGCAAGACGCTTTCGACGCTCAATTGTAAACAATACAAGTCTCGTTTCTGCAAATTACAAGGGAAAATCGAATTAAGTCAAGAGAGAGAGAGAGAGTAATGGCATTCAAGCTCATAATCTAATTCCATGAAAGTACAATGTTTTTTCACCCCTTGTTTCGTGTTTTAAACAACGACTGTGTAACGTCTGACAGCTCGTTATAATTACAGTTGGAATATACGATGATTGAAAAGAAGGGAAAAAGCTTGAAGAACCGTATGCGGCAATTTTAACGAGCACACCGGGAGCAATTGGTCGACGTGGAAAACTCTTACTGACTGACAATTACGCGATTATCCAGTTAGCGATGTTGTCGAAAGATTCTCGTGGAACAGTACAGTCGTTTAGTTTAATTTTCTCTCGCTGAACCGTGCAAAATAATTAGACACGACCGTACCAACTCATAATTGAGCGGTTACCTAGTTGAACGTCCTATTTTTCGACACGCTTCCTGTTACATTAGTTTGTACGTTCATTTCCTATGAACTCATTATTTATATTTAACATCCTTTTTCTTGTGACATTCAAGTCCAAGTGGGGTTAATTCTGAAAATTTTTGAAATCATCAGTTATCAATTGTGGAATTGAGAATATTGAAATAATAGAATTATGAAATATATTCACTGTACCTAATTATATATCTGTTAAGAAAGATACACTTTCAGATGAATCTGTGACGAGACTGAGTCTTTTTCAAGTTTCTAAAAAATCCATTTCAGAGTACTTCTCGAGTTCCTCGCTCTCTCTCTCTGCAAATAGTACCTATATTTTACACTATATTTACGGTAAAACGAGCGAGCCTCGGATACGAGGGGAGATTTTGATCGCAGATTCCACTCATAAATCTAGCGGCACCACTTTTAATCAGGCTGGAAAGCCCTTCGAATCAACAAGTCGCGAACAAGTCCACGATTATTTTTAGTCGGAGAAGAGGAGATTCGTACAAAGGAACTTTGTCTCTGCCAGCAAACGGGCAAGTTTCCGAAAGCCTTCTCGGCAACAACATAAACGTCTCGTCCGACCATGCCTGGTGGAACAATTAATAATAATCAATGTAATCAATGGAATCTTGAAGTTTCTTACACGGATAAGAAACTGAGATGAGAGACAATTATTCTTCGAAGAACTTGTATTCTTTGATGACCAAGGTATTTAGCACAAGCAAGGAATCTCTCTGCCTAGATCTTCTCATTACTATTTTAATAGTATGAGCTGGAAGCATGTAATGCGCAATGCCTGCATAATAACGAGTGACCGTCACTTTATTACGTGCGGCTTAACGAGTAATCTTATGCTTTAAGATAAAGAAGTCCTGTTCCGTAACTTGTTATTGCAGCCACTTTTATTTTCAATGATTTGAATGATACGTTAATACCAGGTCCGTCTGTTTCAAAGGTGGGAGAACACGAGTCAAAGAATGACTGTTCGTTATCAGTCACAAAATACAATGATACAGCAGTATTATCCTTACGTCGAATAAGAAGGAAATCTAGAAAAGAAAGATTTTTCAAAGTTAGACTGGCAGTGTTCTAAGCTACTTTCATTATTTAAGTTAAATAAAATGTTTGTGTAGCAGACATTCTTAGCAGACTTTAAGCCGGAAATTGATGTGCCACAAGTACTATTTTGCGCCACTTTTATGTCATCAAATCCTGTTAGACTTTCTAGGTAATATGATATGCAATTCCATCTGCAATTGAATTTCACCGACAATAAACGTCGTTTAATTAGAAAGGAAATAATAGAATATCTGAATAATCCTCTTTCGAATTTCTATTTAAAGTAACGAGTGGAAGAAAAGTGTTACAAAGTACTGTGAACCTGCGTTCCATAAATATTGCACGTGCACAAAGCATCCAAGGCTCACGTCCATCCACACAGTTCAATAACGTGGCGCAGGTTTGAAAACTATGCAACGTATTGCGGCAATATCCGTGTCTCGGTTTGTTAGAGTCTGAGAAACGTGTTGTGTATTCTCCTTCCATCATTAACATCGAAATCTCGAATAAAATAAATCTGAGCGCACCGTTCCCTTTGCTCGTTAAGCGAAAAGCTGACGCAAGTAGTTACGAGCGATCTAAAATAAAATTAAAAAAAAAAAATTAATAATAGATACAGTGTAGATGCACGCGAAGATAGAGTTACGTAAATATGTAAATAGTAGTGTCTAGTGGGGGGGAGCTGCATGCTTGTGCGTATGTTCGCGATTGAATGGTCCCCGGTATCGGGCGATTTGCATTCTTAACACTTGCACCAGCCAATTATACGTGCACGATAGTGCCTCCATAGTGTTAAGAGAGCAGCCAACACCCTGTTCTAACGGATGCAATTTCTACGTGCTTTCATGGCGTTCGTAGGCGTTGCGGACGGATTTTTTATCCGCTTGGATTAACACGTTGATCGCTACATTAGGAACAGTCGTATCCAGCACGGTACTCTACCGATAATACAAGAAATTTTGTCGCAACCCGTTCTATTCTTTCTTTTTCTTCGATCGCATCGGTAACGAGCGAAATGTTGAAGAAGATTTGAGGTAGAAGGAGAATAAAAAACGAAAGCCGAGGGAAAAGAAAGAATTACGAAGAGGGTGTGACGAGACGGGGTGGAACATGGCTTATATACATTGGTTCTCGTCTGAATCATCACTGCACGCGAATGGCTTCATTCATACGCGAATTTAAAGTACGTTCACGTGGAACGGTATTACAATATTTTCCCTGCGTCGATCGATCATTCTTTAAAGACCAGACTAACTACTCCCCAACGATTACGATTCAATTTTTCTATTAAGATACTTACAAGAAAGCTACTCCACGCTTTTTATACCTGACAGAGGTATAATTTAACGCGTGCTGTACGATTAACAATTTGCAAATTTCAATTACTAAGAAGACTCGAAAGAATGAACACCAGCGACAATCTCGCGCGAATGTAAACTATGCTAGAAAAACATATTTCACCGATCGTTTGCCAATGGTATAACACTCGTCGCCTTAGAAGTCTTCGAGGGAACAGGTGTGCAGTAGCTTTTCGCCGCGTTCATACGCGATTTCGCAAGATTATCTCGCCGCTTATCTGCCGCGTTTTATGTTTTACATCCGCTCGAGTTTAATTAGCGGGTAACACGAGAACGGGTGCTCGTAGCTTGCCATCGAAATGTCCGTCAGATGGGATGCGTGGGTGAGCACTTTCCTTTTCGTAGATGCCATTCACCCTTCAACTACGACACTTTCAAATGGCTTAAACAAATTTATCGTTCGAGCAATCCTCTAGCTAACTTGCCTTCGTAATTCTGCAAATAACGGCGATTGAAATTTTCAGACTATTCGTTGTAATATCGTAAGTTAATCTAAATAATTAGTCATACCGAACGAGATATTCCTATGAGTAATCAGTGATTTTATTTTACCATCGGTGTCTTTAGTTTCTCAACTTGCTTTATGTACAATCTACATCACTGTTCCCTTATAAAGGACATAGTTCTGTTTGCTCGCCAACTTATGACGAATAGTTTCCAGGAGTCGTGCATAATATGCACCAGATGTTTACACTTCGACTTGGCCACTGTGCAAATACCGACCTCCTTTGCTCTACTTGATGCAGATAATATACACTGTACATTCTGTCTAACTCTCCATAGAAATTCGTATCAATGTACGGTCACAGAAGCATCTACCTAAGAATATTAAAAACAAAAGATGAATATTAACATATAAAATCATAAGGTGTTAACGTGATATTTTGACAAATAGAAACTAAAGCTAGAGATACCTTTTATCGTCTAGTTTGAAGATCCCAAACCCACAATTGGTTTACCGAGGGAAAAATGTTTAAATAGCAGACAGGAGAGATAAGATGTTTGCATCATTGAACAACGAGTTCACGGCTGTGATTCGACACAGATTTGCTGAAAGAATTTCGATAACGGGTATCTATGTTTGCTAGGCTACTGAATGACCACAAGAATCGTGAAAATCATCCTCCTGAAACGCGTCACTGAATAACAAACAGCTTGTATTCTATTCACAGAATTTCAGGGGATAAAACGTACGGATTCGTTGAACAAATAATGTCAGTGATAAAGCGGAGAATATTATCAAGACAGCGAGATAAAAGAACAGAATTTTCCAACAATGCGAATCTCCCACGAATATGTTTCAGTTTTGTTTAGTTACGAGGATATAAAAAAGAAAAGAAAAGGATGATTTCCTGCGTGCACCAGCTGCAACTTCTGAAAGTTTCTCCGCGAGGATGATCTTAAGAGTTTGCACAATCGTGCGAGATGAATTCACCTCTCTCGAATTAATCGTATAACCCGAGTAATAATGCAGTGGGTGGATAGGGAGGCTAACGTTCGAACTATATACGGCACCGTGTGTCTTGCAAGTGCACTCTAAACACACGGTTCTCAACCTACATGTCAAGGAATATCAGAAACACGACAGGACCGACCCAGAAACTAATTTTTTTCGATGCTACGGAAACAGGAAAAAGAAAAAAAAGAACTGATCGATCAAACGACACGGTGAATAGAGAGAGAAAAAATATATAGGTCGGTCAGTTACGTGCCAACGATTATCGGGGATCTGAAAAATTGGACCGCATTTAATTCAGTCGCGTACAAAAAGTTTCAATGAATTTCAATTACTTCCTGTTTCGTACACCGAGTGATTGATGACGATTTCTATCTCCCATAGTACCAGTATTGTTTCAGAATTTTCAACAAAATTCCTATCCCCGAGTTTTTAACCATAAAGGTATTCTTGATTACAGTCCTGTGGTGTGCTTCAATTGATGATACTTAATAAAAGTGCTTTGTCTATTTTTGTTCATCGACCCATTTTAAATAGGAGTGACGTTTATCAATCAACCCTAGAAGATGATTCTCATCAGGATTTTTACCAAAACACTCTTATCCATCATTACAAATTTTATAAAGATCTGATTGATTCATAATGAAAAGATGAAAACCGCTGGGCTCGGTCGAGAAGACGGCGTTTGCAGCTCGCTGCAAACCGGCGCTGCTGCTGCATCGAGCCGCGCGCGAGTAGAGAGAGCTACTACTACCGAGTAGTGTGTAAAAGGCGAGGTTCATTCATGCGCCGCCGGCCGAGTAGGTGGGGTGGGTATTGATCGTGAAGCGTATATCGCGTACACCGGTGCATTGCACCCGCTCGGTTCGTCCTAGAAATTTTTACCCCAAACTTCCGCGCCACCTCCGCTCTACCTTTCCTTCCGTTTCCTATCGCATCGTTTCGTTTCGTCCTTTTCCCGAATTTCTAAGCCGAATCGTCATTCGGTCGCTCTCCAACCTTTTCCTCGACGAATAATCAGCCCTACCAGGGGGGAGATCGATAAACTTCCCGGGGCATCTTCGCAGCTTTCAAGGGACGATTTTCACGTGGACTGGGTGTTTCGTTCCATAGTAAAGGATGGTAATTCCAAAAGAAAAGAGATTTTCAACAGGAACCTTCAATCCTCTGCATTTCAAATATATTTCTTAGACACTGTATAGCTGCTACTCTGATCCAAATCCTAATCGCATAAAACCTTACGTTAATCCTATTTCTTTAAGGCAATAAACTAGTTGGAATAAACTAAATAGAAAATTACCAAATGATTACGGGAACTCTTGAAACGATTCCATCGCAATTTAAATATCTTCTATGGGAAGGGTCCGAGGTATAATCTTTTTTCGCCTTCAACCCTCGACTTCCATGGCACGCGGTTGCAGTTTTTTTGCAACCCTCTGGCCGGCATTGCGCGCCGAAACTGCGAGCGGGTCAGTTTTTCATCGCTCGATCGTTGGAAGGAGAAGAAAAAAAAATGAGCTTCCATCGTGAAAACTTTTCACCCTGGCTTCTGTCCCGGGTTCTACGACAGGACAAAACTCTCTGCAGTATCAGAAATGAAACACGGTCTTTGTGTCGCGTTGCCGCAGCTTCGAGATCGCTCCAAGCATGCTTGGCAGCGAATAATCCTTTCTTTCCGACGATGTTCTACCAGGATCGTTCCAAATAATCCCGGGGAATATTCGGTCGGGACTGTTGAGAATTTCTAGAGAACTGTGGCGGATTGTTTCGGGGAGAAATTCGATGAAATCTTCGCTTCCTGATCGCTTCTCCAAGAAACGAACGCTAAATCTGATAATCGTTAAAATTGTTTGAGCCTGTTAAAATTTTCACAATAGTTTGTTCGGAGTATTCTTAATAATAGAAATTCAAATGTCACTCACATATGGTATTATCTTTCAAATTATAGGAAACAATCTCTCTGATTTTGCCTTGAGCGATACTCAATCTTAAAAATCTGATAACCACAGGAAATTCTGCTGAAGGAGGTTTACAATTGATCAGAGATCCCGAAAGAAAGGATCTCAAACCCACGGAACTCGTTTACCAAATTGTGTTGGCAGCTTTAAAGGAAAATCGCGGAAGGACGAAAGCAGAAATCACGTAATACGAGCCACTCGAGTGACTCTGCCCTTCGCACTCCAATTGCTCCGTGGTAGCCTGTAATCCGGCACACGTTACATCACGACATCCACACCCTATCTCCACACGCGTGGAACGCAATGGATCACCAATAACTACAGCCAGTCTTGTAATACAATCGTGATACGATCCTGAGGATCTTGCGTGAAAGAAATACATTGAAATCTTCAGGTTTCATAGAATATTCTAAATTTAGATACTTTTCTAGGCTCGTCATTAGTTAGCTAAGAATCTGAAAATGAAGAAGTAGAGTCACTTTCAATTTTCTAAACGTATACTTCGTTAAAAATGAAAGATAAGCTTTTAAAACTGGTTGGTCGGTTGAGAAAGGTTTGAAATGCATACGAGTCAATTAGCATGATCTCTGGTCACGTCGATGCTAGACCCGTTCGATTTTCTCTCGCTAATCAGCTCGAGGCAACGAAGCCGAAGAATTCGAGTTGTTAGCACCCACTTAACGACCTGACACTCAACACCTTTCGATGCTTTCCGTCGATGGAAGAAAAAAAGAAGTGGTGCAGATTTTCAATCGTTATCCTGATGTACTGTTAACCCTTTCCTTCCAAAGGATCGCTATAGTCGATCGTAATTGAATGCTCATTGTCTACAATGATTGATTACAATCACCTGTAACGGTAGAATAGAACAGAATACAATAGAGTAAAATAGAATAGAATGAAATTCATAATAAAGTACAATGGATGATTTTATGAAATAATTAACAGAAATTCTACATTATACCGTTTGGAAGAAATGAAATTTCTTGTTCTAGTTACAGACTATAGGATATATATTAAAATACTTTGCACAGCTCGAGTAGAAAAGAAGAAACTCAAGATTATTACTACTTTCTTTGCTATGCGACAGTCGAGCCTCGGCTCACCGTCTCATTAAAAGTTCAATTTAATTCAATCGCTCTGATTCATATTAAGAGCCTGAATTAACTGAAATTGGTATTAAAATCATCCGTCTGGAGTGATCTGAATTGAAGTGACGCGCGTCGAGGGGTCGGTGTATTAACGAATGCCACGAATTTCATTGATAATTGCAATATTAACGGAAACGGAAGACTCCTGTTTCCTCGATCAACTATTCCAAACGAAATTAATTTAATTGTTATTCGAATGTGAAATCTGAAAGGCTTGTTATTTCATAGTGTGTGTAATCGCTTCTCAAAATTCTAATGTTACGTTTATAAAATAATAACTCTAATAATCTCGGAGCCTCTAATTACGAAGCGAGCAGGAACCGATGAAACTTTATCAGAAATCCTCACGTGAACGAATTCAACGTAACCACGTTCGATTCCAGGTATGCACGTTTCGGTAGCATTTACGGTGCATGACGAAAAGAATCGATATTCTGTTCGAACGTGTACTTGATACAGCCAAGCCAAAGGCAGTAACACGAAATTAATGACGAGCAGAGTCAGTGGCCGCAGCTGGAAACACAGCGGGCAACGATTTCCAAGCATGAGGAAGCCGATGCTTTCACGAATGCCGTTCAAAAATTTAATGAAACTTGGGCCAAACTCGCTGGCTAACTCGGATTTACCCCGTCAACGAAATAATTCATCTCCCTATCGATCCACTTCCTATCCTTCCATCCGTCTTTTCATTTACCATTTATTTTTGTTAATGCAGTTCGATCTAAAATAGACGTTGAAAAATGTTTTGTCATCGCTGGAGGTTTGGAAAACTTTCCAGAAAATATACATACTTTTTTACTGATTACCAATTTAACAGCATAAATCCATTCATCCAGAAGTAATATTAAATAGACGTTGAATCATAAACTAAATATCAATGCCAAATCGTGTTACACGTGTTCTCAATTAGTTTTGCAATCATACTCGATCTTATCATCCTGCTCGTATCAGTCGGTTACAACAAATCGCAATGATCGAAATTAACTCCAGACTAGATTTGGCAACGGCTTCTTTAATTACTGATCGTAATTAATTACATGCTCTAAGAAACCGGCTATCTTCGTTATGCTTTTAGGTGCTTATTACTTTGATTGCTGAAATAACAAAACCTGATAGAAATGAAATATTTAGCATCTTATACTTTATTTTAATGTTTGTTTTTCAAGTACCTTGCTTAATAATTGTATTAACAAAATTGAGCCAAGAGGATTAATATCAACGCCACTGATATTCATTTTCTTTTTAAATGAGACTAGTTAATGAAATTTAAAGAGGCGAAGCTTAGATGGTTCGTTCGCAGTCTTCCATTTATTTGTTCATCCTCGTCTCATTTTCACCCTTTGTCTCGGTGGCGAATACGTGCCAGTGGGTCGCACAGGAAACGAAGTCCTGGCGTAAAAAAATACCCAGAGAATTTCAGAGAGAGAAAGAGAGAGGACAATTGTGACGAGATGGATGGAGGTAGAATACGATGGTCATAAATTGGCCAAAGAGATTCTCAAACTCTTTATTCTCTCTTAAAATGGAAAATTCTATACCTCCTTTTTTTCTGCTAGTGAGGAAATTTTATGTTTTATAGTCCTCGAAAATAAAGAAGGAAATTCTGTTCATTATTGTTTCACTTTGTTCTGTTAAAAACGTTGGAGTTCTATGCGAGTGTTCTCTATCACTTCATTTATCATTTTTATATATTAAATCCATATTTAATTTTTTGATATTTTAAATACTGCAAGTCGAATGCAATAAAATTCCCCGTCCTGTCAATTTATAGTCAGCAAGCTTTATAAAATTTTCAAACTCGTTCTCCAAACCAGCTAGAGAAAAATATTAACTCAGCCAATTTCGACACGGCTTTTTCCTCTCCTTTTTTTCGTTATACAGAATCACATCCGCTTTCCAGTTGTGCCATTTATTAGAGACACTCTGTATAATACGCTAGCGCGTACATAAAAGCCAATCGGGCGACGGATGGATCGATATGGCCGTCGGTTTCTCTCCCTTATTCCACGGATATATCAATGCTCCACATTGTGTTCCTTCCCTCTACATGTGCTAAGTGTTCCTTTTCACCCTCCATACCTTACGATGACTTTCAAACGAAGGGAAGAAAAGGATAAACTGGATTAGAAAGTGCTCTTCGTGATCAAACCGTTTGTGTCCTTCGTTATTCTCCGGATACCGGAAGATCGTTAACGCGTTTTGTGGGTCACCATTGAAGGGTGAAAGATCCATGGTAATGGATATTCTACAGTAAAATGCGAAAAGAAGCTGAAACTTTTACCAGAAACCTTCTCTTTAATTACTTTTAACAGAGGATAGCAGATAAAAATTTTACCTTAGATCTGGAAAAATATCCAAATATTTTAACAGAGGAATTACCCTGCTAAGATAAGGGTGAAATTGAGAATATTCAACGACCGACACGTGTTCAACATTTAGCCTGCAACATTTATCGTTTCGATGAGCGTTTAGCGAGAGAGAGAGAAGTTACCGGTGATAAGAAGTTTATCACTCGTTATCATACAACAAACGCATAGACTGTATGCAGTTCTCTGTAAAGCATACCATTTGCATCGATCCACGCTTTTATCCTAACAATTTTTGTCAATTTTACTTCCTATTTTATCTACCGTCTCTATAAATTAGGCAGTTGAACCAATCACTGAACAGCAGAAGAAGTTAAAAGAATCCTTATTATTTCAAATAAATATCTCTTTTCTTGCTCGCTACGTAATCGAGCCCGTGTTTCTGGGAACTGACACACAGCTTTGGAGATTACATGTTCCGTGATGAAGGTATACCCATCACGGTAACGGAGAAAAAAAGAGAAGAGTGCATCCGTGATATGCAAATGGCATGCAGGAAACAAAGGCAGGCTGGCTAAATTCGGCGATAAAGCGGGAGTATTTTCGAGACTACTTCTGGCGAGATAAGACGCTGTCGAAGCCAATACCGGCTTATAGATTTTCATTGGATCTTGCCAAACGTTGAAAAAACACGTCTCACCAACTCGTCACGTTTTATCCGCAGAGAAAGCTAGCTAATTTTCACCAGGTATTTTCCAAAGGACTTGCTGTAGTATCTGGTTCAAACTGACAAACAGAATAAATGAAATTAGAAGAAGTTAATGAATCGATGCTTTCTTTTTTTAATCAAATTTTATTGAACAAGTTTTCAATTTTTCTCATACCTTAAAACGCAGCCTGGTCATGATTATTTTTACCCATTAATTGATAACACAGCCAAGGTTTCGCATAAACAGAAGACGTTGCATAACGCGTACCTATGTGCATCGAGGTCTACATACATTTCTGGCGGTATACCGTTATGTGCATACGCAGCTAGGAATTGGACCGCGATCGAGATAATGTTGGTCCCTGAGGCTATTCGTCATATTTTCATTCGAATAATTCAAAGAATTCCAGTCGAAAGAAACAAACTATGCGTGTATATACGCGAAGAAATAAATGGTCACCATGGTACGTACGCCGGTCAAGGAAATAAGTATTGCAATCAATACGCACACAGCCGGCTCTGGTGTTGCGTCCTTAATCGCTTTCCAAGAAGCGTGAAATTCCCGCGCGTTGCCCTTTTACTTAAGCGACCGACTCATTTTTCATTTTCCTCCTTCTTTTTTTTTCTCTTTCTCGTTTTCAAACTTTTGCTTAGGCAGAAATTTCTAACGGGGTAACTCAAACCCCTCACTTTTCCTCCGACTTCCTCTGAGCCTTTTAACATTTTCAAATTTATAAGGCCAGAAGTGAACTGATTACAACAGCCAAAATGTTAAGAGTGGATTTTATAATAGAAACAATAAAATTAACACTGTTCGCGAGGAGAGCTTGATTATGCGACTCATACATCTCTCTTTCTCACTCTAAAAAAAGTGGGACACTGGAAGATAACGTGTCGGTTAAATCGTTTCTACCGTAATCATTACGTAAACGTTTCAGCAATTAGAGATCCATAGTCGGCCGTATATCGTGCAATTAGAAAAACACGAAACGCATTTGCTATTGCTTGCTTCCCTTCGCGACTGCAATAGAATGCAACCGGTGTCGATGCACATTTGGTATCGTTATTTAACTATTTAAAGCAGCGACTCGAGTTAAGAAGAAAGAACCTATTTAGAAATTTTCCTTTTCTACAAAAGCTTGGGAAGCAACGATGAACCGTACTATTAGAAAAGTACGAAATTTAAGTTTCTAATAAACACATCGGTAGGCCACGTGAAGAAGAAACGAGAAAGAAAGTGTCGTCTGAATGGAACGAGTTAAATCCCCTGGACGAGGAAGTCGTGTGAACGGTTCTTCCCAAGTTAAGACGGTAAAAACGAGATACCGTTTGATGATTTTATCATCGAGCAAATATTGATCTGTGTTCCTTCGTTCATCGAGCAACTTAACACGTGCTAATCCAGCTTCGTCGAACTACCTGAAACCGAGCACAACGTTAGCGGTACCAAGTTTGAAAGCTCTTTCACCGCGGTGCTTTGAACCGTTGCCGAGTAAACAGTTTAATAGAAACAAGTTTGATTAATTCCTAGCAATACGTTTCAAATACTACAAACACCGATGAAACTGTTACCCCGGAGTATGTTCCACGTGCAAATTACCGTTTGTCTGGTTTTATGACATCGTTAAATTACTCTTTATCTAGGTTGAGAAATAGGTACAAACTATGAAGTATTTGTACAGTAACATAGCTGAATTATACCTGAATAATTATGTTAAAATATCCTGCATTATATGTGAACGAAATAAAATAAGACTCTAACAGTCGATTTACGACGCACAGTCGTAATTGGTGGTCTTTCAATCCTTTCAAGAAGCAGATAAAGGAACGACAATAAAGATAAGGGGAGAAAGGAAGTACGTACCTGAGGAATATTGGCGTTCAGCTGACGATTCAAAGAGTCCCGTTCTTTTTCGACCTCCTGCAAACGTGCTTCCGTTTCCTGTAATCGTTCCTGGCTCTCGCGCAACGATTCCATCAGCTTGTCCCTCTCGTCGAGCATCGAGACCATCAGCTGCTCGAAGTTCGCATCCTCGCCGGAGAACTGCGAACTCCGCTGGCTAATGCTGTCCTCCGCGATAGTCGGCATCACGTCGCACATCATATTCCACATTTTGCGTTATCCTACTACTCTCACCCTCCGGCACACTGAAACTCCACTTGAAATACACGGAAATGTGAATCAGCAGACATACGCACGGGGGACAGGCGGCGTTAACCTTTTCTATTATTCTTTTTCGATATATACCTTATTCTAGTTCGTTTCGATTCCTTTCAGTTAGTCATTTTCCTCGATTTCCTCGCTCTATCCTCTCTTGCTTTGTCTCTTCTCTCTCTCTCACACAGGCACACACGATTCGAACGATATCCACGCGCGGAATCTCAACTATTATTTCTTCTATGCGATGAACTATTCACTGTAAGGAACACTAAAATTCCGATCACTACCTTCCCTGTGAAATTTTCACTGGTTACGGTATTGAATAAAAATTGTTGTTTTTTTTTGTGTTTTTTTTTTTTTTTTGGTTAACTAGTACCTACCGGCGGAATCATCACTGAAATAATCTATCGACAGTTCCAAGTTCAACATCACTTTCGCTGGCTGTACGAGCCTTCTCACCGTAATCGAAACTCATATCTTGTTTCTGCCAGCGTGTAATACATTCCTGTCCTTGTATATTGTTTACGGAAAGGGATAATCAATGTGTCGTCGTAGCGCACACACACACAGTGACACACAAGGAAACTCGTAGACCAAGTGAATTTCCCTTCGAAAAATCGATCGATGCACGCTTCGATAGCTTCAGGGCCTAAAACACGAGAGATCGGTTATGATTGATCGATAGACACGAGCGTTAACTTCGGGCCTTCGGCGAGAATCAGTTTTTGACAGATCGCGAAATGGTGTATCGTGGGACACACTGTACCGTCCCCGTACACTTTGATCCCTTTATGCACCGACTCTTTCCCTTTCCATCTCCTTTTCCTTCCCGTCGACTGATTTCCTATCGGGACAATTCGATTCAGACCTGATTGACACCCACGAAGCACACTCGACTCTCTCCTGGAGCCGGGCAGGCGAGTCTTGACATCCGTGGAAAATCGTTGAACGTCACGGGGGCGAACACTCGACAGGTCACCGTTTAACTTTCCACTTGAATCTCATTCAAATACAGCTTCGACGTACCTATCGGATACGTATAATCACTAGTAAATTCGCAATTCGTGTTAGCTGAGAAAATTTCGCACCGAAGACACCGCTTAATTTTCCTGTTCGTCTATTTCGCGATTTATCATCACCATCCGAGACACGGCCGACGGAATAACTTTGATTGTACGTACGAATAATGTGCGAGACGCGAGTCAGCGTGCAACAATCGGCATTTCGATGGCATTATCACGGAGAAGCCGAGTACTGACACACCTACGGTTCGTTCCTACCGCCCAGCCTCTATGCTACTCCATTTCCAATACCGGCGGCCATCTTGCGCCGTTCGTCCCCGAACCTGCACCCGACTCCACCCGAACGTTGGACGACTGCTAAAGGCGCGTTTACAATCGTGCGACGGGATCGATGATCACTTCTGACGAGTTTACAATAAAATTCCGTAGAAAATTTGCGGGATACTTGAACCACTAATTCAGATTCTGTTGAAAATATAAAATTATGAATTAATAATGTATGTATGTACACAGACGTTTGTTAAAAGTATTATATATTGTAACTATTACATTGATTAATAAATGAGATCTTTTATTCTAAGATATTATCTTAATTTAAGTAAACCTTGGTATGTAATAAATATTTAAATAAAAGATGTGTATAAATAATTCTTACGTCCTTGATCTAACGTTTCAAAGTTATCTATCGTTATGGATGCTTCTATGAAAAAATCATTTGATAAGTTTTAGATAAAAACGTAGTACATGTTATAATAATCCCTCTAATTTGTTACTTTTATCGAGAGTATTTATTTTGAAAATTTATTAAGTAAAATTTCTAATTCCTTGATACGATGATTTCGATCGACGTTTATCAGAGAAAAAAAAGATCGAGCAGACTTAACTTTTCGAGGATGGAGACTGCGCTACAGCGCTGGATGCTGGATGATCAATACTGACCACAGTGTCAGATGCTGGACCACGTAATACAGTCAAGAGAAACATAAGTGAGCATCATGAAAACAGTTACGCATACTTGCACCCCAGGAGCAACCGGTAAGTGATCCTGCTTTAATTCATAATATCCTTGAACAAAATAAACCACACATCATTACAAAAGATCTTGGAGAAAAAGGAAATATTCTACAAAAAGTAATCTACCATTTTTGTTCTTACGTTATTTCATAAATTATAAAATTGAAACTGATATTCGTTTAGTTAATTCTTTCTCGTTAATCGTAGAGAGCTTGTTTTATCAATCATCTCCAAAACGAGAATGTTTCTTGGGAATGTTTTGGAGCAACCGTTTGACTGTCTCTTCTTCGAGACCCTCTGTTTTTTCCGGATTACTCCCTAGTTACCTAAGTTTTAGATCTACCTGGAGGAGAATCCATCGAAGAGATTGCCGAGTCTGTGGATGAACTGCGTGAAAAATTAGCAAACATGAAGAGATTGATGGAGGAACGAAGGGGCACCACCCTGGGTGAGATAAGCGCGAGGAAGAGGAAGGAGACCTCGGACATCATAGATGGTAATTTTCTGTCCTGGATATTTGGATCAGCATTGGTTGTAATTCTGAGCGTCAGCTTCTACGCGTTTTACAATCTCTACCATGCGGTTTTGAAGAAATTCCCCTCTCATCACACTGAACTGTAGAAGAAAAAAAAGAAAAGAAAAGGTGATCATCGTTTGTTGAATGAAAGTAATCTTCAAAGATATCTTGTTAATTAACTTCACCATTTCTAGGATGGCGACAAATGAATATACCTGTTATCAGTTCTGACAAAACTTGTGATATAGCGAGGCGTGCTAATGAACGTTTTTTAATCACATTGAATGCATTCTTCGGTGGCGAACTTATTTTGAAAGAACGATGGTTGATATTGAAGAGTAAAAAGAAAATGAATCTCTCTCTGTTCCATCCGTTATTCCAGTGCGATATGAAAAAGAAGATAGAAAGATTTAGGAGAGCGAGAGAACAGCAAGGTGGTTCCTTTCACGTGCATTTAAGGGGTTCGACGAAAATTTGATAGCATTTTCTCCCATCGAAAAATGCTCCCCTCTATGTTCGCTGCAACGACTGCGATCTTCGCATGCATCTACAAACAGACGTCAAGTATTTCTTACGAGGAAACCTGTTTAAGGTGAAAAGAAAAGCAAGTGCCTTAAAACATCTCTCTAAACTATTCATTTCCGTGCACCTATAACGTGCACGAATAATTTGGTGATTACAGAGGGCACTTAAAATAGATAATCGAAATAACTCTCTTAATTTTAGAGACAGTGAGAAGTTTGCAGAATGAAGATACTTTTGCGTCAAACGAGGAAGGTCCTTTCTATCTTTATCTAGACTTATTTTCCGTTGTCTCTAAAAGTAAGGAAGTTACAAGGTGGCCTGTTTTCAAAAGTGTAGCCCCGTATAACGTTTCGGCTGACTTTAACATGTAATACTGCATGCGAAAATGATCTCCAGGGGTCTTGAACCTTCTCGTTGAAATTTTATCGAAATAAGTATATTCGTATGTCTTAGATTTCTTTCTCATATGAAAAATTGTATAAAAAAAAACTACTTCCCTTTAACATAATTGTATAGTTGACAAGTAGAACTTTCATATTCATCATTTATTCGAATGTACATATTGTGAATACTAAATAAATTACCATTCGATCGAAAATATTAAATGTATCCTTAATTGACTCGGTGCTACCTTCTCTCAATAGCTCGTTCCAATTTTCTGTTTAGTATGAAAAACAATACTGCAAACAGTGAATTAAAATAATGAAAATAATGATAATGATGCGATACCTTTATGATAAAACGGAACAACTTACTCGAGTTTGCCTTGATTTCTTCATTCCTGAAGCTGCAATCATTAATTTAAATTCTTAATTAAAAAAAAATTAATTTGAAATGAACTGTTAGAATTTTATGGAAACCTACAAAATAATGTCTTGGTATTTTTTATTTCTTTGGTAAAATTACTCAACATTTTTTGATAATTTTCTTGTTGCTGAAATTACATCATGGATTATTATTATAGTTTCTTCCGTCTTTTAAAGATTACTTCCGGTGAAATTAGTACTACCTTTATTACTTCGCCTCTAAGTGCTTCCCGCCTAATCGATAAATTCGAAATTTGATCTTGCAATGTTTTTACCTATTAAACATGATGGTAATTAGATAAAACTATATTGTTTTGTTGCGCCTCTAACCTCATCCTCGGTTTTTCGAATGTCTTCCTTCAGATCGATCATCAATATACGATACCGATCTCGACAAGTTGATGTTTTATTTTCCAAATCATTTAATACCATCTCCGCATGGTTTACTGCGCAATGTGAACGTTGTAGCTGCATATATGATAAAATTAAATTATATGCTATGTTTTTTCTATTAAAACTTTAGTTATAAATATAAATATCTTACTACGTGCTCCTTCTCCGCCAGCTTTTCTGTTAGCACTTCCAATTTATCGTCCACGCTATCGCGATTCTGAAACAATCGATTGTTGGTATTGTCGAGAATCGAACAATGACTTCGAAACAGAAAATACGTTAAAAATAATGAGGCGACATCTTTAATAACGTATTTTCATGGAAAATATTCTTTATAACTGACTTCAATTGGAAATTCTGCTTCCGGATTTGCATTTGGGATTGCAATCTAAAATATATTAATTAAGATGTATAAAATGTTAAAGATATTGGAATGGGAAATATTATATTAATAAACTTACACATTTTCTCAACTCCTCTACTTCATTGTTGTACTTTACCATCAATAACATTATTAGTTAGCATAAAAGTTTTTTGATTATGCCGAATAAAAGTAATTCTTACCATAACCATGAGGAAGGTGATAACGCAGTACACAATGAATATAAAAATACACAATATCTTTAAAGTATAAAATATTAACACTATAAGCCACATTATGAACAATTTTTATATTAACAGTGATTCTTAGTAAAAATAGCTATGAAATACACTCTGATAACAACAAGAGACACTTAATTTATCAAAAATAACAATTTGTAGATAAAAACGGAAGAACAAACGCCGCTTCCATTTTGAACGATTGCTTTATAACGGTTCGATAATCGAAGTGTGATTTTAAATGTTTCGACTTATTAATCGATATCGCTTCGAAGCGCCATTTATCGAATATTTGAAATTACCTAAAATTCATATAAAAAATACTTAAAATTAAAAGATCTTAAATGTAATAAGTCCATAATTATATTAAATTAAAGTAATAAAAAGCAATATATAAACAGATAATCCTGTCTTTTAAGTACTGAAACATGCTTAATAATTAATAAATTAAAATTTATTGAAATATTTCAAAATGTCAATACTGACACTCAGGAATGATTGATTTTATTGTTAAATATTTATTTCTGTTAATAAAAATACTGTTGTAACCCAATTTATGTTTTACTGTAAGCTTTAATAATAGAACATACGTTACAACAGCCTGGATATTTTTGAACAGTACTTTTGTATATGAAAGTACGCAATAAAATAATTATTAGTTTCACGTAATTTAATGCTGAAAAACGCGGGTTCAAAATGTGTTTGTATAACATTTTTAAGAAAAGAGATCTTTGAAGTTAATAGAAGTTATTCGAATTATATAACCTATAACAATGGGTTATTTAAATCTAAACGAACCGATGATGAAACTCATAAAAAATACAACGCCAAATCCAATGTTTCATTTCAAACAGCAATATTACCATCGCAATCACAAATTGTTATTGCGGGTGCAGGAACAGTCGCTAATTCGGTTGCTTATCATCTTGTTATCAATGGATGGAATGATGTACTTGTCTTGGAACAAAATAGGTATACATTTATTTAATGACAAGGAATTTTAATTTTAAAAAAGGACAATATGCTAACAATTTACCTTGTGTTGCAGAATTGGTAGTGGAACATCTTATTTTGGTTCTGGCACCCTTGGTTTGTTTAAACCAATATCACATAGAAACTTAATCTCTTATAGCATCAAGTTATATCAACAATTACAAGAAATGGGATATGATATAGGATTAAAACAATGTGGTAGCATATACCTAGCTCAAACTAAAGACAGAATGATCGCTTTAAAGAGAAGAATGGCTTATAATGTGCCTACAGGCTTGCACTGCGAAGTAAGATTTCTTAATCAAAGATTAAATTTGAAGTTAAGATCTTAGTAATACTTTTTTAATAAATTGCTAATGAATTAGACTCTGAAGATAGATCAACTAAAGCAATTACACCCATATTTGCATATCCAAGACATTGAAGGTGCTGTTTGGGTGCCTGAAGATGCAGTAGCAAATCCTAGTGCAATCTGTGAGGCTCTAGCCAAGCTAGCAAGAATTGGAGGAGCTAAGTATATTGAAAATTGTCGTGTAGAGTCTGTACACACTGAAAATGGAGCTGTAAAGAGTGTAAAAACAGAGCATGGTGTAGTTCATTGCAAATATTTTGTTAACTGTGCAGGAATGGTAAATATATATTAACTGAATTTATATTATACAATATAAGTACAAAATTATTTATAATTTAAGTACCTCTTTAAATTCACTTTACAGTGGGCACGTGAATTGGGATTAAGATGCAATCCACCTGTTAGAATTCCAGCATATCCCGCAGACCATTTTTATGCACTTGCTTCTCCTTTCTCATCTTATCCAAATATAACTTTACCGTGTGTACGAGATTATGATTCTTACTCGTATTTGCGAGAATGGCAAGGTATTCAATATATTTATACATGATGTTTGATTTGCATAATACTAATATCTATAACAAATGTACAGGAGAATTATTAATTGGCTGGTTTGAACCAAACTCAAAACCGTCGTTCGAAAATACTCCTATTCCTACAGAAAATTGGAAAAACTATCTTACAGTTGACTCGTCACGTTGGATGCCATTATGGGATAAAGTGGTACATAGATTACCAATTTTAAAAGGTATAAAACCAAATGTTTATAACTGTCCTGATAACTTTACACCTGACGGAAGATGGATATTAGGAGAAAGTCCGGAAGTAAAGAATTATTTTGTCGCCGTTGGCATGAATGGAAATTTATTACAAGGTAAAACATTGTATGTTGTCCTTTTGATTATGTACATTAATGAAACTGTAAGGTTCGTTTTTTAGGAGCTGGAGGAATAGGCAAAGAAGTTGCTGAATGTTTAATTAATGGAGAATCTACACAAGAGCTACTTCCCTTTAACGTACAGAGGTTTCTAGATTTGCATAGTAGTAAACAATATTTGCAGCAAAGAACAAAGGAAGTTGTTGGCAGAAACTATGCAATTTTATATCCTCATCAATGCGAATACAAATATGCTCGGAAATTGCGTTGCTCCCCTTTATATTCCGTTCTCGAGGAAAGAGGTGCCATTTTTGGCGTAAAAATGGCTTATGAACGGCCACTTTATTTTGATTCAACTTACCAAAGTAAAGAAATAATTCTTTGGTTCTTACTTTAATTGTTATGTTATATATCTAAGTAACTAAAAATTCGTTATTATTTTTAAAAGGAGGACAAAAGAAACCAGTCATGCCACCGGGTAGTTTTTATAAACCTAAATTCTTTGATTTTATGGAAGAAGAATTTTTAGCATGCAAAGAAGGAGTAGGAATAATTGATATGAGCTCGTTTTCAAAAATTGAAATTAGGGTACGTGAAATGCGTTTACTTGTAAGGATATTTATGTAATCGCTGTATATTTATAGTCTAGCCGTTGGGAAGTGGTAGAATATCTTCAGCAATTATGTTCCAATGATGCGAATATACCAGTTGGTGGCATAGTGCATACAGGAATGCAAAATCAAAGAGGAGGATATGAAAACGATTGTATTTTAGTAAGACTGACAGAAAATAGTTATTTTATGGTTTCACCTACATCGCAACAAACGCGTATTTACCAGTGGATGTCAAGGTGAAAGATAATGAATAATACATATTATTATTAACCATTATACATATAGATTAGTCTTACACGAATAACGAATTTATTTTACAGACATTTACCAGCTGATCATTCAGTAGGTCTGAATGATGTAACTTCAAAATATACAGTCATTAACTTAGTAGGACCTAAAGCAACAGGATTACTCTCAGAGCTGTCAAACTCTGACATTAATCTTTCTCCTTTTACTTACAAGGTAATCAATTTCATTGATTTTATCGATTATACGTAATTGTTATACAAATCATTTCATCTTTAATAGACTGTAAATGTGGCATATGCTTCTGATGTAATGGTAATGTCGTTCACACATACCGGTGAATCTGGTTACTGCTTATATATACCCTCAGAATACGCACTTCACGTATACTCGAAATTAATGGAAGTAGGTAAAGATTATGGAGCTCGAGATGTAGGTGTACTCACACAACGTTTCATGCGAATAGAAAGATTCATCCCGTTTTGGGCCGAAGAACTGACACCGTTTGTGACTCCGTACGAAGCTGGAAGCGGATACAGCGTAAAATTAGATGTAAGTAAATATGTTATTTATCGTGTTAGTAGCATAATAAACGTAATATGTACATTTTATTTTATTAATTATGATAATTTGTTGTAACAGAAAGAATATTTCATTGGCAAGTTTGCTTTACAACATCAAAAAGAACAAGGTGTATCGAAAAGATTAGTATTATTTGTAGTTAATGAATTAGACATTAATAAAAATATTTGGCCATGGGGTAGTGAACCGATTTATCGAAATAATGAATTTGTAGGCACTGTTACATCAGCAGGGTAAGAACTTTAAATAATTAATGATAAAATATATGTTTAACAATGATATAACGTTATTAATAATTTGACAGATATGGTTTTGCTACGAAAAAGCATATCTGCATTGGATTCATCAGTTGTCCTGAATCAAACTACGTACAAACTAATACAGATGTAGTTACAACAGACTTCATAATGGAACCTACAGCTCGTTACGAAATTGATATTGCTGGAACCAGATTTCCTGCTAAACCGCACATTCATCCTTTACCAATACCGGCGTGGAGTGGTAAAATTAATAAAAAATATATCCCCACACCTGCTATTGTATATGAGAGCGACGTATATCGCTAATTTTTTTTATATCTTATTTTATTAATCAGTATATTTGCAACTTAAACAAACAGTAAACTTTTACTTTTTGAAAGACTGTTTCTTTCCCAGTTTTGAATATAGGTTTTAAAAAATATTTCTTCCAAAGTAAGTATATACTTTTGTAGCGTTAAGTAAAAACACAAATGCGCTTTTAATTGAAAATTTGAATATTTATGTGATACTTTTTGGTGTGTATTTATTATCTATCTTTCATGTAAAAATAAATATTTATAGTACTGCTAATAATCATGATATAATTAAATATTACAACAATCGAAAGTTTTTTGATTTATAACGATTTCTGTTTTAATTGTAAGTATATTGTACAATTTAAATGGATTTATTTGTAGCAGTTAAAATTTATACAAAGTTAAAAGGCCATTTAACAATTTAAAAGCTATGCTATTTTTCAAAATTTGTTATGCATATATACACGAAAATAACATTTAAATTTAATAAACAGCGATATATCTCATGATTTATCATTTCTCCTATACTAAAAATGTTCATAGAAACTTATTTACTGCAAGCATAAATCACATATATATATATACCAGTAATGATATAATTTACCAGCAATTATTACTTTCTATGTAAATTATATACCTGTTCTTTTTCATAACTCAGATTTTCAATATAACCATATAGTACATTGGCTAGTTTAAACACAAGTAAAGACTTTTTCAATGTTACTTGTAAGCTTTTCTGTACATTAGTAGAAAAAAATCTATGTATGTACAGAAGGCACAATATCTATCATGAAAGCTTCATTATTATTTTTATCAACTTTCTCTTAGCTGTGCATAGAAAATTACTACAGTGTTAACCTTGGAATAATCGAGTAATGCAAAATTTAAAAAGTACATTCATGTACATGGTTGATTTTTCAGCAATATGTACTTATTTTTTAACTATTAATTTCTTACAAAATTTGTTTTTATCAATATTTTAATATCACCTTACGATGCCCATGCCTCTAATTCTTTCAAGTCTTCATCCTCATCAGGTTTAGCTTCTGAAAATATTAACAAAATTTTTCATTTAAATAATAATATTGTTATAATGATATATTGCAAATAAGACTCTTACTTGTGCGAGTTCTAGCTGGTGCAGAAGGAATAGTTGTAGCTGGAACATTGGGAAGTTCATCAGTTGGTTCAATACCGAGTAATTCTTTGTCAAGTTCTTCTTGTTCAAGCTCTTCTAATTCTTTCTCCAATTCTTCTTCATCTATATCTTGTCCAAATGCTACAGGATTAGATATTGCATCAGAAATTTCTTTTGCTACATCTTGTTGCTCAGCTATGTCATCCATCATATCGTGCACTTGGTCAACATCCCTAAACAAATTAAATGATACTTTATTCAAATCTGTATTAATAAAATACTGACAGTAGTGTCAAATTAAAATTCTTACATGTGCTGATGAACAGATTTCAATGCATCTGCTGCATTCTTCATTGTAGTAAATACAGCAGTATTAGTGTTTGCACTTTCCAGTGCTTCCCTTTGCATTTCAATTGTAGACAGTGTGCCATCAATTTGTTGCAATTGTTTCTCATATCGTTTTTTTCTTTTAAGAGCTTGAATTGCAGCTGTAAAACATATAAATCCTTTGGTTGACATTTCCTCTCTAGCATATTATTTGAATTACTCATCACAATAAATAATTAGCATGGCAATACATGAACTTATTTCTATTATTCAATAAACGCATAATAAGAATTTTTCGAAACATTACACAATATTTTTAATAACTTTTTACGAGTTATTTAAAAGTGAATAGAGGAACGAGAAACGTCATAATGACAAATAACCTTAACCTTTGAGAATGAGAGTATATATAAATAATATTTAAACCGATATTGCTTGCACACACCTCTCTTATTTTTCGTTCCATTTTTCTTAGCTGTTTGAATCTCCTGATCTATTTTACTTTCAAGAAAATCCTGTTTCTTTATCAACATATCCTCGGTTTCGCGTAACTTTTGTATTGCATCGGCCGTTGACAAAGGGGCCGAATCCTTTTTGCCACCAAATACTTTGGTAAAGAAACTCATTGTTTCAGCAAATTATAAGTTTATAGTATAATCAAAACCCAGAACACCACAAGTGTTGTCCACTTGAAACAAAATTAACAGAAGACACCGCTTTAACCACACACCTCCGCCATATTCCCTTGGCATTGATATATGTCATGACTCATCTCTTACTTTGAAATTTTGGATCCGTTTGAATTATCTGAACTTAGGAATTTCAAATTTTTCAAACTGTATACCTATATGAAATCTATTTTTAAACATCATAAAAATGGAAATTGATTAAACATTTATAATGCAACTTTTAGAAAATCATTGGAATTCAAAACGTAATTTTTCTGTAACTGGTTTTTTTATTATAAAATTCCATGTTTTATCAAACAGAGTTTCCATTTCAATGTAACAGATATTAAAACAAATATATATCTATTTGTTTTTTACATTACAATTAAAACATAACTGTGGAAAGGAATTAAAAATTAATGATAACAATGCGGGTACACATGTGCATATACACATATGATGTCATAATTTCTGTGACGTGTGACAGTTTCATTCGTATATAAACGAAGATTTATAATTATCAGATACTGTCATTAGTCCTAATTACAGCAATAAGAAAAAATTATATTTGATAATCAAAATGATTCTATCATTTTGTAATGTCATTTCTATTATTTAACTTGAAAATATTTGTTTCTGAGTAACCTCTTCAAATGGAGGGTACCTTGGGAAATGTACTTGAAGAGATAGAGATTGGATAATATTTAATTAATATTAAAAATTTTTATATACAACACGAACTGTTATTAAACCAATACCAAAATTTAATCCCATAATTACCTTGGATTACCTCTTGCTAATTTATCTACTACAAATCTTAGCAAACACTTTATTATACTGTTGCAGCCTTTATTGATGAACTTGTTTCTTCAGGAGGTATTTATTTTTACAATATTGTTGAAAATTATAAATATATAAAAAAAATTGAACACACATACTACATGAAGAGAACGACTGTAATTAAATAAAACTGGTAGAGCATTGTATGAGTGTACAATTTTATAGATCTGTATTGAACCTACATAAATAATTGCATATAAAAATAGAATATACATGATCAAAATATACATTGATAAGTACATTCAATTATATATTTTAACATTGCAAGCTATGTAAAAAATGCATTTGTAATTATTTAAAAACATAAGTGTTTTTACACATAATTGTTTGCTAGAACAATTAATATTTACAAATTTAAAAGAAGACTTCTACCGTCATGTTTTAAAAAGTATATAAAGTATATATAAACAAATTGATGTTATCAAATTTCATGAGCTTACACAAAGTATTATATCACTTATTATACTTCTTATGTGTTACTGAATAAATTATGAAATCACTGCTGTAATACTGCAAAAAGGTTTTTGATTCCATATTATTATCAATGATTAATATGTTTAATCAATTTACCACCCGCGGTCTCTTAGAATGGGTTTCTATCAGGGTAGACGAATGATTTGGTGTGCCTATTTCATTTATGTTATCTACATCTGTTGGACCACTGCGTTTCCTTGCTTTTGGAGATGATTGTTTTAAACATTCCATATCATTAAATACAACTTGTGCGCCTCCTCCGCTAGTGGGTAATATGTCCGCCTAAAATAACAATAATACACTTGTAACGTCATATAACTATACCAACAGTTAATCCATTTACAATAAAATTACCTTATACAGTTTTGTCTCAAGTTCACCATCTGTGTCGTGTTCTTGTGCAACGAGACAATATCTAGATACACCATCTGTAATTTCTTTTGGATCTGTAAGACGCGTAACGCTACGTCTTCTACGCATTAGTGGTTGAAGAACTGTTCCCAAAGGAACCAGTGCACCTGGTCTGTGATCAATCCATCTATCAGCGCTTTGTGATCGCCTATGTCTTGCACTTGAAACAGCTACTCTATCCTATAAAGAAAATGTATTTAAATCATATTCCTAAATTAATTATTTAACATTAAATAGAACTGACCCTTCGCGATCGGTAATCCGATGCTTTCGGAGTTGCTTCTGTACAACTAGGAGTAGCTGTAGTGCGTTCCTTAGGAGCGGATGGAACAGGGTTCATTCCATCATCAACTAAAATTTGTTTTACTAATCTCAGTTTATCATCTTTCTCCTTCATTTGGTTCTAAAATAGTTAAAAATTATATGCTTTCAATTAGTAAATACTTATAAATATACTTCATCTTGTTACCTGTAAGTGTTCACGTTGTTGACGTAATTTTATTTCTAATTCTCTGTTCATTTTATCGGTTTCTGCTTGTATTTTAGTATTATATTTCTGTTTCACTCTCTGTTTGTCTATTAAACGTTGATTCAACGCCATATCTCGATCTTTCAACTCTTGTTGCAAGCTACGAATTGTATCATTTGCATGATTTAATTTTCGAAGTAAACTATCTATTTGTTCTTCAGTTTTACATAAATGGCCTTCCAACGCAGAAACCTAAGATAAAAATGGATTATTTCTATTTTATTTTGCATTTTTTTAAGCCGTTTGTACCTTTTTTCTTTGTTGTGAATTAGCTGCTTTTAAAGATGCATTCTCAACTTTTAAATTCAAATGTTCATGTTCCACTGTCATTAACATTTTTCTAAGCTCATTTTCTGTAAATTGAGTTATTAAAATATTAAAAGCCGTTTAAGTTGTATCAAAAAATATATTTTATTCTTACGTTTTTGTTGTAAATTAGAGCGTAGAGCATTTCGTTTGTTAATGCGCTGCTCCAAAAAGTGCATTAAGTTAGTGATTATCTCTTCATTGCGTGGAGAGCTAATTTCCAACTCGGGAAATGGCCCACCCAAACTGAATTAGAATAAAATTATTTTAAATAAAAGTATAAGGAAGAAAAAAGAATAATTGAGAAATACCTACCTATATACTAAACCGACATCAACTTCCAAATCTGCAGCTTCGGGACGACCTTCTCTTTCCAATTTACTGCGTGCCTCCTTAAATATCTATAAACAATTGATTTTTTTTTTTTTAATAAACCTGTTGTCAAATTATAGCAACTGCATTTTTTTACCTTGTTTGCTTGTCTTCTTCCAGGTGTAAAACCAAGATCTATTTTTGTAATTGTTGGTCTAGCTACTTGTACTTCCTGAGTCATTTCCGCAAATTTCATAACTTGCTGCAAATATATTAAGATAAGGATCAATTTGTTTAATTTGTTACGTTCACATTTTTTATATGATCACTATTTACATACAATTGTCTCATCATAATCATCCGCTCTCGGATTAACGCAAACGATCATTCTAACTTGTCCTTCTCCATCAAAATAATTTTTAAATAAATGTGTAAGTTTTGAATCCCTATAGGGCACTATTTTATTTGTACCCTGTAGTTGATTCTCTCTTAAAATTTCCAAGCACGATCGAAGTGTCATCAAAGAATTATTGATATTTCCTAAACAAAATTTACAAAAATTCCAAATAAAGAAGCATGTTACAAATTAATGATCATATTTAATTACCTGCTTCTCTCAATCGTTGACCCGTGTTTTTTGTACGATTAGTTCTTTCACTACCAGCTAAGTCTACTAAAGATAATTGAGTAATACACACTACTCGTTTGTCTTGTATTACCTGTTCGCCCTCGCCATCTAAGGGAGCCTATTAAAAACATAATACTATAACGCTTATGAATATTAATTACACGAAAAATAATCAAATTAAAAACATTACTTGTACAAGACGAATAGTGAAGACACTATGTGATCTACTTGACTCGGCATTAAGTGCGGTATGTGCAACTCTTCGTCTGCGTTGCCCGCGATGGAATACTTCAAATGCTTCTTCTGCACTTTTTACTTCAACTTCTGTGACAGCATGTACATACATGTTTTTATTTCCATCTTCTCTGACTATTTTACTTTGTAATGTTCTATGAATTCATTTAAAATGTCGTCACTTTTCTTGCAAATAAGTATGTTCAAAGAATAAAATGTAAATTTTGAATAATACTTAGTTCTAATATCTTCGTCCTCCAACAAATCATACACACTGTTGTTATATATTTCAACATATGTAACAAACACAGCATAAGCATTGTCTTGATCTACTGTTATTGCTTGTGATTCTTCAATTTCACGAAGTATTAGTGGATTACTATCGCCATCACTCTCTGCTTTGCGTCTAATAAAACGATTATATATTTATAACAGAATAAATAAATAAATAAATATAACGTATATTTTTATACTTACTGTTTTCCCAATTTTCCATTTCTCTGTGACATAAGACCTGCATGCATCTCATTTTGCCTATCAAGCATTGCATCAGCCTCACTTTGTATATCAAAACCATTTAATTTATCTGGTTTAAAAATGAACTTCTTTGTCTGATAATTAGCAATACTGTTAAAAATTACATCAAGACATCGAGGCATTACGCCAGGATCTTGTGGCTCACCAGTCATTGTGTATGTTTTACCACTTCCAGTTACTCCATAAGTAAACAGAAGACTGTTTCTACCACGAATGACATTTTCAACTAATGGAAGAGCAACCACGTTAAACACTTCCTTCTGTGGTGTATCAGGTGTAAATACCATACTAAATGTTGTTTGAATTTCTTTATTATTAGCATTACGAAAATTTATTGCTGATTCAGGTGGGATAATAACCACAGTTGTGTCGGATGTAACTTTCATACATGATACATCCATGGGATGTTGCATTGATCTTAAACGACAATAAACTTGAACTGGGTCTTTAGATATCATGTTATTACATCTTGGACGATTAATTGGCTTACGAGCCGAGCCTGGTGGCTTTGTACGTCTGAAATATTTACAATTAATTATTATACACATTATAATAAATGATAACTACAATCCTCTAAGTACTTCAATGAAGTGCAATAATAATTAAGAACTAATAATTTACTAAGCTAGTAAACAATATACAGAACATAAAGACTTACGCAGACTTCATTTTTTTACTGTTATATTTGTTCCTATATTTGCCTACTGCAAATAACTGCACTTAGCCTCTTATTTTCTGATAGATTTCACAAGCTATAAACCGTCATTCCTACTCACTGTTCAAAATTCAAACCTCAAAGTGAACGCTGCAAGCAATGCAGCCAACGCTCGTGTAAAAAAACACCCTGCACATAATGTCTATTCATATGTACATAACATTGTGAATTCACCTTAACAAAAATGTAAATACACCATAATGTTTATTACTGATAAACAATTACAATTTACAATTTACAATTTACAGGTAGTATGAAAAGATTATTTGGGAAAATGATACAACATGGCAGTAAACAAACTCATTTCTCAGTAGAGAATTTATTTATTTATACAAAGCAATGAAGTTACTTCTTAACCTTTTTATCCTTGGCAACTTTTGTAACATCATCAGGATTTTCCGCTGCATCCTTTACACGTTTCGCACGAATTCCAACTAATCTAGCGTCAGCCCTAGCTTTGCGAAGAGTTACATATGCGGAGAATTTCCGTTCGTCTTCAGAAATGACGCGAGCCTTGGCTTTAGCTGGTGCTTGATGTCTTATTGGCATGATCTCTCCTCTAACTTGGCTTGCAACTTTCATTTCCTCTTCAGTTGCATCTCCCTTCTTAGGCTAATTTCAGAAAACATATTAGTACAATGTTTACCCTCATATTTCAGTTTTTTGTATTATACTTACTTTCTTTTCATTTAGTGGGAAGAGAATTAGTTTTGATTTATATTCCTTCAGTCGTTGAGCATTTGCTTGCAAACATTCAACTGATTTGTTACGTCTTCTTGGATCAATGGCAACCCCTACAGTCCTGGCAAATCTTTTGTTCAAACCACTGGCTTTCAATTCTTCCAATGTGAAACCTTTGCCAGCCCTAACTTTTGTATGATAACGGAATGATGGACAGTGGACAACTGGTCTCAATAGTTTGACAGGTCTAATAATTTTGAATTGTTATATATTAGAAACTAAATACATACAATTACGGAATTAATTAAATATACATTACTAACCTTGGTGCAACTGCACGAGCTTTCTTGACACGACTTTGCTTACGACGAAGCTTTCTAGCTGGCTGGTTAAACCAGGTCTTGACGAATCGTTGCCAATCTTTATGGAAATGTCCATTAGGGATCATATTATTTCTCTTACCCATGGTTGAACTAAAACAAAAACAATGTATTGAACTTTATGAACCTTATAGAAAAATAGGTTAGAGTGCGATACTATCATAAATTCCAAACAAATACATTAATATCTTTCAAATAGTAAAATTAATACAACTTTTACAATACTTGACACTCACACAATGATTGTAAATACCTCTTTAACTAGAAAAATTGAATGTAATTCAAGACATATGAGAACTTAACCTCCCAACTAATGTCAACAAAATTTGTATACTTATTGCGTTATAAAATCAAAAGTATATAATGTAATCATGATCGAAAATATTAAAAATAATGTTTCTTTGCTTTTTTATAAACTATTAATTCAGGATGTTAAAGTTTTTATTGGATTTTAAACTAAAAACATCACTTACGAAGTTGTTTACACCGCTCACACCGGAAAAGGAATCGGTCGCCCAAGACGGAAGTTACAGATTACGATGAATTGAAATTTACGTACTCGTATAATAAATTACCAATTTATATATTAAAATTGATTTTTTAACACTGTTAGATATTAAATAATACTTTATTTTTTAAATATTTTAACTATAATAGAATACATTTTCTTTAAACTCTAGAGTAGTTATTCAAGATGGCTATTCACATGAGTTAAAAGTCTGCCATTCATTTATAAAGTTTTTATGTAAATAATTAAATAACGTAACTTAATAATGAAGTTTACAAAATTGTTTTGTAAACCACTAATCATACATTACAGAAATGATATCATTTTTAGAAATGTTACTGCCCGATATGCTTCGACCGGCATAAACTTATTTACGGTATAAGCTTTATTTTGTAAACAAATGTATTTAACATTGAAAGTTTTAGACTAACATTAAAATTATATATTGTTTCAGAATGAATCAATTACAGATTCAATAAAAAAAGATATAGAGAAGTATTGGAGAGATAAAATCAATTTACATGGATTTAATGAAACAGAAAATACAAAAGAAAAATTTTATGTATTATCAATGTTTCCATATCCCTCTGGATTACTTCATATGGGTCATGTAAGAGTCTATACAATAAGTGATGCTGTTGCTCGATTTTATAGAATGAAAGGTATATTACTTAAATTAAAAAATGATGGTTAGGTGTTATAAATTGCTTATTGTTTTATGCTTAATCTTAGGATATAATGTCCTTCATCCAATGGGATGGGATGCATTTGGATTACCTGCTGAAAATGCTGCAATTGAAAAGCAAATTGATCCTGATGAATGGACAAGAGAGAATATTAAAAAAATGCGAAATCAGTTAGATTTATTAAATTATGCTTTTGATTGGGACAAAGAAATCTGTACATGCGATCCAGAATATTATAAATGGACACAAGACTTGTTTTTAAGGCTTTATGAAAAAGATTTAGTTTATCAAAAAGAAGCATACGTCAATTGGGATCCCATTGATGAAACTGTATTGGCAGAGGAACAAGTTGATGAAAATAATTGTTCATGGAGATCAGGTGCTAAAGTAGAAAAAAGATTGTTAAATCAGTGGTTTATTAGAACCACACCATTTGCTATGTAAGTATATTGATACATATTTCTAGATATTATAATAATATATAAGAAAACAGTAGACAGTTTTGTATTTTATTAATTTTCTTTTCAATGTGTTAGGTCCTTATTTGAGGGTTTAAAAAACCCAACTTTGAAACAGTGGGGAGATGTTAAAAAGATACAAAGGAATTGGATAGGTGAATGTAAAGGAACTAGTTTTGAATTACAGTTAGTAACAGATATTCCAAATTATCCAAAAACAATCAATGTTTGGACTGATCTACCAGAATTTATTGAATATGCAAAATTTGTTGCAATTTCCTCAAGTAGTTTATTAAATAAGGCAGAATATTGCCATGATGTAAACGAAGAAATTAAAGTAATAGATGCCAAAGTATTAAATCCATTCAATGGAAAAGAATTACCGATATTTGTAACAGATAAAGTCACGTTTCAACCTTTCAGAGATACTTACCTTGGTATACCTAATGCTTCAATGGATGATTATCAGTTTTCTGAAATAGTTGGAATTGAATTCTACAGACATTCAATAAGAAGTTATGAAGAACAACAGTCCAAACGAGCAGAAATATTATCCAAAGCACAAAAATGGAAAATTGGTGGACATTCAGTTAGTGCAAGGTTACAGGATTGGTTGATATCTAGACAAAGGTATTGGGGTACACCAATTCCAATTATTCACTGTTCAAATTGTGGTGCCCAACCGGTACCAAGAGATCAACTTCCTGTAATTTTACCAAAAATGCAATTTTTAAATAAAAAGCCTACATTAAATGAAGCCAAGGACTGGTTAAACACACCTTGTCCTAAATGTGGAGAGCAGGCAATTAGAGAAATGGATACAATGGACACATTTGTAGATAGTTCATGGTATTTTTTGAGGTACATTGATTCCAAAAATACAGAAGACATGTTTTCCGTCGATAAAGCAAAAAAAATGTTCCCTGTTGATCTTTATATAGGTGGAAAAGAACATGGTACATAATTTAATATCTAAATCTTTTATAGATTTATATACAAAATGTAAAGTAAAAATATCATCATTTCAGCTGTACTGCATTTGTATTATGCTAGGTTTATAAGTCATTTTTTACATTCAGAAAAGCTCATACCCAGTCAAGAACCATTTAAGCAACTGCTTGTTCAGGGTATGGTAAAGGGTAAGAGTTATCAAGTAAAGAGTACAGGAAAATATTTAAAAGCAGATGAAGTGGAAAGAACAGAAGACGAGTATGTAGAAAAAAGTACCAAAGAACCAGTAGAAGTTACATGGGAAAAAATGTCTAAATCAAAGCACAATGGCGTTGATCCTCTTGAATTGTTAAACAAGTATGGAGTTGATACAACTAGATTGCTAATATTGGCCGATGTTGCACCAACTTCAGATAGACATTGGAGTGACGACAGTGAGTTAATCGAACTTTATTCATAATAAACTTTTAAATTTTAAATACTATGTAGCACATTTAATAAATTACAGCTATTGATGGGGTAATTAATTGGCAAAATCGCTTATGGTTAACGGTAAGAAGTTTTGTACACTATCGGAATAACGTAACTTCAGAAGAACTCCAAACAGTGCCGACTACTCCTAAATTTATCGATGATGATGCGTATATGTTTGATAGCAGAAACTATTTCTTAAAAACTGTAACTTTTAATATAACTGATTCCCAACAATTAAGTGTTGCAATATCAAGAATGCAAGGTCTCACAAACAGGTAAATTGAAATATCTTACATTTATGAATGATCACAATGGGTCAATAAATGTCTTTTACTTTTAATATCAGTTTACGAAAAGTATCTGAAGAATGTAAGAACAAAAGTCGTGAATTCGAACGTGCATTAGCAGTTCAACTTATAATGCTTGCGCCAATAGCACCGCATTTCGCTTCAGAATTGTGGGCCACATTTTGTTCAGCTAAACATCATCTTATAAATGAAAATGAAGTCAAATTGGATAAAGATGTTATGGAACAAGATTGGCCGGAAATAGATATGGAATATAATATGATACTACGTATCAACGTAAGTCTAATTCTTTGCACGTATTTCATGTATTAAGAATGTTGTTAATTTACATTTATAATTATAAGTTTTATCAATAAAAATATAATATGTAATACTACAAAAATATATCATGATTATAATATTTATATATGTAATTAGGTAAATGGAAAGTTTTACAAAAAATTCAAGATACCTAGATATAAGCTGGATAAGTTGTCGGCCGACGAAGCTTTTGATATAGTAGTAAATGAACCAGCAATCCAAAAGCGTTTACAAAATCGGCAGGTTATCGGTACTAAACTTCTTTCAACGGCAGGCTGTGATGCAACAATAAACATTTTAACAAAAAAGTGTGAAGGGTCTGTAGCATCCTAAGGTTATTACAAAATAACTAATATGTGTAAAAAATAAAACGCAGGTAAGATAAAGACAAATCGTTTAAGGACTATATTCATAATGAAAGTAATTATGTAAATACACGTCTCTTTTTATCAGAATAAATTATGTTACTGCAATGTCAGATATGTGAATAATATGAACGTATTTTAAAAGTAACAAAAATAAATTAATAATGAATAATTGTTCATACCCAATATCATATTCTCCATCATATTCATTATGTGGTATTGTTTCTAAAAATTTGATGTAATCATGTGGTAATTTACTTTCTTTTGCACCTGTTAGTATTGTTTCCCTGTAATGAAATTCAATTAAAAAGGTTAAAGAACACATACTAAACAGCATAGATTAAACACTGAAAGCAATATAATTTACAGGTATAATGGTGAGGGTCTTCTGTGTTTTGGTAATGAACATAAATTTACATGTTCATTTGGATTGTTACATTGTTGGTACACCCTACATTTTAATATGTTACCACTTGGTGTATGTACATCAACCATTAAAGGAAAATACAACTTGTCTGCAACACCTTCTTGCTCATCTAATGTAGACATGTTGGACCCATGTAATTCCCATATTGCTCCCCATACAACAGAATTTTCTGTAGGAACAATTGTTGCAGAACATCCACCCCATCTTTTGGAATGTGTTATAAAGTCTAGCCTGAAATTCTAATACAGTTCAGTATTTGCACAAATAATGTTTTATGATAAAAAACATGTATAATCAAACAATAATGTGCTAAAATAAAAATAAATTAGTACAAAGGAAAACTAAAAATGATAGAAAATTAAGCATTGAAGTATAGGCGGTTACAAACGTTATGATAAGAAACTTCCTTGAATAGTTAAACTGGTATATGTACTTTTAAAAAACCAATATTTCTTCGTATTGCAGTTGGATTATTAATATGAATTCTTTTTGTTAACATATTACTCCCATATGCAAAATATAAAAACTTATCGCACATTTTTTTTTTTTTCGTTATTTTGATAATAATACAAAATTTATCGCAGCAATTTATTAATTGGCACAAACCAAAAAGGAGGTTAAGATAGCATTGTTATCAATGTTATATAGATTTTTGTATTGACATAAGATGTAATTAGATGCCTTGGGTAAATAAGTACAATTTGCGATTTTAAAAGTACTATAATTCATGGAATTTTTTCATATTTAATGCACTATATGTGCAATATATTATAGGATATATTGACATTTCAGAGACTTATTTCTACTGTTATTGAAGTGAATTACTACTAAATTATATACTTTATTCAATGTTTTACGTGGAGTACAAATGTAAATAAAGCAATGTATTATGTAAAAATATTTATATTTGATTAGCAATATATGTATAATTAGAGCTAATGTGTTTATTTACAATTAAGTTAAATCATCCAAATTTATAATTTGTATATACTTCACGAAACATGTCACGACAATTTATTTTAACTTTAAGTTTAGCACACAATAAGAAAAAACCTGACAATTTTCTGTGTAAACTATATATCTCTTCAGGTGGAGGACAAAGTCTGTGGTCCAATATTGTTGGAACCAATGCCTGCATTCTGAAATTAATTAAGTAACTGATTATGTACATATCTTTGTTTTAATTTAACTAAAATTAGAAGTTATAAATTACCGTTTAGTTACATCTTGTCCACCAAAATCATAATATTTATGATTTTTATCGAATACTTGACCTAAAACCATTACTGCATCTATATGAGCCTCTTCCATGATCTGAAATTAATACAATGTAATTTACATATGACTACTTATCCAACATAGCTAATAACTGAAAGATTTGTTTCTTACTTTAGATTCATATCCTGTAAGAAATCCCATTTCTCTAGATAAGTTTAAAATTGTATCACGATCACCTTCACTCGCAGCATAAATTATTTCAATGTATTTATCCATGAACGATTTGTCATAGTCTCGACATGCGCCGAAGTCTAACAATATTAACTAAAAATTACATGAAATAAATGTAATTACATGTTATGTATTGGTGTCAATATTGTTACACTGAAATGTTTGAATACAAACTTGTTTCGTATCAGTATTGTAGAAAAAGTTCGACCAATTCGGATCGGTTTGCATATATCGAAAAACAAACAATTCATTAAGACATAAACGCATAATTAATTTACAAATGTGTTCTCTTGTTTCCATATCCATGTTCGTACATTTATCTACCGGAATACCTTCTATCATCTCAGTTGTAAAAATCTGATTTGTTGACAATTCATCTACACATAAAACGAAGGAGTCATGTCCATGCCTGATCATCAATTTTTGTAAAATATACCTATTGTAGCAGGAACGTAATATTCCGGATAAGGTTCCATAAGTTTTTTATATTTCCTTGTACATTCGGCTTCTCGAATATAATCAACTTCCCATGCAAGTTCTCGCTTTGCTACTTCCACTAAGTTATCTATAAACATACCTTTTGGAAAAATATTCCAAACCTGTAAAATTTTGTACAGGTGTAATCATATTCTAGAAATTCTACTAACATAATAAAGAAGATATTTAGCGCATTTAATACCTTCATTATGCCTACTAAATTTTCAACATCACTTTGTATGCCTGTAGCTACACCAGGATACTGGATTTTTATTGCTACATCTTGCCCATTTAATAATGTACCATGGTGTACCTGACCTGTTGTTTTTTTATGACATAAAATATGTACTTCACAAATTTATTTACAATACTAAAACTGATCATTACCAATTGAAGCAGCAGCAAATGGCTTTTCTTCAAATGTAGCTAATTTGCTTCTCCAATTATGCCCAAGTTCACTAGCTAATACTTTTTCAACTTGCCATTTTGGCATGAAATCAGCACTTTGCCTAACTCGTTCAAAAACTTGTTGTAATTCAGGATTAATGATGCTTTCATCCTGTATGCTTAAAATTTGTCCAATTTTTAAAGCTGCACCTATTAGAAACATGCATAAAACATGTGATTATTACTTAATAAAGAACATAATAAATTTGTCAATAATAATTACCTCTTACTTTACACAGAGTTGAAACTATCCTTTCAGCATTTGCTTTGGTAAGAAACATGCTGTCAAATGTTTCTCCAACACTTTGCTTTTTGAATCCTAGTGTTCTGCGTGTATACTCTGCAACTGTTCCAACACCTAAACCAAGTCCTAATGTTCCAAAACTTACCATTCTTTGAAATCTGGTAGCTGGAACTTTCTGGGCTTTTGCATTAGGTGAAAGCTTCAAAATAATGATTGATTTATTAACACATGTATAGTACATAAATTATGTAAAGAATACAAAAAAGAACTTACAGTTTGTTTTGGTCTAACAGATGGTTTAGCTTTAGGTTTTTCTGGACCTATATTTATATTTTTATCCTCTATTACATCAGAGTGAGTTTCTAATGCATTGTCTTGCTTTATACTCTGTTTTTGTATTTTTTGTTCATGTTCTAATTCTAATTTCCTTAGAATTTCTTTGTCTTTTTCTGAAAGTTCAATCTTTGGTATTTCACTCTCCAACTTAGATATTGTTTCAATTTTTTCCTTTACAGTTGTATACTTCTTTATAACAGATTTATCTTGTTTTTCTTGTATGCTGCTTACAGATTCTGATTTAATATCAGAAACATCCATCTCAACTGATATTTCTTTAGGATCTTTAGAAAGATTATAAACATATAGCTTGGACTTGCTAGATTTTACAGCAGTACTTTCACCAAATGGTGTTCCAAGGATTTCATTAGTTTTTAATCTCATAAATTCAATTATCCCTTTCTCAACAACATTTATCCGTTCTGCTACTTCTTTCAACTGTTCTGTTACTTGACTCTGTACACATATATTACACAAAAATTATAACCTTGTGTAAGCAGTTAATCAAAATTAATAAATGCCATGAAAATAATTCATATTATATAAAAAACAAATACACACAAGTTTTACTCATCATTTAAAAATCATGATTTCATTTGTTTTTGAAACTTACAGGAACCTTACTTGGTTTTATATTACCCAAATTCTTTGTGTTATCCTTTATACATTTTTCTGCACAAGCTTTTAAGCTTGAAGTCTTTATTATATGTTTAACTGTCTGTTCTTGATGTTTTATAGCAGCACCAGTTACTGCTTTAATTCCTTTCAGCACACCGATGACATCAGATACTCTGTGTTGAGACATTTTCACCAAGGCAATCCAACTATAAACTGATGACTTAATGAGTGGGATGTAAAGATTTATGCTGAATTTTGAAAGTATAACTTAAATAAACAATACTATTCTCAATTTACACATAACATCCTTTCCTTTTTTATATTTTTTAATGACAAGATACTATATTATTAATAAACTACTTATAAGGACTGTTATGAACTTAAAAAACTACTTATATACGTACTCGAATGTTAATAATAGTGCCTATAACGTGTGTTTAAAATAAATGCAGACCTTGAAACACACAAATAAGGTTATAACACGCTATGACATTACTTTTTATTGTTTTTTCCAACATTTTTTAATACTTTTTTGATGCAATTTTCATATAGTAATGGTTCTTTGAATGATGTGTATTTTTGAATGATATAATATAAGGTAGCTTTGAAATATTATTCAATATAAAGTTTGAATTAGTGTCTAGATGCATACATAAACACATCATGTATTTATATACATACAGGAAACACATGTTTTCATTTTATATATGTATATACCCACTTACTCATATGAAATGATACTTAACTAAATTACAATTACAATTACTTTTCAAAATTGTTTATTTTTTGTTATTATACTTATGTACGTCATTTATAAGTGACGGTTTATTACTCACTAATTAGGAAATTACAGAAATTCTACAAATGATTACGAACACCTTTACTTAATATATTGTTTTATACATAAGATTTATATTTGAATAAGACTCAATTATTTAATAAATTGTAAGAAGTGCATTTGAAAAATCACCCGCTTTAAAAATCACAGAAACAACAGTTATTGCTGTAATAATCTTTATAAACAAAAACTGGCAAGCTTTTAATCTTACTGTTACTTTTTTAGCGTTTATATTTATATCAATACCTTACAAGCTCTACAGTAATTTTATTTATATACATGGTATATATTTTTCTCGTTGTTTCCTCGTATAATCACAAAAACAAAAAATGTATTACATAACAAATTCTAAATATTGTAGGATAATATTTAGAGTAAACTAAAACCATCTCCTATGATTATTTATTATAAGTACATTTTATGTACCCTGAGGTAGCCTCATTGAATTAAAGTAATATTCAAAATTGTTTCAAGTATATAATTAGCAGTGAAGAGTAGTTATAAAAATGTTATTTATTTTAAACATGTATTTAGTATGTGAACTTATACATACTGTTATATGTTACTGTATTACAAGACTCTAATGATTGAAAAACCTATAAAACTGTTTCAAAATTATGTTTTTCTCAGAAACGTCATTTTTACGTTTAATCTTGTAACAGCACTAATTTAGTTTTTCACATCCTTAAATTTACATACCGAAGGAGACCACCTCGTTAGATTTAACTTCACGTTTAAAAAATAGCTTCAACAAGAGGAAAAAATTAATTTTACAACAAAATAGAGCGGAATAAATTAATACTCGTAAAAATTAAATAACATTTGGCTGATCGGGAATAAGAGAAGCAAAAAATGTACTGAAAAATGTCCAAGTGAAAGCAAGTGCACCAGGTCTCTCTTCTTCGTGTTCTTCATTTGCATTTGTTCTTGCTTCTGCTTCTACTGTTGGTATCTGCCCAACGTTTTGTTGTTGAGGTACAGGTTGAGGACCCACTGCTTGATTTTGCAACACCTGATTATTGTTATCCATTCTATCTACTCTACCATTGTTATTTTCAGGTAAGAGAAGAGGTTGTACTCTGAAGAAACCACCTTGGTATCTGTGAAGTATACATTTTTTAAATATATGCTTGCACTGTATTAGTGCAATATTTATAAATGTATGAACTTACAGATACATTACAAAGCCAAGAAATGTAACAATAAGAAATCTTAGCGGCGAAGAATAAAAATATACTATACTGAAGAGAAAAATAATTCTTGACAACATATAAAAAAAGTCTAGCCAATCTCTAATAAATGCACCATCCTCTCCGGCATCATTATTTCCAGCATTAATATCAGCTTCTTGGGCAGCTGGTTGCTGCTGTTCATCACCTACATTATTAGTATTATTTGTATTATTTGCATAAGAAGTTTGAACACTGTCATTTGTATTGATATTCATTTGCTGAACATAGGGAATGCTAGTTTGCAATTGTATTCCTTGTGCTGCCATGCTGTAATAAAATATTATTTTTTTATTATAAGTATTTCAAATTTTGTTCAAGTTAGAGAATGCACCTACAATTGCATATATTGAGTAAAATAATGAGTATATGCCTGTTGCATCCAAGCCACTTGCTGGTTATTCCTTGGATCAAAGTATTGTTGTGCAGAATACAATTGTGTAGGTGCATGTTGCATGGGAACATTGTTCATATTTGGACTCTGATTTTCTATATTATTCGTATTATTTAATCTCATATGTTCTATGGTACTTCTTGCGGTAGGAATTGTACTTGTACTTTCTGTAACTTGTTCCATTTTATTAGTAGATGCTTTTTGTGAAGCACAAACTAAATGAACTATGTAAGTTTGATCTTCTTGTCCATCACATTGCCTTAGAACATCTTTCAAATGTACAGAATCATTTAATAATTGTCCTGAATATATTAGTTTTTGACTTGCTCGTTCCTGAAACATACAAGGTAACTATTAATGCAACATATTTTCTTTAATTTGTTGTTGCTAGAATATAATTGTAAATGTTACAAACAGCACAGTATGACAAAGTTAATAACAAAAGAATTTTGTTCATCATTTTGGTGCTAATAATTAAATTCCATTTACAAAATAAATGATATTTGCAGATAACAACATATTACATTTTTAAAAGTAATCAAAGTGAGATAAATTTGCTGTTTTGTTTTTTTTTTTAGATCTGTTATACTAATAGTATATTGCTTTCACCAAGAATCAACAGAGTACAGCTTTCACATAATTTCACATGATTATGTTTACAATAAAAACAAGAAAACTCACTGGTTTACTAGGATAAACTTCAGATAAATGTTCTTTTAATCGTCCAACAGTCCATCCAATATCACAGTTTACAATCTGATCTTTAATTTGTTGATTCGGTGCTTTTATCATTAATTTCACGGCAGTTCCTTCCATTATCATAATATTTTTACTTTTTACGTTTCGTTTGATCAGCTGTTTCTACTGTCAATTACTTAGATTAGGATTAATTAGCAATGCCACCGAGGCAAGTTGATATTTTCACGTTCCCAAGATTTATACGATCCTCTTATCAAATTAATTTTGTCGTTTTTTGCACAAACCCTCTCGTATTATTTATTTGCATACCAATTACACACATTTATCGTTCGTACAGCAGAACTATGTAACATGAACGTGTATTTAATCTCTTATGTATTTTTGTGCCACTAAATGAAATCACGTATTTGGCGACTTTTCATTGGTTGTAGATTACAATTTATTTATGCTTTAATAAAACCTGATCTTCATAGAGACTTTTTAGCTTCCTTCTGCTTTATGTCGATATCGCAACGCATAACAAACATTCGGTTTCATAGAAACTGCGTCGTAATTGCGATATGGCGGGAAACTATATAGTTGGCACTAGTGGGCACTCGTTGTTTATGCGACGATCTTTCAAATATTCCGTTTGAATTTGTATGGAATCTATTTAATTGTGATATGATCAAAAATGTAAGCATCCTCATTTGTTTCATTATTTTATTTCTTAATTAGAGTACTCTTTTGTTTGGGTTTCAATTTAAAAGTTAAATGTAATGAGTATTGAATACCAAAAAGTGCACATACATGATTTATATTTATTGTGCATGTAACCTTGTAATGTATTATTAATATTCAATAGTATTATGTATATAGAATTACTCTTTTATGCAAGTAATGCATGTAAAACATTTCTGATTAAATTAATTGGTTACAGTTTAAGTATCCTTCTTTTTCTAGGTCTCCTTCCAGATCTAGAAAAAGTAGCTCAAGACGCTCTTCTGTAAGTACATGAAAATGTTTTAAGTATCTAGAATATTACTATCATTATTTTTTATAATGTTTATAGATTCTTAAGCTTCCTAAACACCGCCAAGATCTACAAAATTTAAATGATAACAATTCATCAAATGACAATAGCCCTGCTAATACATTAAAATTTAAAAGACGAGTTAGCTTTGCAGAAAAGAAGCATGTCAAGTGAGTCATTTGTTTATTTATGTATATTGTTTTTATGATTCTGGTAATATGATTGAATAGTTAATGCATAGCATGAAATTCCTTGTACAGAGAATTTTGTAATTCCGTGGAGCAAGGAACTGTATGGGATAGTACATATGAAGAACATGATTTGAGTAACTTGAAAATGCCAGATACTTCTAATCAAGAAGAACATAATGTTCATATTGTTCATAAAGAAAACATTGTTTATTTTAATCAAGAAAATAATATACAATTTGTATCTAATGTAAATGATAATGGTACAAAGAGTAGGGATATGTTGTTAAGTCAGCCTGAAATTTCAGTACATTATAATAACTTAAATGCTACATCTACTCAAGATATTCATATGGAATTTACTGAAGTTGTTTCTCACACTGTATATCGCGATGTAAATTATATTCAAAACAATCAGTTAGTGGAAACACTTCAGAATTCATCAATGGAATTGACTCAACCAATTTATTCTTCTATAAATACATTACAAAATTTTCAACAGGAGCATGATATTCAAAGACTTAATTCTCAGCCCAAATTAAATAACTTAAATGTAACAGCAGTAGATTCAAATGCATCAATGGAATTCACTGTAGCAGTATCATCTATCATTAAACCTGTTGATGATGCTAATAAAGAAAATGTATCAATATATTCTGAAAATAACAGAACCAGAAGGTTTGATAATGTTACAATGGAAATAATTACACCAGTACCCTCAGTGCCAGTAGTACTACATAGACTGCAGGAACCACTTGATAATATTCCAATGGAAATAACTGCACCAGTACCATCTATCATTAAACCTGTTGATGATGCTAATAAAGAAAATGTATCAATATATTCTGAAAATAACAGAACCAGAAGGTTTGATAATGTTTCAATGGAAATAACTACACCAGTACCCTCGGTGCCAGTAGTACTACATAGACTGCAGGAACCACTTGATAATATTCCAATGGAAATAACTGCACCAGTACCATCTATCATTAAACCTGTTGATGATGCTAATAAAGAAAATGTATCAATATATTCTGAAAATAACAGAACCAGAAGGTTTGATAATGTTTCAATGGAAATAACTACACCAGTACCCTCAGTGCCAGTAGTACTGCACAGACTGCAGGAACCACTTGATAATATTCCAATGGAAATAACTGCACCAGTACCATCAGTGTCATCAGTACTACATAGCTTGCAGCAAACAGTTACTAATAATGAAATAGGAACTTGTGATTCAGTGATACCTGTTGGAAATAAAGTTACCATTTTTCATGATAATTCAATGGAAATGACTAGTGCTGTGAAAACACAGGTTAATAGAGATACAAATTGCCAGTTTGATGAAGGCAATATATCAACAGTAACAGAAGAAGCAGGTTTTAAGTATGACAATGAAAAAACTAAAGTACTAAGCATGTCTATGGAAGTGACTGAAGCTATGAATATGCATTCCATAGCTAAAAGTCAAGAAAGAAAAGAAAGAAATCGTCAAATTACAGATGCTTCTATTGAAAATGATTTGAGAAAAGTAAGGTCTTATTTAGACTGCTGTGAAGCATCAACTAATCCTGATAAAACCAGTATGTATGATAATGAAGTAATGGAATTTACTGAAGCTATAAGAACTTCATCTAAAAAGATGCCTGATAAAACATCACTTACTGCAGATAAAACCAACATGTATGATAATGAAGCAATGGAATTTACTGAAGCTGTAAGAACTCCGCCTAAAAAGATGCACAATAAAATATTTCTTAATGCTGATAAAACTAATATGTATGATAATGAAGCAATGGAATTTACTGAAGCTATAAGAACTTCACCTAAAAATAATTTAACAAATACTGAACACGTACAAAATAGTCAGTGGAGTAATGATGATGAAGACAATAGTGTAAACTTGGTAACAAATAAGACTACCATTTGTCAGAATAATTCAATGACAATTACAAACATAGTATTACCATCTAGTATGAAAGATGACTTTAAAAATGTAACTGAAGATCATGAATCAAACATAAATAATCCAGAATTGATTAAAACAGTTGAATATCCAAATATGTCTATGGATATTACAGAAGATGCACCGGTATTACAATGTCATTTTTCAAGAGAGAACAGTGTTATAAATTCTGCTTATGTTAAAGAACCAGTATTACTTGAAAATAAAGATAAAGATTCGTTAGATTCGAATATAGTACCTGGTAATATCTTGAAAGACATTACTGACATAGTAGTTCCATCTCTATCAGAATCAAATTTAATTATGGACAAAGAAATGCGCCTAGCAGATGATTCTTTACAATATTTAAAAAGCATTGCTACAAAAACATCTGCTTTGACAGAACATGAAAATTCTGTTAGTAATATATCTGACACAGTTTTACTTGAATTAAAGCAACAAGATGCTGATGTTTTGACTTTAAAAGAAAATATCAGGAGGGAAACTTATGTTCTTCATAGCCCTAAATTTCATGATCCTAGTATTGTAATTCCAGAGTTCCAATCACAAAATACTATATCAAATCCAAGAAGAACATACATCATTCAGCCATTAAATATAGATCATTCTTGTAACAAAGAGAATGATAAAACAAGTGATAATGTCAATAATGAGATAAAGAATGATAGTGTTTGTTACACATCAAATGATAAAACAAGCTGTACAAGAAGCAGTCTAAATAACACAGGCAACTTGCAAAACAATGATGATAAACATTTAACAGAAGAAGATGTTATGTTTTTCAATAACAGTTTAGAGGAATTACATACCATTACACCACCATCATTTCTTTGTTTGGAAGATTCAGATTCAGATACACTTGTAGATGCTGATGTAGAAGTGAATCTTAATTCCAATAATATTAAAAATTCAGAGGCCAGTGAAGAAGAAAATATCTTAGAAAATAGATGTAATTTAGAAAATATAAGTGATATTCATGAAGAAAGTTTAAAGACGGATGAAGTAGTTGGTGTACAAATTGGACAAATAGATAAAGATTGTTCAGAAGTATATTTAAGCCCACGTTCAGAATCTCATGAGTCGCCTGAACAAAAAGATATGTCGATCGAATTAGATCCTTTCTCTTCACTAATGAACAAACTGAAAGTTTGTGCTGAAAGGTACTTAGAACCAAAGTATTTCATCAATATTTTAATGTTTCCATCTTTTGCATCAAATAATATTAATTATGTACTTTCTAGTGACAAAATTATTTGGGAAGTCTACCATGAAAATATTGAAAGGAACCTGTTTGTAATTGGTTTTGTATCTTCTTCATTGTTAGTAGTAATTTATTTAAAGGATAACTTTGATGCTTTAGGTGACGAGCTTATTAAAGAAATTAAAATATATTCTCGCCTGGCAGGTGAGTATAGGAAAAAGAATCAATGCAAAAATACCAGTTAATATTATTTTATTTAAGAGTCCTTTTTCGTTAGACGATGCTGACGCATTAATAAGCTTAGTTCATCGAATAATCATGGAAAAATTAGATGCTCAAGTATTGGCGGATTTATGCAAAAATTGCGGGGATATTTTTTCAATACTAGATAATATTTCAAAAGAAGTAAAACTAGCTATGGATTTTATGTTCGATGTGGAACGTATAAGAGACATAAATTTGATGGAAATAACTCGTGACAGGTAATGAATTATTAAAATACTGTTATTGATTGTTATATTGAATACCCATCATACGTTTTTTTCTCTTTATTGTAGCGTATCTTTCATAGCATTTGCCAAAAGGAAAGACATTATATTGAGGGTCACAGTAGACATTAAACCATTTCACAAAATTGAATCCAAAGATATTTCTGTACATTGTAGATTAGGGTCTGTAAGGTCAGTTCTGGATTTGTGTTCGATCAACCTTGTTAAAGATTCTTTCATTGTAACTTTTTATTGTTTTACAGAGAGGAGGATGTTAAACTGTTAATAACGAATATAAAACGAGACTATAAATTTTTAAGGAGATACATAAGTGACGTGAAAGATTACATATACTTGATGGAAGAATCTGTTAATATAATTTTATAAAAACACCGTTCTCAATGTACTCTACTAACATAACAATTTTATTACCTTTTATTAATTTTATACACTATAGTGCAATGCAACAATAAAAATATTTTTTTAATCATTCAACAGGTGTGTTACCGCCTATAGAAATATATTAAGTAGAAAAATGAGAATTGCACTATAAAATGATTCATAGATACTGAGTACCTGAGTGAAGTTTTTTGTTTTCTTACAGACTAAACATAAGAATCGTGGGCGGTGCATGAGTGTTCCCTTTCTTTTTTAAACATCCGTACCGTAAAGGTGCGCAAATGTAAAGTTACGAGTAAAGGTCGATCAACTAGTTCTCCGATACAGCCGGTTCAGTCGATGCAGCTTTTTGTGCAAGCATTTGTAGTCTGTCTCGATAGTATCGTGTGAACAACCGGCTTTCTCAGAATCGTATGACTTTCCGTCTTGTTCTCCAGCGTGGTCATTGTTGGTAATTACACGAACAATATTACTTGGTTTTAAAACACTGAAACAATTTAACACTACACGCATTGCTTTCTTTAACATTCTATAGATTAATTTTACAATTAAAAATTCTACACAAGTTGGATTTATTAAGAATTCAAATCGCTTGAATTCCAATCCGAGGGACAAGATAAGGATGACACAATTACTGGTAGTTTATGAAAACATCATTGATACAGACATCGATGTAAGTTACAAAAATTACACAGGATTTTGTATACAATGAACTCTTTCTCATTGGATAAAAATCATTTTTAATATGGCAGTGAAAGATACTTCTTATGTATGTATCAAAGATTTTAGCAAGAGTAGTGCAACGTTAAAACATAGTCATGGAGAACGTCGAGCAATGCGGAGGACTGGAATTCACGAAACTTCCGGTAGTTGTACAGAGAAATTGCTGGAGCATGGAGGATAAAAAAGCATTCGCTGGGCATGTGATACTGTTTAAGATGACGAAATATTATCGCAATGATTTTGTTGCAACATGTACCACAGAAGAGAACAACCGACGTGTTTAAAAGTCTAATAACATGGTTTCAATTATTCTCATTACCAAAAGGATACAGATAAACGTTTACAAGGTGCTTCTTTTATTCATAGTAAAGTACTAGAGCGAAATTGAATGCTATTCAGTCCTACATTTCACTCGATAACATTATATATACACAAGGTTCGTTAAAGAAGTCAAACTTTCTTTCAATGTAGCTACGCCAGCCGCATTTGCGTGGGCGTTAAGGCCCGGTTTTACGTGATTTCGTAACGACGACAGACCGATTTCCAGTATCAAAAACCATTTCATGAAGATCCCGAAGACCTTCGAGCCTTGCTCCCTCTCTCTTAGTCCTCTCTCCGACTTCTAGAACGCCCTTGTGTACACAGATGAAGTCTGGTCACATGCGAAGATCGCTTGTGAAATTGCTGCTGGTTATGCTAAACAACGAAGAATGGGAAACGAACTGTACCTTGACAATGGACGATAAATACTATACTCTCGGGTGTTAGTATGTGGTAAGACGGTATCGTGTAATCAAAGCTGTTTTTATTCATCAACATTTTGAAGAGCGAAACGTAGCATAAATTAATACTAAACATTTTCAGACGGCCTCATTTTAAGTACCTTTAATCCCAATGGAAGAAACAATCTAAAGGGCCATCATTATCATGGATCCAGACCCTCTAACTGTTCCTGGATCTATCCACATTCCTGCTTTCTTCCATAATAAATATGAATTTCATTGAAGACTCGAGCGATCATTGATCAACAAGCGCGCTGAATTCGAAAAAGCCGCGGCTACGAGTAATCCCTGCGGTCTGCGGACCAGGTTGAAATATCCTAGAGCGTGGATAAGAGGGACAGGGTTGACGGAGAACGTCGACGTATCAGGCGGGCAACCTGTAACGGTCGACGTCGATCCGACGATACCTGCTCAGGACTATGAGAACGGATAGCAGCGGGAGCAAGAGCGGCAGCGAGGCAAGTGGGCGTAAAGGCTTGGAGAGAGAACGTCGTCCCGTGTTCCATACATGGCTATGCTATGTGGAAACCGAGAGACACAGAGAGACGGACGCACCGGTGGAGTCCCCACCGTGTGGACACGGCGGAGGCGACGTTTTCTCGGCACGAATGCCCACCGCATGCTTCGTGCACAGTATGTGCTAGCACCACGTCGTCGTACGATCGTTCTTCTTTCCGTTTATTCGACGATAATATCCCGACTTGATCGCGATATATCTTCGTACGGGTGACGAGGTAGCAAACGGAACCGACTGCTTCGGAAGATGTACCCGCGAACACGTCACTGGCGTGGGTGTTACCGTTACATTGATCTAGTCTGAATTACATACGTACGGATTTCGAAGTTGAAGCGTCCGCGCCTATGGCCAAGTGACAGCTCTCTCAGTTTGGCGAGCGTGCGATTGGTCCGCTTTCCGCTTATCCTCTTCGTCGTACAATTGTGTCTGTATGTGTATGTGGTGCCTGTGCGCGACCAGGCAACGTGGGTTGGATGCGTGAGTGCTCGTGTTGCGCCTGCGTGAGTGCTACGAGGTACCAGCCGCGTGTGCGTTCGCCACGCGTGAAGAGAAGCCGCAGGGGCCGCAAAACCAGGGACTACAGGGACACACACACCGCCGTAGGTATGTGTTGTGCACGAGTACCAAATATCCTAACATTTAGGATCTATGTTTTTATCAAGGTATACCTCACTTTGCTTAACGCTGAATAAATATTAATCATGCTATTCTATGTTTGTTTATTAACAAGTTTACTTTACATGTATACATTGTTATAGGTGACTTAGGATTGATCGAGTATCTTGTTTAAAAAATAAATAGAACACGAATAGTGTTGTAATGTTTCATGTGGGTTGATTCGTTTCAATTAACGAGCATGTTTCTTCACTTTCATCTTATATACATGTTTATCAATGGATTCACCGTAAGTGTTAATCATTCATAAGATAGACTCTGCTCTGAATGGTCAATTTATTACTGAGATTCATAACTATCACATAACTATACAATCTTTCAGGATTTAATAGCGGCAACTGCAACGTAGTCTGGCCGCGTATAGAGGTGTTCTTTTTTTTCCCCTCTGATGATATTCCTCGCTATATCTGTCTCCTGTTTTTCGATGATCGTTTTTAGCGTCCCACGAAGACGACGAAAACCAGTTTCACGTCCGGACACGGACGTTGGCGAATCGTGATACGAAAGAAAGAAGGAATCGCTCAATCGATGATCGTGCTTCTTCCAAAGACGTTTCTCCCGGAAAGGTCACTGTCTTTGAACGGCATCCCGCGCCAAATACGTTCGTGGTCCTTCGTTTTCCTCATAATTTATTTCAGTCGTCCGATTTCCTTGGCTTGCCCAACAGCCGACGAGTTTACAACATTTTCATCGCGAAAAGGATTCGTTAAAAATGCCACAGCCTTGTCTCTTAATGCGGCTACATCCCACGTTTTATCTGGCGAGTTCCTATCGTTTCCATTCTCTTCCTTTCAGTGAAGGGTGCCTTGCAGGATGGAAAATTTTTTACTATAATCTACTTTGAAAAATAATTTTCAATTCTTTCGCTCTTTCGTGGACGTTGGAATGATATGTTTTAACAATACCTTTGTCTGCAAAGGGTAAATATTATTTTACTTATATTTTATTAAACGCACTTCATTTACGCATTTTTTTCATTTTCTCGTGGAGTTCGTGTTCTTGCTTCTCTTTTGCCAGTATCTTCAACCTCTTTTTACCAAGAGGAGTTTTATTTTCAAAATTCACAAACTGCTTCAACGTCTTCGCTCGAGGTGGCTCGTACTTGAACACTTCCTCCATAATCTCTTGCTGTTTCAACGGGTTAAACTTAAGGGTGATCCTGCGCCGAAGATTTAGGACATTCTCGACGGCGTTTCTTATGAACTCCAATGGAATGCCCACGGACATCTTCGCCAAACAAGAGACGTCGATATTGCGATCCACTTCGTGGTACTTCATCAGCAGATCTTTGTAAAACATGTAAAGCGTGTTGTAGTCCGTGAGAGGAATCATTATAAACTTGTCGTGGATCTTGACGAAGGGTCTTCTTGCTTTATATGGCTCCGAGGAGGTCGTGAGAAATAGGATCTGAAAAGTATCACGTCCTGGTGAATCGAACAATCGGCAAAAATCTATAAGAATGTATTCTTCGAAGAAGCAATTAGGTACCCTCGGTGATTCTTAATCGATTGATGAAAGTTGGTATGATCAATTCATTTACCATTTACTACCTCGTGCGATTAATTTAAAATTTAATTAAAAATTTTCTTTCTTTTTCTAGTTATTGGATTATGTTAAATTCGTGGATGCCTATCAACGTGTTCGTTTCAACATCGTTTAATTCAAGACCCGATGAATATTAATTTTCCCGTTGCGTTGCTTTGTTTCTACGCCACTGAGTAACAGTATCTGTCCAGAATCACCGACACTCTAAATCCTACGTTAACTCGCTACCACCTACGTACTCTCCTCGTTCGGTAGGAGGCGTTTCATTGATGACCAGCTTCGATACGTGTTTGGGAAAGAGAAAAGGTGGTTGGAGGGGAACGGACGTGGTTATCGAGCTGGTTCATTCATATTGGAGAAAGAGTCAAAACAGGAATATCGAGAATTTCATAAAGTGGGGAGGGACCAGCAGATCACCAACTTTAAAACGTTCCTCTCCGGTTTAGGAAAGGTGTTGCTGCTGTACGAGCCCGTTCAATTGCGACACCAGACACCATCATTTTTATGAGCAGCGAAACGCGGAAAAGGCGCAGACGAAATACGCCAACGCGATATGGAGATAATTTTGAATCGTATCACCTGGTCACCACGTTTGATGCTTTTCACCAACTTTGGATAGTACTTTGCGAATCGTCTCGGCTGTAATTTCTTCTCTTCAGGCGGTATCTTCTTCAGCCATGGTTTTTCACCGTTGTCGATGAAGATTATCGAAGGAGCGTATTCTCGGGCCACTTTTGATATCATCGTGATTAATTTGCGTTCGTTTTTTCGTCCTATGTACTTATCTACCAGTACAGATGGTGTCATGTCGAATAACAATGCTCCAGTCTGTTTAAAAGATGAGGAATAATTATACAGATATGTCAGATTGGTTTGAGACTTGTTAAAAATACCTCGGAGCATACTGCGTTCGCCAGAATGCTCTTCCCATGTCGTGGAAGACCACAGATACAAACAGCTCGCACCAGGGGTGCAGTTTGGTGCACTTCCTTGGAGCTGAGAGGGAGTATACAGTATTCCATAACCACCTGTCTAATTTCGCCCATTCGATAAGTATAATTTCGAAATTCTTTCTCTGCTTCGTAATTCTGATACGATAGATCCCCTATCCAATCCTTCAGGGATATTAGAGGGTAGGTTTTGATGATATCGGCTCTAGCTAACTCTTTGAAAATGTCTTCCACTGAAATGTCTCCCAGCGCATCCTTTTTCTTCTTTCCTCTTCTTCCTTTTTTCTTTTTTTTTTTACCTGGTTTACATTAATTAATGAGTGGTAAATTCTTTATTAGTGTATTGTATGAGATAAAATTTACTTTTATCTTTAGGTATATCCAGCTTTTTCTTATCTGCTTTGTAATCCTTTTTCAATGCTTTATTCAATTTTTGCAGCTCCAGCCTCATCAGTTCATCAACTATTCTCCTCATCTCCAACTGAAGCTCATAGCAAAGCTTGTCCTTAATGAGGTCCTCGTATATTTTATCCTGAGGATCATTTGAATCGTCATGAAAGCTCCAGTTCTTAATAAAATCCTGATTGGCATCATCGAGGAAGGAAAATGCTTTTGTCTCATCTATCCAAGGTATCATCTTCTTCTTCTTTTTGGTAGAATCTGTTGCTGGTTTAGCAACAGTTGCAGCTGCTCCTTTACCTTTACCTTTAGCCGCTTCTTTCTCTCCCTTCCGCATTAGATACTCTTCAGGTGTTAAAGTTTCCCCGGTGGCTATTAGAACGCTGCCCCCTAAACGTGCAGCTGGGTAAGCGTCGTAGTGTCCAACCGTGTCGTACCATACGATGAACCATTCTCGAACCTCCTCTGTGATGTCTTCGATTAAACCTGGTCCTCTGATCTTCCACAGCTGATGAAACAGATAACGGTTTAGGTTTCAGGTAATAACGAATATTATAATTACAAGTCTTTAATTACTTTAGCTCGGTTATCTTCTGTCGTTTTCGTTACTCGATCAACGAACCCTGGCATCAGTTCTAATTTCTTCTGAAAACTTTCTTTATCCTTAACGAATACTTTTTCAGATTTCCAGCTTGGTATCGTCATGTCCAATAGTTCTTCCATACGATCCGCCCGTTTTTTCATTTTCTTCTTCGCCAGATATCTTCTCCAAGCTCTTTGTATCGTCCTTGCTGCGAATACGAAGGTGGCTATGCTCATCTTTTTTGGCATAATTTCACCCATCTGCAGCTTGCGGTTGTAAGTACACATTCGTTGCACTGTGAAAGACGATGAAATTGATACTAATTCTTTGATATTTATTTATTAGATTCGTACATTCCAATCCAGCACAACGACCCATTCTTGCTCTCTCGTGACACTGTATAAGCAGTATCGCATCTTGCATAGCTTTTTCGGCTGCGATTCGAGCTTCCCGAGCTGCTACCACTTCCGGACATTCTTGAAGAATGGATGGTACTTTAGATACCGTGGAAGCTTTCTCTTGTAGTCTTCTTCTTCGAGATTTTGATACGCTTTCCTGGGACCCGACGATACTTCCAGCTTCACTGATGCTTACGCTTACACTATCAACTTCTTCTTGTTCTTTTACTTTTTGCACTTATCAAGAGATAACGTTTGATCGCTTTAATTAATTCGTACCGTAGAAAAGATACCATTCGAGTAAATTACCTATGAAAGCATTTTCTATTAATTCTTCTATGTATTTTCTACGCTGCTGAATAAGATCTTTGGCAGTCGCTGAAACGAATATTTCTACATCGTCGGGGGTGTACTTGAATTGCCTCATGAAGTCATCAGGCCATCTATAACATTTGTTTTTAATTTACAGCCTGAGTCTAGATGGATAAGATGTTGACGAACATACAAATATTCTGAACAGTTTAGTTTAACGATCTCCCTTTTATACTCCAGCATTCGGCCAATTGAACAATCCAGGACACGTTTTATCAAGTCTCGTTTCTGCGATTGCACCATCTGATCATGGCACACTATCAGCCTCTTCACCAAATTACGATATCTGATAAAACAATTTATATTTCAGATCGAAAGGACCTCTGTTAGTATACTGTATGGTACCTAAGATAAGTTGGAACTAGAAGATTCAAGCCCTGCTCTTTTATTCCCGTTCTTCGTTCCCGTTGCAATCTTCGATCGAGCAACAGGAGTTTCTCCAAATCGTTTCTCGTGATGAGCCATAGTTCGTTGTAATAAGCATGCGACATTGATTTTTCGGATGATTATGAATTACTTGGCCATTTGCGTAGGTAATGAAACTTGAGAATTTTCAAATGATCGAAGGGCCTAAAATTTGGGTTAGTTGAAAGTGGGATACCGATGTTGAAGTGACAAAATTCAATCGGCCACTTGTTGCATTATCGCTGGTGTTCAGATAAATCATGATTTTATTTATTATACGTTTCTCATCAATGAATACTGTTATTTCAGAATGCTGTGGAAGTCTGGATGTTCGTTGATCCTGTTGCTAACAACGATTGCGTCTCTGGACGCGATGATGGAGGATTTTTTGGAGGATGAAACGACGACGACCAGCGTTGTATCAATGAACTCTTCCACGGTGTCGTTCACAACGATGCCAAGCTCGGAGAGGACGACGGCAACGGCGGTGAATTCGTCGAACATTGTAAAAAATCCGGACGAAGAAACTATTCAAGACTCGTCCCACGCATCCTCGCCTTCGTCTGACACCGTTTGGGAGTGTCCAAATATTACAAAAGCAGGCGTCGAGTGCTCTTGCGACTTTCCACACACGCTAAGATGTACCGGTGATAGAACCGCGTTACAGGTAATCTTCAATGCCCGAAACGTTTTCTTCTAAACATCTAAATGTATAAACGTGGTTCATGAATTTGTTGATGCAACCAGAGCCTGTATGTTCATTAGTGTACCATATTTTTGCTAGAAAATTAGTGAACTTCAATGATAATTGTTTTCGTTGTACGACGATTAATCAAGTTTATCCGAGAGTTATCATTTTGTTACATTATCGAGGTCAGTGATTTTTTAACCACCCGCCAACAAGAAGCGTGGGCGTATAGACTGCCAATGAAATACAAGTCGTATGTGTATTGTCCAACAGACCATTGTGCGGCCTCTCTTTCTTCTGTCTTCTACACGCTCGCTGCTTTGCGTTGAATGTCCCGTTACCAGTTACTCCGACGAATATCCTGTCGTACAATACCACCGCGAATCGAATAACTTGCATTATGCAATTCGAGATGACTAATTAAACTTGTAGTCCAATATTACATCCAAGAGCAATTTGTGAAATAGATGAAATTTATTATTGATGTATTTTTCTGCAGACCATCAGTAGATATCTGAGATACAGTCGTCCAGGAACAATATCTCTGTTGGATGTAACAGTGTCTGGGATCTCTCTATTACCAGCTCGTTTTTTGGAAAATATCGCCCTCCATGGACTCGTGGTATCCACAGGAGAGTTGAGACGTGTCCATGAAAATGCTTTCATTGGTCTGATAAGACCCCTTCAGGCACTTGGATTGCCGAATAATCTGTTGGATTCCGTTCCAACAGCTGCTCTGTCGGATCTGATTGGATTGGAAAAATTGGATCTGTCACAGAATAAACTGAAAACGTTAGAAGCTGACTCGTTCAAGGTAATATCTTGAATCAAAGGTAGCGATACTTAACAGTAAACTTTCTCCTACGCATAGATTAATGATACTTGTAATTTTCTTTAATGGAACAATGGACGTAGCTATAATAGAACTGTTTACCATTGAATGTTCAGCCGAATCGGTGCTGACATACAAGTTCAGCTTTCTCGCGAACCATCATTCATTTCTAATAACGCACGTTTCAATGTTTCAGGGCTTGTCAAATTTGACGTACTTGGATTTATGCGATAATTTATTGTCTCAATTATCACCGCAAGCTTTCGCCTCGTTGCCCTCGTTACGTTCTCTGAGAATGCGTGGCAATCGTTTAAGCGTGTCGGCATTGTCAGCATTGAGGGGTCTGAAAATATTGGAGGAGCTTGATTTATCCAATAACTTGTTGCTAGGTCCTATGGGGCCGAATCTTCTTCCTCAGATGCCGCGGTTACGTTTACTCACGGTCTCTGAAAACGAGCTGATAAATGTTCAGCAAGGAGCTCTAGTAGGATTAAGAAACTTAACTTATCTCAGCTTGAGCCACAATCAGGTAACGTATCTAAGTTTCACGAGGATCGAGTAAACATAAAGTAAATTCAAAAATTATCTTGTTTTTTCTTCTTCAATAGATCGACGTGCTGGAAGATCATTCGTTCAAATATTTATCGACCCTAACGAGGCTGGATTTAGCAAATAATCGGATCGTCGCGGTATCCAGCTCTTCTCTGGCGCATCTAGAAAAATTAACCATATTGGATTTGACCCATAATTTTCTGCGATCTCTAACCGCCGATCTAGTGGTACCTTTAAAGAGTCTTCAAGATCTTCGCCTTGACGATAACGATATCACAATGGTATCCAGTGATGTACCTACCTCGAAATTGCGACTGAAAAGGCTCTCCTTGGCTGACAATCCTTTGAACTGTGATTGCACGCTGCTAGAATTCGCCAACTGGTTAAGTAATTCTAGTTTGAACGAGGAGGATAAGTCTTCCGCTGTATGTGCGACACCTCCAGCCTTGGAAAACGGTATACTGACGCAAGTTTCTCCTGGCAGTCTGTTGTGCGGTGAACCAACACCGCCGATCATGACCAGGGTACCTTTGGCCGGTGCTCAGTTAACATTGAAAGAATTTCATTACGATAAATCTACCGGTATCAATCTTTTGTGGCACGTGGAACCATGCACAGAGCGATACACGTGCGACACTCTGATTGTTTATGAAACTGTAGGCGACAGTGAAGTCCAGACGGACTCCAGTTCTCTGCATTGTGATTCACGTATGATGAGAAATCCCTGTTCGTTACCTGTGGCGATACCGGCCTCGTTACATTTACAACCGGGTCATAAATACCGTTACTGTGTAGTACTACTTGTACCGAGCACTTATGAAGAGGTTTCCTTAGGCTTGGGCTGCAGTGACGTGATCACCCTTGAAGAAACTAAAAGAGATTTACAGCAGGATCAACAGACTACGATATCAAAGCTGCCGTCTTCAACTTCGGATACTAAGATAACTGGGGTACATGTTAATGTATCTGATCAAGGTTTTCTACACGTCGATGTTAGCTTATCAAACTCGAAGAAATCGAATATACCTGAATGCGAATTGTCTGTTGTCGTCTTCGATGCTGAATCCGCGGTGCACAAACAGAAGCTGAATTGTACGCTAACGTTTGTTACATTGGCGGTATTGTTGCCTGGTCGTTACAAAGTTTGCGCAAGTTTAGACGAAGTCAACGAGGATGATGTTATCGCAAACTTTGTAGACGATCGTGATAGATTACGCTGCGTCGAGGTACAAGGATTCAAGCAAAATACCGAGATCATTGTTTTAGCGATCATCGGGGCTGGTTGCGCTCTTCTAATTACTCTTGCGGTAATTGGTAGAAGCGTTATAAAGAGAGTGAAACATCCTAGAATACAGACACAGTGCTTTTTACCTGCTCAGGAATTTGAAATAACTCATAAAGCGCATTATATTAAATTACTAGCCACAACGAAGGTTTAACTTTTACATGCCATCAAATAATTATCAATGTTTCTTATTTTGTAAATAATACAACTTATTTTTGTTGATTATTTAAGACTATTGAAGTTGAACGATGTTTTTCTTGTAATATTCAAGTACTTTTTATCGGTTTTATTTGTATATCATCGTCTTCGTGAACTACTAGTCATAAAATCGATATTTTTTAAATATAATAATAAATATTAGTAAGTCGTAAGGATTAATAAATTCTTCAAATATACGAACTTACGATAAACTACTTGTTTAGAGATAATCTTAATAAGTCATTCGCTGTATGGGATTATCTTTAAAAAGTTGATAAGAATGGTATAAATGGATTGCTACAGTGATTAATGTTTCAAAGTACCCAGTTTTTACACTGCCATCGTAAATTGTTTAAGTTGTTAGTATATGAGGAAAAAGACAAACTGTATTAATGCATTGTAAATATTTTTCTAGAATTTAAGAGTTAGAATTGTTTTATCTTATTTTTACATTGTATAGGCGCTTTACTAAAAAATTTTTACTGTAATATATCATTAATTTTAGAATGTGTTCACATTGTGTAAATAGTTTTTAGAACCATGAATAATTTAGGATTTTCATTGTAAAATATATAGCAGTAATTAATTATTAGATAAGTATGAATGTTCAGTGCAATTAAAAGTTACTTATTCAGAATTTATCTTTGTATGGTAACCTTGAATCAAGAAATGATTTACAATTTTTCACGCAAGAGGACGACCTCATCAATTTAGCGCGCTAGCGTACACGTGATTTCCTAAATTAAAAGTTGAATACAAATTTCTGCTTTATTTATTAGAATTTATCAGTTTCCTACATGTTGTGACGGTAAGTCTATGCTTGTTTTTTCAACATACATTTTTATATGTTTAGCAAGAATAAAATTTATATATTTCTGTTTCTAAGATAATAGTTGGAAGTCATCTATTATTATCAAGAATGAATAAGAAGGATAAAATTCAATTGTTGCGGAATGCAATCAGAAGTTATCCTGACTTTCCTAAACCTGGTATTATATTTCGGTAAGTAATATATTCGTTTATTTTCATTAAATCAATTCTATAAACTATTACAGCTAAGGTACAAGCGACATAACCAATATTGTTGGGATCATATTTATCATATTTTAAAAGTTAATTATTTTCAGAGATATATTTGGTGTCTTCCACAATGTAGCAGCATTGAGAGCAATGAGGGATTTAATAGTAGAACATATTTTATTCCTTGAAGTTGATTTGATTATAGGTCTTGATTCAAGAGGTTTCCTCTTTGGACCCATTATATGCATGGAAATGGGCAAGCCTTTTGTACCTATTAGGAAGAAAGGCAAACTCCCAGGGGAGGTTTTACAAAAACCTTATACTCTTGAATATGGGGAGGTTAGACTGTGTAACAATAATATTAATTTATGACATTTTTACCTTTAATATTATTAGAACATTTTGTTTACATAGGATACCTTTGAAATACAAAAGGATTATATAAATAAAGGGGCACGGGTGATCATTGTAGATGATCTGTTAGCCACAGGAGGTAAGATACTAATGATACAATTTATTTAAGCTAGTATAAATAAGATTAATCAATAAACTTTTATAAATATCATCATAGGTTCCATGACAGCTGCAGTAGAATTGGTAAAATCTGCTGAAGCTGAGGTGATTGAATGCTTAGTAATAATTGAACTAACTAATTTAAATGGAAGAGACAAGGTTGGTGTTCCTGTTCATTCATTTATTCAGTATGACTAGTCTTTACCTTGAGACAATGTTAAAAGTATAATTTTAAACCAAAACTTTGTACAGTGTACAGTACAATACTATCAGCATTTTTAGTGTTGAGCACTCAAATAAAGAAATTTATATTTTTATAAAGTTTATATATACATACAAAATTTTATTGTTTTATAATTCTATGTTCAAAGATATTTTATGATATTTACAGATTGTAAATATTGTACATAAATTTTATAATAAAATTATACAGATTGTAGTTTTCATTAATATTTTTATTATACTTTAAACATTATCATACCGCATGCCATGATATTTATTAGATAAAAAAATTTAATTTTCATAAATAAGATATAAAAAGTATCATTCCACTTAAAATAACTATAAAATATATCAGGTACTCTTTACCCTTGATTTTTGAGATCTTAATGAGTTTAAAAAACTTTGTACTTCGTATTCTAATTTGTCTACATTTTGCTGCAATTGCTCATAGTGTTTTGCTTTGTCTTCTTTATCTTCATCATCTGCAGTGTCTAGATCTAAATCTGGCACATCATTTAAATGATCACAAAGACAAGTGTCCACTGGTCCTTGTGCTTTTGAATGATGTCCCTCTGTTCTCCAGATTATATCAGACAACTGTTCTCTGGTACATTTTTCTGCTTCTAAAACAGCAATGAATTTAAACATTTATGATCTCTATGTTGTCTAACTTCGCCAATAGAATGTACAAAGTCTTACCTTTTAATCTCATTTGATGAATTTGATTCATAAAAGCTTTTGTTTCATGTTTTAATCGGTTTTCCTCTGCCGTTTCCATTTCTTTGCGATCACGCTCACGCTCGATTCGCTCTTTTTCTTTCAATTTTTCCAATTCAGCAATTGAAAGGTCGTCAGTTAAAAATTTCGGGAAATCATGTATAAATGGCTGATATGGTCCTTTGGAAGATAATGTAATTATTTCGTCTCTATAAAAAAATACAATACCTATTACATTATCTTGTATTAGATTTAATAATTACATAATAACAGATAATACTTTACTTAAGATAGTAACTGGGATGAATTCTTGATGGTACATTTTTATCAAGCTGCTGAGCAACATTTATCAATTCTTTGGCAGTAATATGACCCTGACTAGTAAAATATCGCCTAATATTTTCTTGTGTATGCAATGACGAAAGTATCAATTCGTGAGAACAGATACTGTATGCAGCAACGCTGAATAATAAAAGCGAAGGCTTTTTAAATGATATTAAATGATCCAATAAAATTAACCATTCAGAACCAGATAAAACTTCGCTCATTGCAGTCTTCAAAAGTGGCCATGCATATTCAGTAGATGTTATTCCTCGTTCACAAAAAATATTTATTAAACCTGGATTTGTATGCAAAAGAATATTTTCTATTATACCCAGTACATTTAAAGGTGGTAAAGGATGATACTCAAACCACTTTTGACAGTAATTTAGTAACACACCAAGAATGAGTTCAAAACCAAGTAGAAGATCTTTCTGCAATAGAAATAAAGAATCCATTGTAAGAAGATCCAAAGTTTAACGTTTTAAACGTTGAGTAAAAGTTAATAATTTTATTACCTGGAAGACCATCAGAAATGGAAAAACTAAGTTTGGTAGAAATGAACACTGTACTAATAAAGGACACCACTGTATTAAGCAATTTATTGTTGTGATTAGTAATATCTTTTTACTTTTATCAGCTAATGGATAGTTCTTCAAAAATTCTGATATAAAATTCGAATTTGCAGCCTTATTAGCTAGATTATTATATGCATTTTTATTAGCTGGTAGTTCCAAAATAGTTGACCATATTAATACACGGTATTTTTCAGGATATTCTCCAAATTCTTTCAAAATGAGCATTAGTCTTTCTAAACGTAGTTCTTCTTTTATGTTTTCTCTAACCCATAATAAATGATCATCTACTTTATGTGCAACTGGTCTACATGGTTCTTTCAATTTTTGTAAGGATTCACACTTTTCTGAAAATAATTTTTCAGTAACTGTTAATTTTAAATGTCCTTCTTTTTCTATATATGCTATGTATCTACCAGTTGGAGAAACTACAATTTTTTTAATGGGTTTAATAGGATGCAAAGTTTCTATTGTACAAGATTGATTTATATCAAAGAAATAAAGATCAAAACTTGAGGAGAGACATGCTACTATGTTATTTGCTCCACCATCTAAGGGGTGAGGTACAATTGACATATGCTTCATATTAATAAAGTTCTCTGGCAATTTCAAAGTTTTCATTAAATTCCAGTTACATGTATTCAGAATAGTGATTTTATTCTGAGCACTAGTTATGATCATTGCTCTTCCATTCTGTGTGAAAATAAAATCTCTAATGTTCCGTATTCCATATATTTTTGCATCAATTTTAGTATCATTTTCCAATTGATTAAAGTTCCAAACTTGTAATGTATCATTATGATATAGCACAACAATGTGTCCTAAATTTGAGAAACTGGCTTTTTTTAACACAACATTTTTTATATTAATTTTTAATTGTTGAGCCTTGGTAAAAGAATGTAAACACCATATTATAACTTCTTTTTGTGAAGAAGTTAAGCAATACTTCTTATAAAAGGAAACATGTATAGGTGGTAACTTATGTGCAATCAATAAACAATGCTGGGAAACATTTACATTTACTCTTAAAATTTTAATATCACCCGTGGTCAGGCCAACTAGTATTTCAGAGTTATTGATAGGATTAAATCCTATAAAAGTAGTTTTTCCAATATTTCCCAATTTCTGATAAGAAGGACAACTACTTATTAAGTCGATATAATATAAATATCCTGCTGTATCAGTTGCAACACAACATTCTTCATTACAATTAAATGCAGTGTGTGTAAAATTAACTCTTAAAAAACATTGTGTTCTTTTAATTGTCTCTGGTTCAAGTTCAAATGTATCATCAACTTGTCTTAAGTTTTTCCATATTTTTTTATACATTATATTACTGTTATTAATAAATAAAATAATTTCATTCTATTATTTTTGATTTCATAAGGTTATGTTTACATCTAAGAAATGTCAAATGTGACATTGTTTACATCATTCGCGTTCTTTTATAAGTATAAAAGTGACAAGTAATAAAAGTAATAAAATGTGTAACAATTAATATTATTTCTAAATTGTCACACAATAGTGTCAGAACGCTTATAAAATAAGTTTTATGTACAAATTTGAGTGTTAATGATACTTTCAGTACAATGCTATTAGCAGTCAATAAATCATAATTATTGTTGCAGACAATTTTTATAAAAAATTGATATATCGACAAATAAAACAGAAGTTGATATATTTTTTTAAATTATTTATTTTATCATTTAAATTGTCATAACCACCTTTTACGTCACTAACTGACAGGAAGAATAGACTCTACATATTTCCGAGTCTGTGGTTGTTTGGAGAAGTGATGGAAGTTGCTTTCATTTCAATTTTTGAGGATTAATAATTTCTCGGAGGTGTATAAACATTTCAAAGGACTGTTGAGTGGATATATTTATACATATAAAAATGGTAAAATTTACTTCTTATTTATATGTTCCAATTACGTTTACTTTACTGCGAGTTATCTGTTTAGGTTATGTGTGTCTTGAAATATTACGAAAGAAAATAATAATTTTACTGTAAATGGTTCCCCAGTTTTCAAAAGTGATTGTTTCTCATATATTCTGTACAATTTCCTTATTTTTGTTAATAAAATGATGCTTCATCTTTAGCCTTTTGTACATATACAATAAATAATAAAATGATAAATCTAGCTGATAAATGTTTCATTTAACTGTTTATACCTATGTAATTATTAGAAAAAATCACTATATTAAGCTACCAATGGATGTGTTTTTTTTGAAAATTTTTTTAAGGAGTCAGTGTTAAATAATGTTATAATAATTGAATTTTTGTTTGTAGTCTGTTGCTGAATTTCTAAAAGGTTTGCCTTCACATAATGAAAATAACTTTGCCAATTTTCACACGGACAGTGGAAACAGAACTTGTGTAAAGAAGCCTTCAGTATATATTCCCACAAAAGATCATCCTTCAGAACAAAGTTAGTTTTAACTCAGTTGAAAATTGATGCAACGGATATAAGAGTAACTAACTACAAATTTAATTTTTATTTTTAGTTATAGTTACAGAAAAAACCACCATATTGTTAAGGTACCTCCACCAACACTGGGATATAAATGTATGGACTGTTTATATATAATTATAAGAACTATCTTGCTTGTATATTTTATATTCTATATATTACTGATTAATGTTATTTTTCAGAATCCTGTCAGAAAAAGAGATTTTTTATCTGCTAATGGTGACTCTGAAGATGATGGTGGCACAGTTCGTAGTAAAAGGCTACGTCTTGAGTTGAACAATACCATTTAAAATATATTGCACACTTTTAATTTTCATTACTTGTTAAACTACGTTTATATGTCATGAAAATAGGTCATGCAAACATCAACATGGGACAAATGTAATTCTTAAATATTATAAACATATCTATACCTCGGAAAAAATTATTTCAAAACGTTATTTGAACATTTTAAATATATAATTTAGTTTAAATGTTGTGTAAAATATTGACTCTAGAAAAGTAGAAAGAACGTTTTTTAAATAATATTTCTTTAGATATGTAACATTGTAACAAAAAACAAGAATAACTTTTGTGTTAATTGTATGTTTGTATTGCATGCTTGAAGTTCATTGAAAGAAGATTCGTTGTTAGAATATTAAATGACACTACGCTACAGTACACAATTTGTATAAGTAGCGACATTCATTGCTCTCTTTCGTGATCTTTCTGTATGACTGTTGTCGAGGGACAGGAATGCAACTGGTGGTGCATACATTCATTAAAACAGAGGAAGTAAATATTAATGTCATTTTAGTTAAGATACAATATGTCAGCATTTATTCTGAGGTAATTTTGTAAATTTATTTCACAATACATTATTCATTTTTGTACTGCATACATAGTTATCAATTCATAATACGTGTTTAATTTTCTGAAGATGTGTGTAGAATATGGTATGTTTATTATTTTGAGATTTTCAGTTTAGGTAGCTAATAACAATTACGTTGTTTATTGTCATCAAAATATAGAGAAAAATGTAATCAAACAAAAGTATTGATGACATTATATATCTCAAGATAAATTATATTCTTGCATGCTTTTTAGAAGAAATTATTGTATTCAAAAATACGGATTATTACAAATAGATTTTACAAAAACTAATATTAATGTTTGTTGAAAGAAGTCGTTTCATATTTTTGATAACATCATTTTGATTTTTAGATAAAAATGATGAAAGTTTGTTAAATTTTAATTCAGTTACATAGAAAATTTCAATAAATTTTCATTTCAAAAGGAATACATGATATTGTATTATTCAATGCAATAAAATATATGTATACGTAATCTGCTTTTGAAATGTCTTTTACACATTAACAAACTATGTTATTAAAGTTTAATTAAAAGTGTGCATATTACAGTGTTTGTTATTGCACCTTTAATTTTGTAATATTTGACATTTGAATTCTATGTTTTTGCAGCATGGTGGATATCGAAGATATTGGAAGTTCAGTAACGCCAGATCCAAAGTGTAAAACTGTATAAATTTCCTGTTCGACTAGGTATATTTTTATTTTTTCGACTATGTATTCCCGTGTTATCATTTTTTAAATTTAAATCCATTAACATCTGTGATCTATCGCTAGATGGCTATAGCGTTTCTTAATTCATGGCGGGTACTTTCCCAAGAAATGCCAATTTTTCTTTAATTATAAATTTAAATAAATGCGATGTTATAATTTGAATTATATTATGATTGTAGAATGTTCTGTATGCATTAATGAAACGCTAATATCGCTTATTTTGTGATTTTTTTCGTTATTGGTTTCCCCTATACGCCGTCAGATGTCCGATCAGCCATTTTGTCTATTTGAAGCATTCGCACCGAAGTACGAACGACCTAATTTTAAATCGTTTACACTTCAAAAACCAACAGCAGATTGCTAAATGGTATTGAAAACTTTCATTAACTTAAGTACAAAGCATCTATATTTACATTTAGTGTAATGGTTTATTCTTGATTTTTAGTATAAGTACTATAGGTATAGAAACTGTGAACGTCCTTGTTCATCCCTCTCCCCCTTCAAGTAAGTGCTTAAATATTTATAACAAGTTCAACATGTTTCCATGTATGTACATACTAGATTACTGGAAATTAATAAATAATTTTTTTATAATTTCCTGTTATCCTACATTCCCCATGTTTACTTGTTATTGTATTTTAGGATTCAAGGATTGATCATGCATAGGAACAATACCTCCCCGTACATAGCCTCATTTGCGAAGTCGATTTCCCGCATTTTCTATCTGACCAACCTCTTGTTTGATATAGTTCCTAAAATCTCCGCTGTTGGCGTAAAATACAGGTGGTGTCGGCATTTAAAATTCTGCGACAAAAACTCTTATAAGGTGATTACTTTTTCTTCCTTTTTATTCGCCAATTAATCCTTTATATTTCCTAAAACTTTGGGTATTACTTTAAGGATCCCATCCTGTATGTCGTCTGTTACAACATATTCAGAATCATCTGAATTACCGACGCGCATAGAACTCGATTCAAAACGTAACGTCCTAAAAATAAGGTTTGCAAATTCTATTAAAAAAGCGCTGACAAAGATCCGGTGAGACGTCTTAACGAAGTAGGAATCGTTGATGATGCAGTTATGCAACGTGTAATCAGAATTGTTTAGAGTGACGATCAATAAGAAATTCAAGGACTGCTAACATCTATCACTTTATTAATAGGATATAATTGACGTAGACACTATAGGATAGCGACATTATAATCTAATACACAATGTAATAACTTGTAAACGACTACGATATACGATTATATCAAATTTTCTCGCGTACCCCTACGCTACACAGGGTGTCTCGTAAAAAAACATTATAAACTAATTGATTGTTTGCGAAGAAGTGAAAAGAAAAAAACGTTCAAATTCAATTTTTTTTTTAAAATAATGAATTTAAAAAGTATATTTTATTTTTCACTTTCCAACTGATGTTATAGAATCGTTTTGAACTTGCTTCATTTGTTACAGGACACTTGGCCGAGTTACGACTACAAAAAAAAATATATTAATCCTCTTAGTACATGTACAAATCTGTTGGTACGTTAAAACGACCTCGAAATAATATAATTAACTTGCGTTGAGTTCAGTTTCGCTTCACCTTGCAAGAATCAGCTGATCGAGCACAGTTGCTGAAGAAAAAAAAAAATAGCGTCGCTAACAAGGAAATCAATTTATACCAATTATCATCTGACACGGCATATTTCCATATAGAATTAAACGAAACAGTATAAACAGGAAACGATTCTAGGTTCGCGCGTGAAGCGTTCCAGCCTGAAAATCAACTGTAATCGGGCTCAACCGAGCGAAACCCTCGACCGAAACCAAACGCAATCAGAGGCTCTCGCGTAATAGAAAGCACTACTTACAGGCCTATTGTACTGCTCTGCACATTCATAGACGTTTCCATTGTCAAAAAGCGCCGCGATAGCTGCTCTAGACTAGAATTCTGGAAGACTGGTCGAACATTTTTAAAGATTTTCTTTTTCTAGCCTTATTTAAATAAAACAGAACCCTTCGGTGTCTGAATATTTTATCATTTAAACGTACTGTTACCTGGATAATTTATTTCGATCGACCAGTCTGCCTGAACTTTCGTTCAGCGTTTAAATTATCCAACGTGCGAATAGCAACCAGCTTGAACAACGTTAAACATCGAACTCTTCGTGTATGAGTCAAAAACGTTTAATATTCTTTTCATAGTCCGATGAATCATTTGTTATAAACACAATTGTCCGCCGCGAGTCTCGTATCGAAGGCTATGCGTTCGCATTTTTACATCCAATTTATGACTCATTCTATATATGTATTCAATCCGTATTTTTCTTAATCTCTATTAATAATTTCACTGTAATACAACACCGAAGATAAATCTGTGATCCAAGTTAATTCTGCAATCATCTAATTCTTATCTCTATCTTTGCAGGATCATTCAAGAATTAGAAGGCAGAATTCACGAGTAGAAGTTTCCTGAAACTCCGAGCCAGCGAATCAATAGGTGCAATCCGAGTAAAGAAACTAATCGAAGTTTAAGTTGAACTGGAAGATCCAAAAGCACAATCAGCAAACCGTACGCTCCTCCGACTCCGTTCTCCATTCATTGACCGAGAAACTGTGTAAGGTAGGCGTAGTTGAAGAGAGAACGCGGTATACACGGTGTTACACACTGACTCCTAGATTTCAGTTGTTAATCTCAGGTGCACGGCTCGTTCTCCGAGAAGTTTTGTAATCTTCCGAGCTCTCCCTGGGCGTTCGTTGACTCGCGGTTCAGGGCTAAGCCCCGGCTCCGTTTGTGGCGCGTATTAATGTGGTGCGCCTCACTTCGCCGCAAAACTGGGACGCCTGCGTGCTGAAAGAGGAGACAATTGTGGGAAGAGAGGCTGAAAGCGAGATTGCCTCGATGCCTCCTTGGCCGAACCGTCTTCGAGTTTTCCCCTCTTGGAACAATTGACTCCCAACGAGTAACAGTTTTCAATTAAACGCGAGAAACGATTATTTTTCATTTCAATGTTCAATGTTCATTTCACCCTGGACTGTACGTTATACCAGGAACCACGTGCTCGCTGTCTGTATTGTATCTGTTTATTGGCTCAAAGAACGGTGGTCGCATTACCGAGTAGAAGCTTAAGACCGTCCTAGTGGGAACTTCATGGAAATTCAATTACAGAATTAACTTGTACACGGTCTTAGACTTGTAATCGGTAACGCCTGCGCCGTCGTGTATAGAGGGATACTGTTTAGAGAAATTGAATTACAGGGAGGAGAGCGACCAAAGTTGACGTTTCTACAGAGAAGGAATCGGAAATAGGTTTCCGCTGGATGAATCGTGGCGAACGGATTCCGGATCGATCCAGCTCGAAAGGGAATATAATCGCTGGCAATAATTGCCGCGAAATGGTGGCGGAAAGTTGTTGTAGCGTTCGCAAGGCAAATGACTCATAACGCGGCGTTTTCCAACGGAACGTGGTATACAATTTCAATTCATCGTCGCGAATAAGGCCATATGCATTAAAGCTATTCGTACATGTGTAGTGTACGTATACGCTAATTTGTACACACATAGATACATACATTTTAAATATTATTATATATAGTATACGTATTCACAGTTCGAGTTTGTAAGGCGACGAGACCTAAGGTACTAGATTCATCTTCGTCTTTCTCCCTTCTCCCTGGTAGATTGTACAACAAATACCATTTCATCGAGACTCACGGACCTATGATATCGTTGCAGGCTAAAGCGCTCGGGTCAGAAATAGAAGTACAGGTGTAATTGTTGGCAATTATCGCCCCGCAAACGATACTAATATGGTAACGGGTTGATAATAAATGGCTGGATCTGAAAAAGAATCCTCTGTAACCTATTGTACGTGTCGCAACGAGAAGATCGAGTAGTTTTGTCATCAGAATTTACGCTCAAAGAACATGAAAATGTTGATATGTTAACCCTTTGCTGTCCATTCGTACTGTATATTACATTTACTTATGGTTTCTTGACAAAAGCTAGAATGCGCATTGCGTGAATTGCATTTTTAAATGGAATGTTGTCAGCACCCACGTTATAGAGGATAAATCTCGGATTAGAAATATAACGAAAAGGTCATTTATTATCAATGCTCTATCGTACGTCGCCGTTGAACTATCACCCCGTTAAATTCACGTTCATCGATAATATGTCACTCTCTTATCATCTTTTTTTTCTGCCTGCAGGAAAAAGGAATTCCTCGATATTCGATGCTTTCATCGTTAATGGCTTTCGTCTCGATTGTGACGAACGTTCCATCTTCCTTTCAACCCTCTCGACGGGGCAGCCCTGAATTACGAAAACAGTCGATTTCTTCCCTCCTTCTCGTTCAGTTTCCCTTCCAGCCGTGCAATCGGGCTGGAAGCGTCTTAATTTGACTGGCAGATTTAATAGTCTCCATTGGTGATGTTAATTCGAGGTCAATTAAGTGCGAACGCTACGATTGTCGCGGCGAAAGTTTCACTCTCTATGAAAGTATCATAATTTTTTCTTTTTTTTTTTTTTCAAGCTGACTCGAAGACATCGAGAAACGTTTTGCATCGGAATTATTTCTCACGAAAGTGTAAAGGAATGAAGATAGTGACGAAAATCAATAAACCACCATAATTACGAAGTATACGATAACATACATATAATGAACATCGGTAATAAAGTATGGTACAATGAAACTCTTTAACGTCCTCGAAACGACCAAATAATTTTGGACAAAGAACAGTAACGAGTAGTCTCAATGTCTTTCAGATATACTGTCTTCGACAGCAAGCTTCGATGCGGAACGTGGTCTACACGTTCAAGGCCAGCAGAAGCACCGGACGGTTGATTTGATGGTGCGTTATCTAACTGGAAGTATAAGACGAACGTCCCTGTTGAGACGAGCGAAACGTCTTTGGTATACCCGAGCGTGTACGTCCGAACACGGTCTATCTGTACGAAGGAAAAAGAGAACGAAGAGGGAGAAAGACGTTACTGTACGGCGTAAGCCAACAGAATGGGTTAATCCGGTAGCCACAGCGAGGCTAATCCTGTTAGCT